ATCCTTAGAGTCAATATCTACCTTTCCTGTAGCAAGTAGAGCTTTCACCACTGTCTCGTGGCCGTTCGCTGCTGCCCAGGATAGGGGTGTCTGGCCATATTCTGAATCTTTGCAGTTAATATCCACCTTTCCTGTAGCAAGCAGAGCATTTACTACGTCCGCAAGTCCCAAAGCGGACGCTACCAAAAGTGCTGTAGCGCCCCGAGGCAAAGACACTGCCATGGACCTATAGATATCAGACCACATTAGATATATATCAGAGTTTGGGTCGCAAATCCTCTGGGCGCGGATCAATAGCGGGCTCCCTTCCCGCACACAAGCTAGACGTAAATGCGCACTCCAGTAACATGATGAATACTCATAAAAGCTTTCGTCATCAGAGCTTTGTGTATAAGCCCGGTCCTGAACAAGGGTTATATAAGAAGTGCACATATCGGCAAGAATCTGATTGGAATCGTCTGGCAATATTGAATGCTTCCATCTCGTCCTGTTTATCTCCATAGTGGGGCTTTTATCTCCGACCAAGAACTCCTTCGCAGTTTGGTGAAGAAGGTAAGCTTTCTCATCGATAACAACCACAAAGAGTCCACAGAGGTCTCTTAACGTCTTCCTGAAGCGGTCTTTCGGTTCCGTGTCATCACGCAGAGCTGTAAGCTTTCGGTGACCCGCATTGACCGCCAAGGCGAGAGATAGCTCTCCCAAAGAGAGAGGCCGCATGGCAGCTGTAATAATATGCAGAAGAACTCTAGCTTTGTTTTTATCCGAGCTCCGATCCAAGATTTTTTCATAGGCCTTGTCAACAGTTTCGGGAAGATACTGTATCGCCCGGCGGATATTGCCCTTCGTGAAGCCCGTGATATTTTCAAGTACATCCAAGGTAAGGCTAACCCACAAATAGGTTCGATTTTCAACTGTGGTCAGCTGTTGTGCAAGCATATCGCGCTCATCTTTTGCCAGTGATCGTTGGTCGCTGAAGTCATTTACCCTTTTTGCAATAACAAGATCTATTTCACGGGATATATCCTTGACTTCTTCCTCGCTATCGCCACTTAAATGAATGGTAGGAAGTTGTTTTTCCAACTCCCAAAAGCCACGTCGTATGTGATCGTATGGCCTGCTTGTTATCAAGAACTTGAGCTTGCTCCTTCTATGGGGCCCTGAGTAGAACTCCCTGACCGCGGAAATGAGTTGGTTCCGGTCACCATCCTGACACTCGTCTAACGCATCTAGAATGCAGATGATCTCCCCAGCCTTCGAACTAGCTGAGACAGATAGTAGGATGGACCATAATTCAGAAAATGATTGAACAAGCTTGTCACCATCAGTTTCCAGCTTATCCAGGACCGCATCTTGCAAAAGCTGAGGTTGTGCAATAAAAAGCTGGCGTAACATCACCGAGAGTGCGCTTGTCGCACTCCTCTGATCCGGAAAGTCATCCTTGAAGAAGAAATAGCAGACTGTTCTGTCAATAGTATTGAGAATAACTTCATCGACAAGATATCTCGTTAAGACCGACTTGCCACAACCGGGATCGGCCGACACCCATAAAAGACCGGGGAATTCGTTATTTGTCCTCTGTTGCCAGTCCTTGAATATGGGATGGCTAGTGAACCATTCACATGTTCCGGGAACCCGTTTGCTATTTCTGTCTTTGCGATCCTTGTATGGGCAAGTGTAGAGCAGGTTGAAAAATCTTTTTACCCTCTCATCTCGAGCCGATGTAGTTGTCCATATATCACGTTTGCGTGAAGCATCCAACAACTCTTCGAGCTTTTGTGTCAGTTCCGCATGACCAATTATAGAAGTAAATCGATCTAAAGATCTTTGAGAGGTCTCAAAATCTTGCAGTAAGTCGGCCCATCCATCCCACTTGAAAATATCTCTCAGGAGCTGAGAGGCTGAATATCGGTGTATGTAGCAGACCGCACGAGCCTGGAACTCTAATATCTTTGAGTAGATGGAGACCAAAGTGGCTTGAAACTTTTCAAGGAGATCAAGAGCCTCTTTTGACCGAGAATGTAAATACAGGGTTTCCATGACGTGAAGGCGTAGTACCAATCCAGATGTTGATTCTAACCCTTGTAGGAGAAGAGCATGCTGCTCTGCCGCTTGGACAACCATCTAGTTGAAGTTAGAGTTTCGATCAATTGAGCATATAGCGAGAGTGCTTGAACAGGGCTTACCGAAAAACAAGCTATTATGCCAGCACAGGCAAGCGAAGCTGGGGGGCTCAAGCTTGCAGCAGGGGTGATCAGATCTTTGAGCGCCAGGACATTTTTGGATATGTTGGCAATTTGCTCCCCAACACCGACACTATGATTGCCTAGGTGAATGACCCACTTCCTCTCTTCTAGTAGATCGCTCAGTCGTTTGTGGTGACTTGTGGCACCTGGTTGAAGTTTCACACCGTAATCAGATTCCAGTATCGTAGCCGAGTTTGTCAGGATCTTGTCCAGCTCCCGATTCTGTCTTAGTTTCTGTTCAGCTCTCACCCAGAGATCGTTTGGTTGAGTAGCAGGTGTGCGATGGTCGTCTTGCTTAGATACCAGGGTTTGCGACCGATTTTTATTCTCCTCGTTCAAGGAGTTACCTTTTTCAGACCACGCCTTCTTTTTATATCGTAGTTTCTCCAACAAAGCAGACATTGTATGGCTCTCTTTAGGCTTTTTTTTTTTCTTTTTTGCTTTTAATTATTTCCTTTTTCTTCGAGATAGTGAGGGGTTCCTTTTGGTATGAATGTTCAGGGGCTTGCTAGGCTTGGGCTTGTTGCTACTCTTCCACCGAAGTGATGGTGTTTTTTGTCTCCTACCCCGCTTCAAAGATGAGTTGGCACAAGACATGATACATCAAGTCCCACAGTAGGTTTTTATACCATATGATAGGCCGAGACGTCCAATACAACACAACTTCCAATGAAATGAGCCCCATATGGAGTCCCAATATGATATGTAACATCATAACTCGTAAAATGTAGCCTCACCAGCAAGAGTTTCTCTTCTCCTTCAGTCTGCAATCACAGTATTAGTATTCATGCTGTATGATAACCTTATCTTTTTCCCCTCTTTTTTTCTTCCGAGTTCCTTCTGTCGGTTACTCTTTTGGTGCAGAACAGGTGGGATATCTATATATAGTATATAATAGCCAGGGTCATATTTAGATATTCAAACGGAAAAAGTAGTATGTGAGTTATTTTGTAAAAAGCAATATTTTCTACACAAATATTTAGAGCTTTCAGACGCCGGATCCGATGTGAGATATGAGTCTGATATTATGACGATTGGTACGAGTCCATTAATTGGGCAGTAGGGCCGCAGACGTACTATTTGGATATGGTCTTAGACTATATTTGAGGACATTATATTAATAGAGCTCTGTTGTGGTACTACTGTAGCGGTACAATACTATTGTTTGTTTCGCACTCTTCCTACAGCCCCCATGAAGATCGTCAAATGTAGTCCTCTCATGTTTCCCGAAAGCCTTGAACTCCCCGTTGAGAAGAGTAGCATAGTCCGAGATTTCTTGATTGTTGGCTGTGTGATGAGCATTTCCAATGAGGCAGCATTGAAGAAACTAGATAGACGCTCCGAAAGGAAACGTGATTCCGCACACCTGCCATTCGCTTGGTTGCCTCTGGGTAGCATCACAGACACACTGTATTTGAAATATATGATCGGTGAAATACTGTTCTGCTACCTCCCCAGCCAGAAAAGGTGGGTGAGGCCGAAGCCCAAAATTAGACTTGTGTGCTTGGAGAAGTTCACTATCACCAATATGCCAAGCTCTTTTTGCCCCCGCATGAAAGCTTCTCGATGCGCTTCAGTCCTTCGTTCCAATAGCCGTTGTGATGACAATTTGACATGATCTATGCTTTCCTTGATCTAGAACTTTCAGCAAGACGTACGTGACATTATATGTCTCATTGAATTGGAAATATGCAGGGTTGGCAAGAAAATGCATCCGGTAGAGTTACTGAAAATATATCCTTCGAGCGTCAGTAGCGAGGTGGATTGATTTATCGGCTATCACGGTAGATCAATTGCCGCCGATCCACACGCCTAGTACTATCGAAGTAGGCGATGAATCGGAATCGCTTTCCAGGCGTCTTGGCATAGCCTAAGAAAGATCGCTCCCAAGCTTGAAATAGAAGATTAACGTCCTAATTAGGCGATTCAGTGGGGTCCCGCAGTCTCGCTAACGGGACGTGCCGCCATATATTAGCCGCTAAGGATTTGAGCCCCACTATTGAATCATGTACTCTGTACGGAGTAGTGATTTATAAATTTAATAGATATGATGTAGGGATTAATTTGAGGAGGTGGGGATGTTGTATTTAGTCGCACTGTGCCTAGCTGTGCGGCTGGACTAGAGTTAGGTTACAGTTTACATGTACGGAAGAGAGAAATTCCTAGTTCCTACAATGAATTAGATCGTCAGCGAGGTCTCCTTCACGTACTGTTGTCATTTAATGAGACTTCGCCTCTAGTATATGCATGTAAAATTTGCACTCTATCAATCAGTATTTTTACAACTTGTCTATAAAACACAGCTAGCTTCTGGAGAAGCTATTTTATCAAGCGATGTCCATTCTGTACAAGACTAAACACCTGTGCACACATAGTAGTCCACCCACAAGTTAGAACAGCTCGCATCAATCTGTGTATTCCACGAGCGGAACTGATCAAGCGTGATACCCGTTGCTGTCTCAATCGAGTAACAGTCATCCCCGGATTTGACCTTATAAAAGGTCTGACAGTTACTCACGATCCCCGGCATCTGCGGCTGGGGCCCCGTGGACGTCGGTTCTGGCAATGAGCTTGTTGTTGTCGTGGCGCCCGGGACGTGCACGCAGACGTAGTAGTCCAGCCAGAGATTGGAGCAGTCTAATAGGAAAGAATCAGCACTGTGAGTGACATACGAGAAAAAAAGTTAATATAAAAAGGGAAAGGCATACTGCTCTCAATGTTGGGATTCCAGGCCTTGAACTGAGCTTCCGAGATACCATACTCGGCTGCAATGGTATCACATTGGTCACCGGATGTAACGAGATGGAACTTGTCGCAGTTAGAAGGCACACCAGGCTGAGTTGGCTCATACTCGGAAGAGGAGGTCGTGGTTGTCGCCGTTGTGGTCTTCAGCGTCGTGGAAGTCGTTGTGATCGTGGTCTTTGGGTCCTCCGTGACAGTGCCAACAATACAGTAGCTCTGACCAGCAATCAGAGTTGGGCATGATACACCGGGGTTCAGTGCTTGAAACTTTTCAACGGTCTGGCCCCAGGATGTCGCGAAAGACTCGCAAGTAGCACCTTCGCTAGCTGCCATGGAGAAGCTGCAGACAATACTGGCCGAGAGCAGCTTAGGGAGCAATCCCAGAACGATGGCGGCTTTGTAACCCATGGCACCAATGACTTCGGGGAACAGGGAAGTTAGGATGATGATTGTCCTTTTTTTGTTTGCGGTTGCTGGTGTGCTTTTATAGCTACAGCTGTGCTCCCACATCCTCCTGCCGATTCACCCGTGTATGTAACATGTGCATCAAACTAAAATTCAACCATTCATTATGTTCATGTAATGTATATTGGTGTGATTGGCTCCTGCATACTAATATGGAGGGTTCGGAGTCCTACTAGATCTAGTATCCCAGTGGCGAATGGACTTGCCCGGCCTAACCGCCAAGACGCGCTCCCCACAACGCCTCAGCAATGACCTCCTTGGCATTACGAAAAGGGTAAACCGGAGCATCCTCATGACTCGTGTAGTGTATGCTGTGTATATCCGGATTCTACCGGATCAGCCGCGGCTCTAATACCGCTCGGTAGGGGCCTCTCCGGGGTGACATCCTGTCAGCCTTAGCTTCGGCCAAGAACTACTGCAATAAAATCCAATAACTCCTAAATATGCGTCTACCGAATAGGTTACTATTAGTGCATCAAATGAGATGGAGTAAGAGCGGAACAATATCTAATTACGGAAAATTTCAAACGACTAGCGTACAACGAAATGATCTGCCCCTGCAAGGCAAAAAAAAAAAGGTCTCAGTATCACGGACATAGCCGACTTCAATCACACGAGGCCATAAGCGAACAGCATACCCATGGCTAATATCCATGGCCTCTCGTGAGGTAATTGCCCCATGGATGCTGCATTTTCAGATGACGGGGTTGGGCAGCTCAGCCCTGTGCGGAGCGGGTTGGCACAGGCAGTAGAGGTCAATGCTGCGGAAATACTTGCGGCAGCAGACGAGTGAATCTTGACATTGCAAGGACTAGGAGTCGGCGACGGATCCACAGTGGCTGCACAGGAAGGAGCACCCCAGGTGTACGGTGGAGTGTACCAGGTTGGTGTTGGCGCCACAATATACGTCGGACCACCCCAGACTTGACCTGATGGGACCTCTAAAAGATCTGGGACATGCACGGCCTGAGCTGGGGATTGATCACAGGTATCATCCTCGGTCGCAGCGACAAGGTCCGGCGGCGAAGTGCCATTCTTGGTGGAGAAGAAGGACTGGTGCCGACGTGAACCGAAATATTCAAAATTCAAATCGTTGCTCTCCGGATCGTGAGAGCAATTGTACATCTTGAGCTCCCAGGCTATTAAAAATGTTCCTTCAATGTTCAACTTGTTGGTACTCCAATAGAGGAAGTACGGATCGCTTGCAGTATAATTGATCTTAGATAGTTCGATAGAACCAGAGGTAGAGACCATGTCACTGGTGCTAACATTTTGCTGCTCAATGGAATATTTAATGCGCGGCTCAAGGCTGGACAGGAGGCCAGGGTTTTGGATGGCGAATATGACCGGGGTCAGTGGAGAAGGAGGGTAACTCTCATTCCGCGGAAAAATCAAGTCTACTTCCGCAACCCCTGGAGTGATAGAGGCCCAAGTGCAAGCGAAGACTAGAGAGAGGGCCAGAAGAAGCCATCCCCGAGGAAGGAAACCCATGCTAGTCATAGTGGTGGGAGGTTAATGCAAGAGGAATAAGTTTGATGGGCCGGGATTTAGAAATTAGGAGAGACAGCGACAATGGTTCCTTAATATGTTGGTGGGGTTTTGCCCCCTGAAGGTGGCATAACTAGAGCGATACTAATGCCCTTTAGCGAGACGGACTAGTATGCAGGAACCGTTGCATTGTGGACGCAGCCAAGCCTCAATCTCCGAGAGTTGGGCTGTAATAATCGAGGGCTTTGCCGACAGGATGAATATGAGCTTGCGTTTAGCCGACAAAAAACCGCTAGTACTTTGGTCAACCCAACCCAGCCCTATCAAATTATGAAATTACGGCATATATGCTAAGTCCACTAAACGGCGGCTTGGGCCGTCTTCGTTCGGCTTCGATCCAAGTTATGGACGGATATGAGTCGCAAGTCCAATAGTAGGTCAGTTCTCTACAAGGAGAAAGAATCGTACTAGTGGACCCGTGTAGTCGATGTTCGATGGCCGGAGGGAAAGTACAAAAGCCACGAAGATACCCAGCAGGATGAGAGTATCAGTCTTTACCTAACCACTCCTTTTTTTTTTGTCGTTCTTTTCAATCCCAAGTTCCTGTCATTCTCTTGGTTTTCTTTCAAGTCTTTTGATAGAGTAGCATGATGACTCCCTCTTGGCTGATCACAGCCCTGGGGACCATTTGCCTCTTTCTCTCCGTTGATGTTGCTTTTGCGGCACGAGGAAAAGCAGGATTGAGAAAGCCTGCCAGTCCTGGTTATCGCAGTCGAGATTCGGCATGTCCCATAGCCTGCCGAATCGCAGGGCCCAATCCTTCCAACTGGTCTCTCTACCACAACTTTGACCAACTCCAGTCCTGCCATCAGACCCTGTTTTATGATTTTTCTTTATATGATCAAGTGGATGATCCAGATACCCTCCATCGCCTTTATGCCTGTAGCTCTTCTGGCGCCGACTGGTCAAGCCTCCCACGCCCGAACGCAAAGATTGCGTCTGCTGTCGAGCCTGTTAATTCAACCTACTCCCTTGGCTGGTGGACTGAAGGCGCACTCGCCCCCTCGGATATCAGTGCTGTTTCGAAGCAGATGCGGTATTATTTGCAAAGTCAACATGTCGCTACCAGGAGTGCTAAGAGAAACACATTCTTGTTTGCACGGTCTGGCTCAGCCGCAGTCGGTATTTATATAGGCAAGGGTTTGCAGAGCGAGGGTGTTGCCACCTTTGCCCTGAAGACGCTGGCAAGCAATGTTCGCACTCTGAAGATCAGCTCAGGTAACGTGGCCATGCAACTATATGATGCTACCAGCAACAATGCGTGTACATTCGGGGTATTTGCCTCTAGCAATGGATCCTTTTCCCCCGTGCAGGATGCAATGAAAACCTGGTCGCAAGGAGGTTGTCTCTCGTTCGAACATGCAACGAACGTTACCGGTCCGGCCATCCTTACCACCCCTTTGTTGAAGATTTGGGCCAACACCACCCAGTCAAAGACTACGCGCACCAGCTCCACACTAGCTGTCATTCCCACATCGTCTTCCCACGGCAAGCTCGTAGCTCGGGCTGATTGCAGCACGGTTTAGGTAGAGGGAGGAGATAGCTGCGCTGCTCTAGCTACAAAGTGTGGAATCTCTGCGGCACAATTTGACGAGTACAACTCGGATCCTGACCTCTGTTCGTCACTCACGCCAGGGCTTCATGTCTGCTGCTCATCCGGAACACTCCCCGATTTTACCCCAAAACCTAACCCGGATGGATCGTGTGCTTCATACACCATCCAAGAAGATGACAACTGTGCGGATCTTGCTGCTCAATACAGTCTGACAAAGAAGGATTTGGAGGACTTCAACAAGATGACATGGGGCTGGAATGGCTGCTCGAATGTCTGGGTCGGTACTGTCATCTGCTTGAGTAGTGGAAGCCCGCCTATGCCAAACCCCGTGGCGAATGCGGTATGCGGTCCCCAAGTGCCAGGTACTGTAACGCCAGAAGATACTACGGATATCGCTGGGCTCAATCCATGCCCCTTAAATGCCTGTTGCAATGTCTGGGGTCAGGTAAGTAATTTATTCAAGACGCGGATGATGTAGTCATGTCTAACAGGCTTTCGGCATAGTGTGGAATAACAGACGAGTTCTGTATCGACACCAGCACTGGAGCCCCAGGGTCTGCTGTAAAAGGCACCAATGGTTGCATTTCAAACTGTGGCACACAGCTTGTCCGCGGTGATGCCCCTGAGGTCTTCCTAAGTATTGCCTATTTCGAGGGTTATAGCTTGGCTAGTCGCGACTGCCTATATCAGGATGCCATCCAAATTGACGGGTCCAAGTACACACATCTGCACTTTGCCTTTGGTCAACTAACTGAAGATTACGAGGTTAAGTTTGAGGACGTCCTGACTGAATATGAGTTTCACAATTTTATGAAAGTCCCCGGACCAAAAAAGATCCTGTCTTTCGGCGGCTGGGATTTCTCGACTCTGCCCAGTACATACAATATTTTTCGCCAGGGAGTCAAACCTGCCAACCGTCTGAGAATGGCCACGAACATTGCTAACTTCATCAAGGCTAATAACCTTGATGGAGTTGATATTGATTGGGAGTACCCCGGAGTATGTTGTCTTAACATTATATACTAGATACACAAAACTAACATGTGTCCTCCCTATAGGCACCTGATATTCCGGGCATCCCCCCTGACGATCCAGACTCTGGTGAAAATTATCTGGCCTTCCTCGTCATTCTTAAGAATCTGCTGACCGGGAAATCGGTCTCCATTGCGGCCGCATCGTCCTACAGTTACCTAAGATATTTTCCTATCGAGAAGATCAGCAAGGTTGTGGACTACATTATCTACATGACCTATGATCTTCATGGACAGGTGGGTAGGCATCCCTCATGTCACTCACATCTCATATTGACCGTTTCTCGTCTAGTGGGATGCAATGAATCCAAATTCACAGATCGGATGTCCTTCGGGAATGTGCCTCCGCAGTCAGGTCAACCTGACTGAGACCATCAGTTCCTTGGTCATGATCACGAAAGCAGGTGTTCCCTCAAATCAAGTTGTTGTTGGCGTAACCAGCTATGGGCGATCGTTTGCTATGGCTGATCCTACATGCCATGGCCCAGAGTGCTTCTACACCGGAGGCCCTTACAACTCGCAGGCCACCCCGGGAAGGTGCACGACCACGGGAGGTTACATATCGGATGCTGAAATTAATGAGATTTTGGAAGGGTCCTCAAGTAACGGGCTTCTGAAACGCGGCAGTCGAGTCAATCAGCACTATGTTGATCAGGCTAGCAACAGCGATATTCTTATCTACGACAATAACCAATGGGTCGCATACATGAGTCCTGAAACCAAGGCATCGCGCAAATCGCTCTATAAGGGATTTAACATGGGCGGTACAACCGACTGGGCCACTGACCTCCAGCAATATAACGATCCCCCAACGCGCGGCGGCGTACTTGTGGAGAACTGGGCAGCCTGGAAGACAAGCATAAACAATAAGCAGGACCCCTACCAGGTTGGAAACAGGACCGGAAACTGGACTGAGCTCCATTGTAGTGATCGAGCTGTCGCCGATAAGCGTTGGCTGTCACCGTCAGAACGATGGAACCGAATCGATGCTCCTCATGCGTGGGCTGATGCGATTGAGGTGTGGAAAACGATCGACAAAGGCACTCAAATGGGTTTCACAGGGTCCATCTCGGACACCCTTACGGGGCCTGACAATGCTGACTGTGGCACTTTACTGGCGACAGATAACTGTCATTCGACAGAGCAGTGTAAGGAGTTCGACAGCGATGGTGCAGGCCCAGCAGGCTATATGATTTGGAACTCAATGGTTTCTATTCATGAGGTATGAATGCTTTCCTCCGGGAGACCGACATATCTGACATAGCCTTAGCTATACCAAAGTTATCACGAAGCCCTAATCGCCGAGAGCGCCAAGGTAATCACCAACTCTCTAGACGATTTTGAGAATAAGTTCGCGCCGATACCTAAACCGGAGGATAATACATGGCTGTTGGTCCTGATCGATATGATCACCCTGGGCACCGCTTCAGCAGCCGCTCCATTTTTTAACTCATGTATGCCCCGGGACAGCCCCAACCCTCGTTCGGCTGATGTGTGAAAGACTAACCTTTCACCCCGAAAGTACTGTCCAAGTTGCCCTATTTCATAACGGAGGGTTCTACACTGGACAACGTCAAAGATACTACCATGACCATTATCTCGCAAAGTACAACCATCGCCAAGGACCTGCTCCAGGAGCCAAAACCGTAGGTGCTGTTCTCAAATTTCATGACAGCTTGCTGACTGGTGAACGAACAGTGGGGACTGGACTCCAGAGAAGCAGGACACGTTCACCAACTACATGGGCCAAGTCATCGCGGGCTGGGACGCCGTTATAGAAAAGTCACTAGGCAAATTATTCGACGGCACTGATCCGGCAATCGAAATGCTGACGGAGCTCATCTCTGACGGCAAGTTCATCGAAGGTTCCTCGGTCAGCATGACCCTACCCCCACGAGACCCGCGCGGGCTACCATTTGAAACTACAACTGCCCTGCAGAAAAGCATCGGCAAATCGTTCTTTGCTTTCGCCATACCTTCCATCTGGACTGCATCTGGCAAGTACCCATTCGTTGTCGATGCGGGCTACTCGTGTGACCATGCGGATGACATGGGTGACTATTTGGAGAAGGAGACGATGCAACTGGCAAAGGCCTGCTACCGTAATAAGCGCTACTATCTTGCCGCGCCTGAGGGGCGACCCTGGGATTGCTTTGAGGGCGGCTGCCTTGATAACCCATTCTCTGCACTGCCCGGTGTGGACTCAATGGGTCAAGAGTCGTTTGGTAATGTCACCGTGGAGGAGATCATTATAGGATCAGTGCGTACATACCTGCACAACGGCGAGACAAACGGCGGCGACCCCGCCGACCCCGCGAACCAGGGAACCCTGGAGGACCTGTACAACGACGATATCACCACACCAGGGTTGATCCGCCTGCCAGTCTGTAGCGCGGAAACCGCCTTCCGTGCATGGGACCATGGTGACACTGGGGATACCGACGCCCCGAACTACCCTTGTGTGCTTTATCCAGCCCCTGACTATTGCGGCACCTCCACGTTCGTCGACCAGACCAGTGATGCGTCCCCGACAGTGGCGGACTGCATGCAGATTGTGAAGAATATTGCGAACACAGACGGCCAGTACGAGGTCGAAAACGCAATTGGGGCCCAGCACCAGATAGCTGAACATGGGACATGCGCTTTTGGCGTTCAGGGCAAGGGCAAGAATGGCAATATTGACTACCATGTCGGTGCGCAGGATAGTGTCGATGTCATCCTCGAATCAGTGAGACAATTTGGTGGGTCGGGGAAGGTTGGCTCCAAGGGCGAGATGTCCTGCAAAGGAACTGTCAAAGGCCAGAAGGTTGAGTGGGGATTGTATCATAACTAGACTTGCTATGGCGGTTTATTCGATAGACCACCCACGGTGGACTCTTGGAATGATGCTGAGATTTCAGCTATCCCATATAGCTGCGCCCTTTGAATATCTATCCCGACCCTGTGGTTGGATGGGAGCTACGGGGGTGCTCAGCCGGGATTCCATTAGCTATCACAATTATATACCACAATATTTAGTGCCCGCTAAGTGCACTGCTATGTCTCATATGTGCTATACCCTGTCGTAAACTTTATATTCGATATCTCTACATATACGTCTATACTCCTTTCAACACAGTCTGAAACATCTCCTCAGTATGCTCCCAAACCTTCCTCCCAGCACCACTAGTATGGTACTCATCAAGCAGCCTCCGATTCCCAACTTCAGACCCATCCCAGTTCACCAAATAAGCCCCCCGCCTACTCTCCACGGAATCAACCCTACTTTGTCCCCTAGACATCGAACACGGATACCGTCCACTCGTCGCAACATACAGATGTCTTTCCCCACTCTCCTGTTCACCAACCATCCACGGTCGACCTAGAAACATTATAGCCCTAACAAGACGGCCTACAATTGGGCCTGCTTCGCGAGAGATGCCTGACTTCACAATCCCGGGATATGTATGTATAAAGGTTGTAGACGGATATCGGGATGCGAGTCCTTCGACTATCAACGAAGACATTGTCGTGGCATGCACATCACAGCTATTAAGGCTGTATTTGTGTTTTAGGTCAAGATCACCCAGGTCAATCTTTGTTTCGTGGCCTGCACCTAGGACGGTTATAACACGGGACAGAGCGCTGGTAGAGCTTTTGCTACTAGTGGCCTGAGTTAACTGTGGTATTAGGTTGTTGATGAAGCGCATTCGGGCGTAGTAGTGGAGGCTGAACTTCTTATCCAGGCCTTCGGAGGTGTCTATAACAGTGTGAGGCACTTGGTTTACCAAAAGAATAAGAAGGAAACAACATTTCTATCCCCTACGTGTCAGAATTGGAACGAACTTACCATCCCTCCCCTTCAGAGTAAAAATACCACAGCTCAAAAATAAAAGGTTAATCTGGCTTTCTTTCTGTTGAATCACCTCACACGCTGAGTCCACACCACGTAGGAGCGATGCGTCCGTCTTGATGAACTGAAATTTGCCGCTGGGATTGATCAGGCTCAATTCCTGGATAACCTGCCGTGCTTGCGTCTCATTGCGTCCAACAAGATAGACGGTCGGGGAAATAGTGTAGCGAACAAATTCGCGCGCTGTGTACAGACCAATTCCACTTGTTCCGCCAACTGGCGTGTATTTAGCAGGAGAATATGGATCAGGAATGTCATGTTTGGCATTGATAATAAAGCCGGTTGTTTCTTAACATACCAAATACAGCAACAAGCCCCGGGCCCAGGTTCTTTAATGATGCATTATGGGCACGCACGGTTGAGAGAGCTACCATGTCATCTAGTTCACCTGTGGACTATGTTTTCAACCCCGGGGTCTCCGACGTAGCTTATGTGCAATTCAGTGGCCCTCGCGTCGAATACGATTCTTTGAAATCCTAGAATCAGGCGTGGTCTGTGATTTATGCCTTATTGCTCAAAGTTGGGAAATACAGTTGCAGGCAAATATTTTTGAGTACAGCAGCTTTTGACCAAAGTGATTATCGCTATGGTCCATAGTGGCGTCCGACGTAGATCTAAGGCAGATTTAGGGTAAGGCCTGGTGGTCGAGATAGTGGTTGCCAATGTCCCAGAATCCGGACCAATCTCAACTTGGAAGCACTAAAAATCCCCATAAGCTTGGCTCTCGGATGGTTCCTTCGCGCCGTTCACCGGGGGAAAGGTGCTGCTAATTAAAATTGCATTAGCAGGAAAGACTGTTGGCGAGGGCCAAGGGAAGTGGGTACCGGATAGTTTATTGCTCCGACACGAGCAGAGTTTAAAGTCACAACGGGGGAGTGGGTCCAGCCCTAAATTATCTGCTTGTTATCCTTCACAGCCACAAAGTATGTTGCTACGACTACCAAGCTGGGATTGGCTTTCTCGGTACCGGATAAAAGTGGAGTGCAACCGTACGCCACGTCAGCTCAATAGCTGCCTTGCAGTTGAACAGCTATTAGATCATAGCAAGATACTCCAATACATCGCCCACAACACCGAAGAAATTTATAACAAACTCAGTGAAAATGAAGGCATGGCTATACAGCTCTACCAAGGGAGGCCTCGAGAAGAATCTCGTTTACTCCCCTGATGCCCGAACCCCAGGATCCCCACTGGGCAACCAGCTGCTCATCCAGGTGATCTCCACATCCATCAACCCGGCCGACTACAAAGTCCCCGCTACGAGCACTGTTTTCGGAAAAGTCCTGATTGCGGCCACACCTGCCAGTCCCGGAATGGACTTCTGTGGGCGGGTGATCGCGGTGGGGCCAGATCCTTCTGCACAGCAGTTCACTCCAGGCCAACTCGTCTTCGGCTGCCTTGGCATGCCGCGACAGTTTGGAACACTCGGGGAACTTATACTCGCGACTCCAAACCAGACTGCTCCATTGCCGTTAGGGGTGGATCCAGATGCGGCTGCTACGATTGGGGTCGCGGGGCGGTCTTCGTACCAATCCATCGTGCCGTATATATCCGGCCCAGGAAGCAGGGTGTTTATCAACGGTGGATCTGGGGGGTGTGGAGTGTATGGGATCCAAATTGCTAAGTTGTTAGGGTGTCATGTTACAGTGACTTGTTCCACACGCAACATACAGTTCTGTCGTGACCTTGGTGCGGATGAGGTAATCGACTATACGGCACAGGACGTGCTGGAGGTGCTCAAGTCCCAGGGACAAGTGTTCGACCACGTTGTGGATCATATCGGGTCGCCTGAGGGTCTTTATCAGGAATGTCACGCCTTTTTGAAACCTGGGAAAGCTTTTGTGCAGGTTGGGGCCTCATCGATGGTCACGTTCGCCCACCGACTTATCCGCCCCTCGTTTCTCGGCGGTGGCTGTCGGAAATATGTGGTGCTGCTCATGAAGAACCATAATGACGAGTTCGTTCAGATTGCGAACTGGATTCGAGAGGGAAAGGTCAGGGTTGAGTTTGATGCAGTTTATGAGTTTGAGGACACCGTCAAAGCATTTGAGCGACTATGTTCGGGGAGGACTAGAGGCAAGATTGTCATCCATGTCACCAGTCCTGACAGTGAGGCTGCTTAAGTGCCAATGGATTCTGCTACAATTATATTGTGTTTTTAGGTTATATTCGGCTTAATCATAATACATTTCAAAATCTAGTACTTCCTTATTGGATTTTCATTTAATGGAAGGATATAAACAAATTAATAAATAGCAGGCCACCAGGCCCGTGCCAGTAAAGATTCTGCATAACATTGATAGATTATAGACAGATGTACCATTTTCAATTTCTTAGTCCCAACAACAGCTCAATTATGTACTTCCATTAAGGCGCACGGGTAGCATACCCTGTAGCCATACGTTTAATCTGTCCAGCGTAAAATTGCTACATATCGTCAGCCGGGTGTCTGAAGCAATCCGTCAAGGTAAGGGTCCAACATATGACATACCGTTTCGGCACCTCCACCCAAGGCACGGATCTGGAAGAATCTCGCCCATAGAGGGGTTGGTACCTTTCCTAGAATGACTTTGGCTTCCTCGTCTGTATACTTATCATCCAGGATCAGTTCGGGGAAGTTTGGGCAAACAACCGCCGGGCGCCCAATGCCGACGATGTCACACGCTCCGCCTTGTAAAGCGGCTTGGATACCTCGTCGAGTTCGGAAACCTCCAGTGAGCATGAGGATGAGACCTGGGAAGCGTTTCCTCGTCTCTTTAGCAAAGTCAAAGAAGAAGGCTTCTCTTGCTGCGGTACGCTGGACACTCTCAGATGCAGTCTCTTCTTTCATACCACGGCCCATCATCTATATCAGAAACCTTTAGCCCATTGAATTCCACGAATATCTGCCCATCATTGATGTCCGACTTTTGTTAAAGAGTGCCGCTGACGAACTCGGCAGTAAAATGGGACTAGAGCGATCTGGAAGTGCTAACGTACCGTTGGGTCCTCATATGTCCCCCCCGATACCTCGAGAAAGTCTATTCCAGACTCCGCAAATAGACCGATCTGTTTCATAGTGTCCTCAAAGTCCAACGCGCTATGATCCGCAGAGTTGAGCTTGAGGCCTATGCAGAAGGTCTCAGGCACCGCAGCGCGGGTTTCCTCGATGATTTCAAGAACGATGCGAGCGCGCCTTTCAGGGCTACCACCGTACTTATCATGGCGTATATTACTCTTCGAAATGTTTAGTCACGTTAGTTGGGTACATGCAGATAGTCTCTGGGTGCCTGGTTCGTAAAGAAAACTTACCTTTGGAGACAGAAACTGAGCTATTATTGGAATCTGAGTCAGGAAATATGACAAATGCCAGATGACTAATGATCCCAAGAACCGAAGGACTCACATAAAAGATAACCATGAGCAGCATGGAGCTCAACACCGGCAAAACCGCATTCCGCCAAGAACCGAGCAGAATTCACAAACTGCCGAACTACGTCTTGAATATCCGACACAGTCATTTCCTTTGGAACGCCAAAAGCAATATTCCTGATGATAGACGCAGCGCAGCCATCCCCAAGTTTGAGCGGAACTGGGCTGGGTGCGATTGGGGTCCCAAAGATGCCTCTTTCGCCTGCCCCTCTCAGGGACTGCCTACCAGGATGGCAAATCTGAGCGATAACTGGTGTGCCTTGCTCCTGGCAGGCGGCGGCGTATTGCTTCCACGCATCTAGCTGATCCTCTCTCAGGGCGGATTCACGAGTTGCAAGATCATAATAATTTCCCAGGTTCCGTGGATCAACCTGGATGTTTCCTGTTCAAACTATCAGCTTTCAATTGGCTATGATGAAGAGCTTTGAGTCTCGCTTCACCGGTCAACAAGCCACCCCACCTGCCTTTGCCCCATTCGCCATAAGCCCGTGTGAACTTCTGGTCAGGCACGCGGGTTTTATCTGCCATAGCCTCGGCCATAGCAGCCTATATATAAAAGTACATGAGTTTATGTCTTGACACATTCAAGACTTGACGGGAGACTTCGTCTTTACCTTAACTAATCGATTCTGCAGGACCAGCCCACAGGGCAATTTTATTGGTTCACTGATCTCCGACGTCATCCTTCAGAACTGGTCCAGTCTAAGATCACGGCTGAGTTGTTGTTTGTATGTTTCCCTTCCAGCTAAATGCGAATGGAGGGTTCATCTTTCTTTGCTATTATTACATTTTATATATGAATGAAAGAAATGGTAAGTTTGTTTACATGCTAGGGGTACGATAAAGCATGCCAAGGTCTCTAGTCTGGCTTCAGACTTTCCCTTAAGATGTGTAGTCGGGCACGGGGTAACTTTTCCTCCGTAGGGAGTTAATTTCACGACAGGATTGGCAAAGCACTGAAGCTATTGCTTCGGGGGTTGTGAGTAATTCATATTTGATAGATTATATACGTGGCCGAGCAGAACGTGGCGAGCCGAAGGAGATGCCGGTTGCATGATGTAGGATGTACTTCAACCTCGTGCCGAGAGATGCTAATGTTCCTTTATTTAGTTAGGCTTGCGAGGAGTCGAGCGACGAGTACCCACAAGAGGATCCACCGGTGAGCTTTCGTGGAATTATTGCCCCGACGCTAAAGCGTTCCGTCGCCAGGCCCGTTGAGCCTAATGTGGTCCCTAATACTTCAGCCATTACTTAGCTTAAGTCAAAAGCTTCCCAACTGAAGCCAAGGTATTCCACATAAGATCGATAATGATCTTGTGTATCATTGTCTAGATATAGAACTTGGCAGATCGGTTCCGCATAAAGTACTCAGGGGCTCTCATGTTAAGGATAACGGCGGTAGCAACGATAGTGATCATTAGGGAACGAAAAGATTGTGCAGCTCAGCCAGGAATCCCTCAAGTAATGGCTTGGCTATCCGCTTATTTTTGGCACCTTTCTTTGGCAGTCATGTGTAGGAGTAGTTCAACGGAAATATTAATTCCTTCTTATCGTTTTTATAGTAATGGTTGGTCGGTTTTAATTGTCGGGTGCAACAAGGGAGATCTGCCCCTTGCGTGAGATATTTTTCTATATAAGAAACGGAGAATGCAGAACGCGGAGTTGAAAATGACAGAGAAGAAAGTGGCAGGAGAAAGTACATCATGCTAGCCCTAGGTAATCCACTTAGCTTTCGAAAACATTCGTATGAGACCGCACGTATTAATCTCTGCCAAGTACCATATAACAAAACGATATACATTAACCCCATGTTGAGAAAATAAAGTCAAATTGTATTCAATATAGCATGTAAATATTTGGCATGGATTGACTGAGAGATCTCTTGTTCCTCGGAGTAAAGGGGCATGTAGGTAGAGCGTACAGGGTTTATACCAGATGACAGTCAAGTTAATTGACCCGCATGGGGTTCATAAGATTATGGGAACACTGTGTTCATCCTTCAGCGAGCCACGGGACCATGTTTAACTTATATTTTACCAACTGAAGGACTAAACATTCTACCCAAGAAACGTTAGTTGTCCTGTTAAGTATCTATCCCGAGGCTTAGTATGCCTCGCTTATGCTTGACTTTCCCCGATCTTGACAGCGCAGGTTAGATGCTCGGTTCATAGGAGGGAGCGAAAACAAGCAACGGATCACCTCACGTTTCTAACCCCTATTCAGATTTAAGCTCTGCATTGGTGGAGCACGGTATTGCCGTAGATCTAACGGGGTTGCCGAGCCTCCAGTTTACATTTAAACTGGGGGCGGCTGGCATATGATCTTCAACGAGGTACATGGTTTCCAGTAACAAGTCCTCTTACCTGAGAGACATGCCATGCCATGAAGGGAGGTTGTCAAAACTCCAGCCGCACCGTTAGCGAATCTGAAAATCGCCGCCACATGTCTTGTTCCTATAAGGCGCCGTTCACCCCCTTCAGTCATTGTCACGGGCCATGGGGTCAAGTCGTTAAACCAGCAAGATTAATTCCATTCGAAAAAAGGCTTTGTGAGTGCCAGTTGTGCAGAAAGCCATGGTACAACAAGGAATCTACTCGCAATTTCTACGGAGCCGCAGGGCTTCCAGATATCGTCCCATGGGTCAGAAAATAAACGAATTACTGGGATCCTGATCGTTTGCTTACCTGAGGCTTTAGGCTTGGCGGAGTACACGCTACTATCCCAGTCGTTGGAGATCATGATAATGTTTTCAGCATTATGCAAGGGTTAGCACCTCTGAGAAACGGATGTAGTGTTCCTGGCAGCCATTTCGATCTCTATGCGGGAGGTGTTGCCTTTGAAAACAATATTAACGGCAATTACACTTCGTCCAAACAATCTTGGCATAGCGTTAGAAGTGTTAGTCCTGCTTGTGGGTCTCTATTTTGAATGATTTGATTATAGTTTGCTGATCGTGAAATTGTTCGATCAGGACAGAATACCGCAAATGCAATGCAATGAAAGTCAGAGTCGGGATTTACCATTTTCAAGCATTCTGCAGTCTGGACAAATTGGCTCTTGTGTTGAACGCCTGATTGGATATAAACTTCGGCGAGCTTGAATCTAACTCTGTAGCCTCACCGATGATCAGGATCCAGAACAGAAGCAATTGCGAGCCTATCTCGCCACGGGGTCTCCGTCGGGGGAACTCACGCACCCGATTGATGGGCGACGCCAAGATTAAGTAGATCGGATCCACCCCTTTTTTCTTTAATGCGGGGGTAAATGCGGCGTGATTAATCATCTATCATAGTGAATTAGCACTATATAATCAAGCTCTCCTTGGTGGGATAAAGCTATCGTTTGTTATTTCGTTAGAACTTCCCACTCGTCCTAACCTAACAGTGGGTATACGACAACAACCGCGGTGAACCCACAACCATTTTATTCACTATCTGGCTGACCGACCAAGCCAAATTGAAAATGTCTGCTACAATCCCAGATTCGATGCAAGCACTCGTCGGAAACCGACTGGCGGCCGCGCGACTAGTCAACTATGCCTTTGGGAAGCCCTGTGGAGACGGGGCGAAGGTCCAAACGGTGCCCACTCCAACCATATCAGACACGGAAATCCTCGTTCGTGTCAAAGCGGTCGCGTTGAATCCCACAGACTTCAAACATGTCGATCTTCTCGCCGCAAAAGGGGCCATCATCGGCTGCGACTTTGCCGGAACGGTGGCCAAGGTGGGATCCAAAGCACCCGGCAACTGGCAAGTCGGTGATCGGGCAGCAGGCTGGGTGCACGGTGGCTTGTATTACGACCGTGGTTCGTTCGCCGAGTTTCTCAAGGTCCCGGCGGACCTGGCTTGGAAGGTTCCCTCCAGTGTGAGCGACGAAGCAGCAAGTACCTATGGGGTGTCTGCCGTCACGGCGGTGCTGGCTCTCAATGCTCGCCTGGACGTTCCGTGGGCCGATGGAGGCCCGCAAGGAGGACATCGTGACTCGCCTGTGTTTATATACGCGGGCGCAACTAGTGCCGGTCTCTACGCCATTCAGCTAGCCAAACTAGCCGGCTTAAAGGTCGTAACCACGGCATCTCCACGGTCGCATGACCTGGTAAAGCAATACGGCGCAGACGACGTGTTTGATTACCGATCACCAACCGCAGCAGACGAAATTGCCAGGGCGTATCCACAGATGAGCCGAGCTCTGGACTGCTTTTCCGAAGGCGGTTCGACGGACTTTTGCATTAAGGTTGTACAGAAGGCGAAGGGCAAGGTGGTCACTCTGTTAGACAGGGGCAAGACGACCGACAAGGGAGTGGAAGTGGACTTTTTGCTTGGGTATGGGGCCTTCAATCTTCCATACCAGTGGATGCCTCCTGTTGGACCTCAATTCTCCGCCAACCCGTCCGACAACGCGGCTTTGCGTCGGTTTTATGCATCATTGCACGACGTCTGCCATCAACTGCGAGCACCTCCTCTCAAAAGCATCGATGGCGGGCTACACCATCTCAATGAAGGCCTCGATCTTCTTCGCAAGGGAAAGGTTGCTGGTACCAAGTTGGTTGCCCGTCTTCAATAACGTTCTACCCATGGTGCACATCAGTGTGAGGTACCAGCGTAAACCTTCATGTATTTATATGATTTGATGTTCGTTAAGCGGTAATAAACTGTGTACATTTGTAAGAACCACGACCATAATTATCCAACTGAAGAAATCATTGTTGCTAGAAAGATGTCAAGGATCTATGTTGATTTATCCACAGCTAGTCACTATACCATGCAAGGCACCTTATAGAAATCTTTCAACCAAATTCCCCTGGACCTTGACAAACATTACACTCCTCTTAGTTGATAGGATTCTCCATATTTGGGAGAGAGTTCTGGCCGCCCTTGAAGTGGATCTACATGCCAGTCGCCACCCTGGATCAGCGCTGAAAGGCGAAACGGATGGATGGTTGATCCGCAGTCCGCCTCCTAACAAGAATAACTTGCGACTAGAGCCCGACCAACTTTATCTGAGGAGGTTAAATTGTGGACCCTTTGTCATGGTTACGTGCTACGTCATGAAGCCCGTATTCGCCGGAAACATGGAAAGAGTTCATAGCAGCGGGCGAGATCCCGGTGGATAACCATGTCTGACGTATAGCAACCACCAAGGTGACTACTTAACTTCCTGCTCACAATCCTTCTCAAGACTGTTTTAATTTGCGATTTGTGTGACTGTGCACTTTCCTCTTAGTACTTTACCAACCTATCTTAACCAAATTATATTGAACACCATGCCGTATCTTAAACTTCGAGACGGAGCCGAGCTTTTCTACAAGGACTGGGGCAATCCAGATGGGCAGATCGTCACATTCTCTCATGGCTGGCCACTCAGCAGCGACAACTGGGAGAACCAGATGTTCTTCCTGGCCGAGCATGGCTACCGCGTCATTGCGCACGACCGACGGGGTCATGGGCGATCTACCCAGACCTGGAACGGCAACAACATGGATACATTTGTGGATGACCTGAAGGAGCTTTTCGAGCATCTCAACATTAAAGATGCCATGATGGTCGGGCATTCTCATGGCGGAGGAGAAGTGACCCATTTTCTCGGCAAGCATGGTACCAGCCGCGTCAAGAAAGCTGTGATTGTCGGGGCTGTGCCACCGCTGATGGTCAAGTCCGCGGCAAACCCCGAGGGAACAGACAAATCGGTCTTCGACTCCTTCCGCGAAGCGATGCGTAAAGACCGGGCACAATTCTTTTTGGATGTTCCTAGTGGACCATTCTTCAATTTCAACCGGGACGGGGTCCAGAAAAGCGAGGGACAAATTCGGAGCTGGTGGCAGCAAGGCATGAATACGAGCTTTAAAACAGCATACGATGCAATCAAGGACTTTTCAGAGACAGATTTCACGGAGGACCTCAAAAAAATTGACATCCCAGTCCTGGTTCTCCACGGCGACGATGACCAAATAGTTCCCATTGAGGCGTCCGGGTACAAATCCGTGAAGCTTTTACGACAAGGAAAGCTGAAGGTCTATCCAGGAGGGTCTCACGCCATCCACAACATTAACATCGACGAGGTTAACAAAGATCTTCTCAACTTCCTTGAGTCCTAGAAAGGATAATTCTACCTGTCGTTCTTCTTGGCGGCATTTGGAAAGACTTCACTCACTCGTACCGGATGATGTGGAATCATTTATTGTTTTTTAATGCTCGCTTAGAAGCAGTACAGTATGCTATGTGACCCGCAGGGTTTAATTATTTCCTATGCTTCCTTAGCTTCGGCGATACACGTTGCGGACCTTTTGATAATAACAATCCCTGCAAGCCGACAATCATCATTTGAACGTGGGTCGTGATCGTTGATCATCAGTTCCTAGCTTGTTTATTTAATTGTTCGATTTTAGTAAGGGCCCTATGAGGAGTACAGTTTGTTGTGGCGCTATATCAGCACTATACCCGATCTTTCCAGTGCGATATATATCACTATTATTAATAACTTCGCAGTGATCAAACAAAACTTGCTCAAGATTTCAGAGCAAAATACTTTTTGTTATTAAAGCAAATAGCGGTCACAACTCCAAGCTCAGCAGTCGAAAATTGTTGCGAATAAAGACAGAGTAAATTCCATACAGAATCTTCAATCTTAGAAAAAGAGGAGAAGGAGAAGAAGTAAGGGCAAAATAATCAAGGCTTTCCTTACGACTTGGGCAGAAACCCCCTTTCTCTCACTCGAGGGCAATGCATGCTCAACCCCCAATCCGAAAGAAGTCCAACCAAACCCCCTATGAACGAACAAACATCGGAACTAGGTCACTCCCCTCTCAAATTCTTAAACAAACCATGCCAAAACCCTGAAATATCTTCTGCGACCACATAGTCACACTCATTCATTTGTTTTCTCAACTTGTCAAGCATATACCTACGTGCCTGCAAACCCCACGAAGATGACCTCCAAGGAGCTGATCTCAGATCCTGAACCACAGCTACCACCATGCCAAGCAGCATTGCAAAGCTATCCAACGACCAAGCAACTGTATTTTGCCAAGGGCAGTCATAGATATAAAAGCCGGCGCCAGCGTACCGGACGTAATGTGGTTCGTAAAGCCATACATCACCGTCCACTGCGTCCACCATTACCATGCAGTCATTGACATTTCCAACATGAAAATATATATCACTGCACTGGGCTAGCGGACAAGAGGGGGTTGGATGCATTTCAAGTTCGTTCTTGTCCGTAAGAATATAGTGTTTCATACTACTCTCGGGGTCTTGTGTTAAGTGTAGAGACTCGAAAGGTATGCCGTATAGCTCGAAGGCAGGGAAGCCAACATTCAAAAGAAACTCCCGAGTACGAGCGTGGTCCAGGCCTTCAAGATCGGATTCTGTGGGCTTCCATAGTGTGTTTACTCCAAAGCAAGCTTCCAGCCAGATTCGGTTTGGAGCTGCAGCCCTAATGATATTGTTCTACATTGATAGTCTTCGTCAGCAGGTTTGATAAAAAATTCAAACATAATATAGAGCCATACTAGAATTGATTGAAATATCTTGCCTCGGTTATGCGGATCACAAAAGACAATGTAGGCGGAGTTGCATGATTGTGCGAAGTAACAAGCATCTCTTGTCGAGTCCAGGCCTTGGTAAATGAATAGGATGACCTCCGGTGGAAGATCTAGAAGCCCCATTCTTCATCGCCGAGTATCCTATGTACCAGTTGATGTGTTGCAAGAAAGGTATGTTAGAAGTTCACTTGAGTCATGCCAAGACATAAGGGCTAACCAGTTCTAGAACTGGCTCTTTTACACTGCAACATGCGAAAACGAAGAGAACCAGTCTGAAGGGCTCAGATTGCCTAGTATTGGACTTTCTCTCCTGATTTCATGGTGTTCAAAATAAGGGTGTCATCGCGTTGATGGAAAAAAGATAGTAGACTGATAGCGCTGGGGAGCAAACACCAATCGGGTCCATGTTGAAAAATATATTACCGGTCGTTTTTTGTCCTCTTACACTATATGTCCTCGTATGGGGTTTGGACTTCCTAGGATTAGGCGTAGGACAATCCTAGATTAGATTTAGAGATTAATAAATGCTGTGATTATGCTATAAGAGCAACTATTGGCACTTAGAGGAGACTATTTATGAACTCTAGTACTCTAGATACCAGACCCAAGTAGCAAGGGACGTGCTTCTTGAATTCATTACAACATGAATCCGCCAAGAGTTGCGGGGATAGCTCAGTTGGGAGAGCGTTAGACTGAAGTTTACTTCGATCAGATAAACCCGTTCGGGTTATCTAAAGGTCGCCGGTTCGATCCCGGCTCACCGCAATTGCTTTTTGCCTTTATACATTCCTTCCCCCTACCCTTGAGGGATAGATAATGTTTCATTAGTCTGAGCACAGACCATCTATATTTGGAAGCAATGCTGAGTGGAGTTTAACTTTATCAGTAAAGCCGTCAGGTTAGGTGTCCATGATGCCCAGGTCGTCCCATATCCTTTTTCCTTTTCTTTTTTTCTCTACCACAATCTAAATTGATGCCGTTCCACCAAACAAAATTAATCACCTATTACGATCAGGTGCTTTGGTCCGCATACCTGACGGTGTTCTTGTCAGTGTTTGAGCCAAGGCGGCCTGCTAGGGCCAGACTCGATTGCAGGATTCGATGGATTTCTAATGCTTGATAATTGTGCTCGGCCTTCGGTCCTATACAAAAGGTCCAAGTCCGTATATGTTAAGTTTGTAATATGCTCTTCTCTTTGACATAATCAATTTCAGATCAGTGATAATGAAGTTAGTAATGCAGAAATCCTTATGCGTGAACCTACTCACGTTCATCTTCTATAAATAACCTAAACGGGTCATGTATAATCATTTTATCACATTAGATGAATTGCATAGCAGACAGACGAATATTCTCCAAGGATAACCAAAACCAGTTCCATCAGCTAGATCCATACACGTCTTTTCCGCAGCAATCCTCCTGAAACTCCAAAATGACCGAGATCGCCCTCATCAAAGGCAGTACACGAATCCCATCAGTCGGCACCGACATCACGGATTGGGTCCACGATATACTAAAGACCCAAACCACGGACACTCTCCAAATTGAACGACTCGACATCGCTGACTTCAATCTCCCGGTCTACGATGAACCCGTCGTACCTGCGATGGTGACCGCGATAAAACAATTCACCAAAGAACACTCGAAGAAATGGAGTGCAGCCATCGCTTCCTTCCAGGGATACATTTTCGTCATACCGGAGTATAATCTCGGCCTTGCGGGCGGAACGAAGAATGCAATCGATTATTTGTATAGCGAATGGCCTGGGAAGCCCGTTGCGATCATCAGTTATGGTGCGCAGGGCGGGAGCAACGCCTCCCAGCAGCTTAGTGAGAGTTTGAAGGTGGTCATGAAGATGGAGGTGATGGCTACTAAAGTCTTACTGCCGTTATCTCCGGGGCCGGATATGCTTTCTGCGGTAAATGAGGGTGCCTTGGGAGAGGATTCACGGAAGGCCTGGGAAGCAGATGGGAAGAAGGAGCAGGTGCTTCAGGCGTGGAAGGAATTGAAGGATGCCCTGGAGCAGCCCAAGGAGGAGAAATAGTTGGGAAGGTATTCTTGGTGGATGGATCCAGGTACAAAATCACTCGTAGACATTTTCCTACGTCAGTACATAGTCCAGCCTTTAGTTAACCTTGCTTTTGTCTTTTTCAAAGGTGAGGTGATTCCTATACGCTCACCTGCATTCGTGGCTCTGCGTTTTGATCCCGATTCGATACCAGTTGCGATAGGCTATATAGAACTGTGTATTATACCATCTAAACCCTTTATTGTCTACTCCCTTCAACTTATATACTCTAAGTAGTATAGTCCTTTCAAGAATAAGAAGCCAGAGCCAAACCTTAGCATTATGCACCCCCACTCTCAAGTCAGCCCTGAAGCTAAGCTAGATACCTCACCTCAGGATAGTCACCCGACGGTCTATCCAAGAGCTTACTCCTCTCCCCAGTAACAAAAAACGTAGCCGACGCAACAATATACTCGGTCAAGATAGCCCTCACCCGCAACCCAGAAAGTGAACCTAACAACTCCGACGCACCCTGCTTCACGTTGACAGGCCACCCAGAAGCATCCCGAATCAGTGGGAAATCCGTGAAAGTGAGGTGCACGGACTCAGATAACCGAAGCAGCCGCTTGAATCCCCGGAGACGAGGCCAGATCTTCTCCCAGCTATCGTTGCCTTCTGGCGTGATCTTCGCCTGTCCAAAATTGATAAAAGGCCGATCGAGACCCTCTTCGAGTACTGGGCCCCAGAGTGCTCCGTCGAGGTTCAGCCCGCCAGCAAACCTGGTCTCGTTCAGCATTGCGGCTGCGGCTGTCGCGCCACCAAATGAGTGGCCTACTATTGCGACTTTCTCGAGCTCGAGGGTCCCTTTGAATGAAGATGGTATGAGGTGTGGGTTATCGTGTAATTCGTCCAGGGTGAAGATGACGTCTTGGACGCGGGTGTTCAAGGCGACTGGATCTGCCGCAGAGAGATTGGCGCCGTAGATAACGCTGCCGTCGGGGAAATCCACACTCGAGGCATCATAGGGATGGTCCACTGAGACTACCACCATGCCTGTGCTGGCTACGGACTCGAGGATTAAAGAATAATATAATCGGGATCCTGTTAATCCTGGGGAGAAAACAATGACGGAGTGTTTTCTGTCGTTCGGCGATGTGTCGGCGTTGGAATCAAACCCGGACTCGACCTGTAATCCTTTTATTGTTGTCCCATTGGGTATCCCGTAGGATCGAAACAGCTGGTCTGTTACTGCTTCTGTGTGTGGAGTAAGATACGATTCAAATTTGGTGTGCCCACAGTTAACGGGCACGTATGAAGTTGCCATGATCGCTCGTTTGTCATGGGTAGGGCTGAAGGGATCGACGCGCGAGCTATCAAGCAGTTTCGCGTGTGTTGTCTGTACTCTGCAAGGTCCGGATGGTCCAGGCAGGTGGGTTCCTGCTTGGGCCGCTCGGGCTAGAGCTGTAAAGAGTATAATGGCAGAGAGTAGCATGGTTGAAGATTGGCAATTGGAAAAGTACCATGGGATTACTGGTTAAATATTCTTGTTGGTCTTATATGCGAGGGATGGATGCCCGAGGGGTTAGTAAGCATGTAAACTCAGCCACAAGAGGATTTGGGGGCGAAATGCTAATGATAGCCCTACGCTTTAGGAAGGAGATTTGCTGAGCGGTGACATAAAGTACTGTTTTGCTTAGCCACGATGGGAGGCCTTTCTATATATTACTATATCAATGGTGAAGAGCAAATAATTCTATGGGAGGGAATGCGGCCACTCTATTGAGTATGGTTTCTTTCGGCCTGCGGGATTTTGTCGGGGGCCTTGTTTTATACATGAGCATTTCCCTCCGTAACAAGTTGTGTAAGCTTCTCTACGAAGATTACCTATTATCTCAGACGTGTTGATCAAATATTTATTTCAATCACCCTGTTCCTATTATATCCTAGGGCAGATCCTGACCCTAATATGGTTGAGCTATATAGCGAACATCCTCTCTATCTCAATACGAGCTTAAGCTAATCTGATCAGAGCGAAGGCTGGACAATCAAGAAGCAGAATTTAATACCTAGGCAGGGCGATGGCATACCATGTCAATAATATAGTCCATGATGGATTCCCCATTTAATTTCACCTCCTGGACGGGGGCTTCCACAGCAAGCATGTGCATAGGGAAAGGGGATGTTACCTGCCACCCGTATCTCGTGTGATGGAGACTGCAGCGTGGCTGAAAGGATCCGACCGATGCAAGGACAATTCAGCGCTCACCCAATAGTTGTGCAAAATGTGAATCCCACTGTCTCTTATGAACAAGCTGAGCGGCCGTTATTGTGCGATCCGAATAATCTCCCATTCCGAGTGTACTCCAGTCTAGAGCCACAGGAATCATAAGCTACCCCAATAAAGGCTAGTTATACTTGATTTAGGACGATCAGGTATTGGTCACTTCGTATTACCCAAGGCCAGGTGAGTATACGAAGGAAGAGACAAGGTATAAACTCTATTGGCTCCCTGCACCCAATGTCGGTGAAGCAGCCGACCCGACAATGTAATATTACAGGTTTATCTGGCCTGGCTTGCTTTCTTCTTTGGACCTCGCCTCTGATACGCTCCTCGGCTCCTCTGAATATGTGTTGGTTCGTTTTGAGCGTATACGTGGACGGTTGAAAGGCTGTATTCTCATTCGCTTACCACTTCAAGACATTTCGGAACGTAGCGGATATGCAGTCCAACAGAATCCCGGGGTTGCCTGACTGGGGCTGAGAAGTGCGTTTGCCAATTAGGCGCCGATCATTACTGATGTCTCACTTCTATCATTGGCCAGACTCCAGCTAAGCACCGCCCCTGTATTGATACGAGGACAACGCCGAGACGGCAAATAATAGTTAGTGTAAAGCTTGTTTGCTTTTTTGTTTCTCCCCATATGGACAAGCCGTAGTCCCCTGTTAGCCCTATAGAGGAAGGTCTCTATGATCTTGAACAGGTAGAAAGCCAGCAACGGATGTCTCTACGTCGGGTATTCGAACCTTTAAGGATGTTTCATTGTACAAAATACGACTCAGCCCCCTAGAGCTGTAAGGTTATGTAAATCTCCAGATATCTCTCTTCTTTCAGGCAGCTTATGGTACGGAACCTTTGGAGTCAGAGTCCAGCTGCGATGTAACCCAAATCATTAGGCGTCCAGGCCTCGGAAATCTGGAAATGGAAAGGAGACGGTGATCACGACTGCGCTGGCAGACATTACGGGACTCTCCTCAAGTATAAATATCTCGAGAAATCCATGAGAAGTTTCCATTCAACTTATCAAGCTTGCAACATCTTGTCCTCTATCCTCCAGCGCTCTATCCTCTCAAGATTTTCTGATCGCATCTTCACTACTTTCAAACTATCAGTAGTACCGACTGCAACCATGGTCAACTTCGCAGTTCTCCCTCTCGCAGCCATCACTGCCCTGGCCTCCCTGGCCGCCGCAAACAACTGCAAGACAGGCCTCAATTACTGTGGCTACAATCTCCTTGGAATCGGTACGTAGCACAGCATGTCGAATATATCCTATGGTTATACGTTACGAGAATCATGTACATTGACTTATACGTGTGTGGTAGGAAACTATGGTGCCCAGGTAAACGGAGCTTTGCGGGCTGCCAACCAGCCGACCGACGACGCCCACATTCGCGAATCTCTGTTCCATTGCAATGGCGGTAATAATGGTGACATTTCGTTCATCCAGTACTGCGGTGGCGGTTGCCGCGACGGCGGCTCTGGCAAGAGTGATTATTGTTAAGCAGTCCCGGGATTGCTGTAACGTCGTGAAGTTAGGGTAGCTTCTTGCATACCGCAGTGGACTCAGTGTGCTATGTATGTACATGGAAATATGTATGTATCTAAGGGAAGACTACAGAGTACATTGGTAGTGTCTGAATTCAACCTACATTCTATATATGACTATAGACCGGCCTAAACACAGTATCACGTTTGATATATTCAATTTTCATCTCTATCAACCTGTAGATTGTCTGATCCTTAAAAATGGTATCGCTCACTATAATGCCGATCAAAACATGTACCCTTTCTATATATTATATTGCAAATAGAAGACTGGTACATACGACCATAGGTTGTCCAGAACAGGGCTTCCCGTCCACTCAGCCGTACTTAAGCCACATATTAAACGCAGCCGACTGGAACACGAGCCTTTTAGAAGCTGCTGCTTCATAGATAAATGCTACTAAATTATAGGGAAAGTATAGATAATTTAGAGCGCAGGTGGGCAGAGTACATAGAGTAAATCAGTCGGTGAGTTAGATAACCCGCTAGAATTTTATAAAGTTAGAGAGAGGTACTCAGATTGAAGATAGTTGAAGGGCAAAGTACCCAACTACTAGGATTGATACACTTAATCGAAGTAACCCATTCCTTATTTCCTGGCCGAAGTAGAAAAGGCTTTCCATGTATTCTAGCTTTAGTAACTATGTTAGTAGTAGATATTAAGCCCATTGCAAAGCCAGCTCTATGGCCCAGTAGTTGTGCCAGTGTAGCCAGGCCCCAGGCTCAAATATGAGAGTATCATAATGCAGTGGGATATCCACCACAACTCAATAATCAAGGGGGTATGTAGTGACCTACACAGCTCTAAGGTAGTGTGCTGTAATATTGTATTTATAAATATAGTAACTAATTATTAAAGTCTACCTGGGTGATTGTTTAGATATTATAGGCTGTGACGGCAGACTGCAAAGGTATACCATTGTTCAGGTATATAAAAGCCGCTAGTTAAAAGTCTAGAATGAGAAACAATTGATCGAAAACTGCTGAGTGCTTATTTGCACGGGTCTCGGTGGGTATCTAAGACTCATTTTATAGTTAAGCCCAGATCCCCTTGACTCTACCAGTCCCCTTCGACTGGTAAACCTTGAACTGGATGCGGTGGTGGCAAAATGGCGCGATAATCCAACGCGTTACACTTGCCACCATATCCCAGGTGCCGTCTGCTTCCCTTCATTCTACTGACCTGCTTAGTTACAACAGGTCCCATAAGTGCCAAGGTTCCTCTTCCCATGGTTAATCATCAAGTGCATGGTTGCGCGCCAGCTACCCTTGTTGTCAATGGGACGGCAGGCAAACCGATTCTTCTCTGAGCTCTTGTCGATGTGATACTTTAGCAGCTGTGCGATGCAGCTCGGTCGAGCAATAGTATTTGCCTGGCTGCGCTTGACAACGGACATCACGATAGTATAATCATGGGTCGGACGGCGCGCTGCGAGACGCCCATTGCTCGAAGATTCGGCATCGGGGTCAGAGACCGAGAAAGCACCGTTGGTCCCTTTGTAGTCTTCAGGGAAGATGTCAGCAACAGAAGACGGCGGGTAAAAGGCATGCTCGGTGGGTATATCTTACAGAGAGTTTCATCCCTTTCACTGTAAACATAGTCATGGGATAGCGTTGCCTCGATACCTTCTCCGAGGTCGGACCGGCGACTCAAACTGCTGGCCTCTGGCTTCCCCTGGCTGTCTAGCATATACGGGAGAGAGAAATGGTAGTCGATGCCATGATCACGAACCTTGAGTTCGTCATGGCTAGTTATATCACGGATTTTCAGTTCCGTATGCGGATCCAGCCCATTGGGGCCAGAAGACCCATCTCTCCAGACTCTACGCAGGTTTCTTCCTGCTTGAATGGCAACAGCCACATCCTTTGTGGACATTTATCGTTAGCCTAAAACCTTCTGACTGTTGCACACATGCACTGGATACGGAAGACCTTACATTCAACCAGTGACCTATAGCTTTAGGAAGGTAGTAGATGATCAGTGGCCCACCGGCACCCCAGAACCACCATCGGCTGGGCATGTTGTCGCAAACCATTTTGGTTATGCCAGTGAGATCAGTGCACTGATTTTGCCGTGCGACAAGGCTTGTACCAGGGAGTGATGAGGGGTCCACAAGCTCAGACGTGCCCTCTATGCCATCCAAGGTCTCGAATATGGTTATATCTTCCCATTCATAAGACCCATTTTGGCCGACCTGGGAGGAGGACTGCTCAAGGATAGAGTAGAAGTCATGCACGTCCCTGAGCTCTCCTAGCTCGACATTGTTACCATGATCAAAGGACCTCGCAGCAAGAAAGTCTGCAGAGACCGAACTCCACAATAAAGAATAGAATCCAACGGATGACAGCTTCATTCTGAGCAGGATGAAGTCGGAAAATTATAATATAAAGAGGTTGTGACTGACGATAAAGCATGATGGACAGAGAGGTTGTCCTCTTTATAGTTCTTCTAGAGGGATACATCTAGCTGTTTTGGGAACTGCGAAAGTAGTGTCAAAATTCGATTCGCTCGGCATATACAGGATTATGGTGGTCATTCTTACTGTAGGCAAAGTTCAATTTCTGCCGACGCGCATATGTCCACCTCTTGAGTTTAGATCCCTCATGTCTTCACTGATGCTCTTGCTGAAATGCTACCACTTATGTAACATTATACTGCTCGTCTCACTTGGCATATCATTGACAGCCGCAATAGGTTTGAAGCAAGCTTGACTATTGAGATACTAGCGCCGGCTGTTTCTAGCACTAATGTAGCTGACGCCGTATAGGGATATATGAGCATGGTTCACTAATTCGTGAGGTTGTGACCCCAAACTTGAAAACTCCCACGAATGGTACTATTATCTCTTAGCACGCCCGAGTCGCTACCAGATTAAAAATAGGCTGTAATAATGGGATAAGACATATGACTAGCCTAGGTCATATAGCTACTGGTTCATAGACAGCTGGACCCTTTCAACTACTACCGTCATTGGTCTAAGAAACAATACAAACCCTCAGAAGATCCCTAATAGAACTCGTAAAATGCTAGAAGAACCAATAAAACATGGAAGGAGACATAGGAGCCTTGCTAGCTGCTTTCCTAGGTCTAGCGCCCAAGCATCGTCTCCCACCTTGACATAAATCCCTCAACCTTGGGTAGCATCCTATATGCATTCAAAGGCTGAGTGAGCTGTGGACTGTGCAAATACAACAGGGGTCCAAAATTATGTCTCCTGTACTTATAGGTACCCAGCTACCCTGACCGGCTACTATGGGCTGCTATGTACCTATAAATACAGGGGTCACATACTTTTGGACCCCCACTGTACTTACCACAAGCATAGCTATTGCCTAGGTAGTCTGTATGCATCATTATCGTGAGCATAGAAAGGATAGTTGTGTTCAAAACACCTGTCTTCATCTTATGAAGAATTTCGGCTGTGCCCGAATCCTAGTTTCAGTTGTTTGCTTCTGACTACTTCCTGGCTGACCTCTGTTAAGATTTCAGAAGGATCTGGGCCTTGGCTATATACTAGCTTCATATTCTAGACTGGATAACTAGCATGTGAAGCTCCCTAATGAAGGTCTTGGCAGCTTGGAAGTTCGGTAGGTTAGTACAGATACAGTCAATGTATGGAGTACAGTTACTTCCCCTTGCACCTATCAGTTCCTGATCAGTTAGCTGCTTGTCATTCAATGACGACCAGAACTTCAATGTAGTCTTAGCTGAAGAACTGGAAAGCCATGAGAGATGGTCTCCGGTTGTCTTACGTGGACTTTGCATCCATTATTGTCTTGGCTATGACTGTATGCCAAGACATGTTAGACTAACCTATACCTAAAGCCACAGCCAAGACATCGCTAAATGTAACCTTATTACCTTCAAGTTCCTGCTTTTCTCCCCAATGTTGAAAATGAGATTGGAACTTGTAAGGACCAGACATCTTTACCCGTTTAAAGTCTTGAATCGCCGGTACAACCTCGCAGTCTCTGTGTGAAACTTCTGATACTTAGTCATCTTGTTTTTTTTTTTTTCCTCCTGGGCACCAGCGCGACTGACATCTTCAATGACACCACTATCACCATCAGCATCGAAACCTGCCTCAAGTCTGGCCACAAGCACTGAATCTGTGCTTTCTGGTAGGCCCCGACGATTTACATACAGTAGGAACCTCGAAAAACTTCTCTGTGATGCTGGCTAGATTTAATTCCTCACTAGATCACGCTAAATGCTCCAATCTCATTGCTGTTTTCTTCATTATCTCTGCTTTCCGTGGCGAACAATCGGATCAAGCCCGGCTTGGTAGGTCAGATACTTTCATTCTGCAGTTTTTTGATTACATCCTCTCCTTCCACTTGTGTTACTTCATTAAGACGCGATCTAGCTAACAGTTTTCAAGTTAAGTTAACGGTTGCTGCCGCAATTACATTCAGCATGCATGCTTTCCTTCTCTGTTACTCTCCTCCAGAAGAACAGCATCTGTCATCTCTGATACTATGCATGATCGGCGGTTCGATGACACTCTATATATCCTTACTTCTACTTTGGTAAATAAGTCATTGCGCAGTTTACAGCTTGGATAGGTATTAAGCTAGGGCCCTCGGACAATTAATTTCTTGATGTGATGGATTTGTGGCCTTTCCTAGGATGTTCAAAAGTATCTTAACCAGGGGACAAGCCCCGACTTTTATAACAAGAAGAACAAGCAGAGCCAGGGAAAAAAAACAGCTGTTGGCAATTGCTGCTACCGATGACTAGATACGTATAATGGGCTCTTTAGAAGCTATTGATTTATGATTGCGCGCCGCTAGCCGCAAGGTGAACGTGGGTAATTTGGATGATGTCGTCCAAAGCGAAGGTGAGTGAGACAATTCGCTAGGACTTTGGTGAAGTTAAATAGGGGCACTCTACTTGATTGTTAAACTTAGGCCTATTATAATCGATTAATTGCCCAGCTCATAGGTGGTTTCTCTTAGAAAGGATGATTGACATTTTGTGCGATCGAATAGTAGTTGTGTCGGGCGAATCGCACTTCCCCGCTTCCCTTTCCATCTCCTACGCCCTCCCCGAGAGGCCCGTGTATATACCAAAAGAGTATATAAATAAAGTAAGAGACAGGGATTAGAGACTCTTTAAACAGATACTTTGGTTACTCTAATTTTCATACAGCACTTTGCAACACTACGTATCCTTAGGAACTTTAACATCATGGTCCTTCTCTCTACGGAATGGCTTGAGGTCAAGATTTCACCAACTACCTTCTTATTGTTCGTTACTAATATGTAAGGATACAACTTGAACAAGCCCTTGGGAGTCGCCCACTTCTCAAAGGCTCCCCGGAGGATATCAAGAAGCAGTACAGCGGACTTATGACTTTCCTTGCGGAGGCCCGCCCTCCGCCAGACCCATCTGTATCCGTGAAAGATATGACAATCGCCGGGGTCAAGTGTCGGGTATACACGCCCGGTTCGCCAACGGCTCCTCGCCCCGTCGGAATATACACCCATGGAGGTGGATTTGTTTGTGGTGATCTTGACTCTGAAGATGCGCTCTGCCGAGTGATCTCCAAGGCCGTAGACTGCATTCTTGTCAGCGTAGACTACCGGCTTGGCCCTGAGCACAAGCTCCCGACCATGCTCCAGGATACGCTAGCGGTATACCATTGGGTATGACTTACTCTGCCCTGGAAATGACTATTCTAACAACATTCCCTATTTGCGCAACAGGTATGGGAGAACGCTTCCCAATTCAGCGGCAATCCGGCCGCGTTCTTCTCCATTGGCGGAAGTGCCGGAGCGGGATTGGCACTTGCTGTTGCGAACCACTATGCTCAGCGAGCTGACGGTAGGAATTATATCAAAGGAGTTGTTGCACTAGTACCGTTGGCGTTGCACTGGGATAATGTCCCTGCCGAGTACAAAAGCGACTATACGTCGTATGACGAAAACGCAGACAATGTCCCGGTTATCGACAAGTCTACAATGGAAACATTCTATCGTAAGTCATTATGCTAAAGCAAAATCCAAACCCTCTTCAATAGCTTAGACTTGTATCAGAGGCTGTCGGGGCCGATCCAAATGATTCTAACATATTCACTGCCTTGTCACCCCATCTTCCAAACTTTCCACCCACGTACATCTGTACCTGCGGAGCGGATCCCCTCCGGGACGACGGGACTGTAATGGAGAAGGCTCTCAGGAAGGCTGGGTAAGTTTCATATTACAGATGGTCTACCGTCTGCGATTCTGCCTCGAGCATTTCTAACGACATCTCTTAGTGTTCCAACGAAGCTGTCAACATATCCAAATCTACCTCACTATTTTTGGATCTTCCCGGACCTGGAAGCTACTGGAGCGTTCGTCAATGATGTGATTGCCGGGACTAACTGGATCATTTCGCATTTTCCGACTTTAAATTAGATCGTTGGGCTGGCTATTTCTGCCTGACTGGCTGTTATGGCTGTACAAAGTATCTCACTAGTCTCAGTAATTCACAAACAAGATTTTATAAAACAAGGTTTCTGAGCGTAAAGAACCGGTTATGTGAAATCCTACAGCTTTAAGAGCTGTATATGTTATTAAAGGTGTAATGCATTATGTGTCCTGCCGTCCTCGTTGGCGGTGTTGGGGCATGTCTTATTGTTACTCGCACCAATGCTTAGTAGTTGCTTTTGTCAGAAGCGTAAATCTATGTCCTTCGAAATAATGCCCCTCACGAAACGATAAGCAGATTAACCCCAGGTCCATGGGAGGGTCAAATCTAATCTACTCCGCTTCGCACGGGTGCGAGTCGCGACAAACTCAATCCCCACATTGTTGGTGCGAGTGTGCGAGTCGCACTCCCAAGCCGAGAACGCAGATCCGGCCAGGATCTCAAGACATCTAAAAAGCTCAATTAGCAAGAAAGACAATATATATTACAGAGTGTTAATGCTGCATCGCATTGATTTAAGGAATACTTTTCAGAACTATTCCAATATTCCCTACTATCGCTTCTCTTCACATAGCCAAGCTACAACAACTACAACAACAACAACAACAACATGAACGGCACACAAGCATCATCCAACGGCATCCATCACGGCGTGTTACACCTAGATGCGGTGATCATTGGCTCGGGTTTCTCCGGGATATATCTCCTGCACAAGCTACGCGACGAGCTGGGACTGAACGTCAAGATCTTTGAGGCCGAGTCAGACATTGGTGGAACATGGAATAATAACCGCTATCCTGGGGCGCGAGTGGACTGTCCAATTCCATTGTATGCATATTCATTGTCGAAGATATGGCAGTCGTGGAATTGGACGGAATTGTACCCCAATCAGAAGGAAATCAAGTCCTACTTTGACCATGTTGATCGCGTGTTAGATGTGCGGAAAGATTGCCTGTTTAAGTCGAGGGTCAACGAGGCCACGTTTGATGAGGCGGCTGGGCAATGGACGGTTCGGACGACGGATGGGAAGGTGGCAATGGCGAAGTATCTGCTTGTGGCGGTGGGTTTTGCATCCAAGTCATATCTGCCCGATTGGAAAGGGCTCGAGTCGTTTCAAGGGACGATTTACCACTCGGCGCATTGGCCGGAAGCAGAAGGGGTCAGTGTGAAAGGAAAGAAGGTGGCAGTTATCGGCACAGGCTCGACAGGAATCCAGATATTCCAAGAGTGGGCCAGAGAGGCTGAGGAGGCGTTTCTCTTCCAAAGGACCCCGAATCTCTGTCTCCCAATGAGACAACAAGAGTTACATGTTAACTGCCAGGTGAAAGATAAAGGGAATTATGCAGACTACTTGGCCGAGTGTGCGTTAACCTTTGCCGGGCTGGAGTATCAGCCAACTCCGAAGAATACATTTGATGCGTCTGAAGAGGAGAGGGAGGCGTTCTGGGAGAATCTCTACCAATTGGGCGGGTTCCGGTTCTGGCAAAATAACTATCAGGACTTCTTAACTAGCCTTGACGCCAATCGCGAGGCATACAATTTCTGGGCTCGAAAGACCCGTGCGAGGATTCAGGATCCGAAGAAGCGAGACCTGCTGGCTCCGCTAGAGCCCCCATACCCGTTCGGAACGAAGAGGCCTTCCCTTGAACAGGATTTCTACGAGCAGTTCAACAAGTCGCATGTCCATATCGTTGACACAAAGAGCCAACCCATTGTGAATGTGGCACCTACCGGCATTGTCACCGCTGATGGAAAGGTCCACGACGTCGATATTATCGCTGTGGCAACGGGGTTTGATGCAGTAACGGGTGGCTTACTGCGCCTCGGTCTCAAAGATGTGAACGGTATCGGTCTCGACGAACGCTGGAAGGACGGCATGTCCACCTATCTCGGCATGGCCATTAGCGGATTCCCAAACATGTTCCTCCCATACAGCCTCCAAGCGCCCACCGCTTTCGCCAATGGACCGACTCTAATTGAACTCCAGGGAGACTGGATCACATCCCTGATCAGCAGGATGGAGATGGAAAACCTCCGAAGTCTCACCGCTACCCCGAATGCAGAGAGTACTTGGAATGACGAGGTTAATATGATTACTAACATGACGCTTCTGCCATTGACTGATTCGTGGTACATGGGATCCAACATTCCGGGCAAGCCCGTCCAATCATTGAACTATCTTGGTGGTCTTCCAGCCTATCGAGAGAGGTGTGCGAAGGTTCTTGATGAGGATTTCTTTGGTTTTGCGAAAGCATGATGTCTCTTTACTCCAGAGTAGAATTGCTTTTCCCAGTACATGTAAATATGATATTTCCTATCCATTGCTTAACTTATACTGATATTTCAATTGGATCACTTAGTTACCAAGCAAAACATTCATGATTTACGTCTGTATTCACTTCTTTCATGGGATGACTTTGTCCCATCAAAGGGTATCTGTGTATAAACTGAAATACGCCAATACCCGTGATACATACCATATTGCGCCTGTCAAATGGCATAAGGAGAGAAAACAAGCAGAAAACCTCCCGTCACGGTCTAAATGGACAATACGGGTAGTGGGTTATCAGGAGGAAGCGTGAAAGAAGAAGGCGATGGCACATTCTCGGATGCCATGTCTTCTTCTAAGGCGGGAAATAAAGAGAAGAAGGCTTTGCACATCTTCCATTTCGAAAGGTCTACCAAATGTAGACTGAAGGCTTCAGAGAATGAATATAATGCATTCCCCGGGTTAATCTCATAGGCATTACTGATTGAATAGGGCCACGATAATCGGAAGCAGGAGGCAAAGTACTTGAAGAATCTGTCGGTAAGTATGTCGCAATTTGAGAACACTAGGCGTTCGCGGAAGCCAGGCCTAAGTTTGCCAGAACCAGTTAGTTCTTCGAATTGGAAATTATGGAATCATAGATAGGGGTTATATATATGTACCACGCGAAATAGTCCGCAGTGGGGTTGTGCGGAAAGTGAAGCTGTGAAGGCCTTGGTGGGTAATTAGCATAACATGTATTCAACGATGGTCAGGCAAATACAAACCTCGGCCGATACCACGGTGGAACCCCTTCAAAATTATTTTGATAAATCATTGCCTAGAAGAAGGTCAATATACAGGTTTGTCAGTCGTCCAGTAGCTCATACCGCGAGCATCTTGAGGATGGTGCTGAGCATTGTCAGACGTGTGAGGACCCCGCTTTGTATGAAGATCCGCTCATCGATTTGGCTAATGATTTTCCACAGCGGGCATGAATACGCCCGGTCCTCTATAAAGTGCCAGCCTTCAAGGACCCCGCGGATCATGGCATCTTGGTTTAGCTTGTCATCGGAGCAAATGTCTAGGATGTTCAACCCTGAGCATTGCGCGAAAAGTTCGTCGGTGAATTCAAGTATCATGCAACTGCTGCTATTCTGAAGTGATGGAGAAATGGTTGGCCAGGCGGTCGAGTGTTCGTTCCCCCAAGTCTCTGGGGATTGTCTGAATGGGGCTATTGTTTCTGAATTGAAAGGAGTCGTTGATGGTCGTGAGGCCAACATTGTGCATGGCTCATCGTGTATGGACGAATGGAGATCGGATGGGGGCAATGGGCAGCTCCCGATGGAGTCTTCTGGGGACATGGCGATAGGTGGTAACTCTAGATCGAGTCTATCAGAGTCAGAAGACGTTCATTATCGGGCAAGGGAAAGGCCACAGTACTGAGTCTGAGATTGTAGTAAAAGCTGTAGTGCAGCGACTTGGCTCTGGAGATTCTTTAGGCTCTCTTTTTCTTTTTCCTGTTTTTCTCGCTTGGATATCCTGTCCTTGTAACGCTTGCGCTCTCGTTGCGCCGGGGTCAACACACGCCCGGATGTCCACGGTTTAGTCGGCATTGATCGGTCTGACGATATTCGTGTAGCCATTGGAATTGCCTTCAACTTTGGGACAGGACGGTTGCGGAGAGACTTCCGACGTGTAGAGGATGTCGCAAAGAAACGAGTAATAGAGGGCCTGGGACGTCAGAGATCAGGGACCACAGACATCCTCACACCCCGCACTTGTTCCCCATGTTTCCGAAGCTTCGTTTTGCCCCCGACTAGGGCGCTTTGGGATAAGCCGAGGTACTAAAGGTCGAATTGTGGCTCCCCAAAGAGTGTGGAGTGGATTTTCCGCGAACCCAGTGGAGCCGGTGCGAATTACGTACAACGGGATGATTGGCCTCTCCGCAGATCGATGGATTAACATCTAGGGTGTGCGAATCGCGCAAATGTTAGGAAATGACCGGCAGTAGTAATGACCCTCCCAAAGAAATTGTATATATATAGCATACCAGAGTCGCTTTCCAGTGTCAGCTTCTCGTTCGTGTTAAAATACACTTTCAGTGGCATAGCCTCAGAGAACCACAGCAATTCCATTGGTAGAATTGAATTCTCAAAAGTCTGTCAGAATCATCATGTCGGCTTCAGTCGAAATTCCCAAACAGCACAAGGCGGCAGTCTATGACAAGCCTGGATCTGTATCAACCAGTGTGAAATTGGTGGAAACGCCAGAGCCGGGATTCGGCCAGGTTCTGATTAATATGTGAGTATTTTCATGTTACCTTTGTTGGCCGCGTGCATGGAACCACTCATCTGTGGATGGAATAGGACTCATTCCGGTGTCTGTCACTCTGATCTAGGTGTCATGACAAATTCCGTGAGTACATGCATTGTATATCATTTACTGGAATGTATCTGACATACTGTCGAATTACAGTGGAAGCCACTGCCGTTTCCAACTCAGGAAGGGCAGGTTGGAGGCCACGAAGGTGTTGGCGTGGTCGTGAAACTTGGACCTGGATGCGATAATTCACAAGTCAAAGTAGGGGACCGCGTTGGAGTCAAATGGGTTGCGGCTGTCTGTGGAACATGCTGTGTGTTGGCCCCATATTACAGCAACCTAGAACTAAATACTGACGAAAAGCTACCAGTGCCTTGCCTTGTGGGGTCTGACGGACTTTGCCTGAATGGAAAGATATCAGGCTATTATACCCCTGGTACCTTCCAGCAGTACGTTTTGGGGCCCATCGATTATGTGACCCCAATTCCAGATAGTGTCCCCTCCGAACTAGCAGCACCTATGCTTTGCGCAGGTGTAACGGTGTATGCGGCCCTCAAACGCAGCAAGGCGCAATCCGGTGACTTCGTCGTTATATCAGGGGCAGGAGGTGGTCTTGGACATCTCGCCACACAGATCGGAAGTCGTGGCCTTGGGCTTCGGATAATTGGAGTTGATCATGGCAGCAAAGCCGACTTAGTGAAAGAGAACGGCGCAGAAGCTTTCGTGGACATAACCCACTTTCCGAAGGACGATAATGGCGCTGCGATTGCAGAGCATGTCAAATCTCTGACCAACGGCCATGGTGCCCATGCAGTAATTGTTTGCACGGCATCCAATATTGCCTATGCGCAAGCAATCCCCATGCTCCGCTTTAATGGCTCCTTGATCTGTGTAGGCATTCCGGAGGGCGATTTGGTGCCCATTGCCACAGCAAGCCCGGGCCCTCTCGTGCTTAAGCAAATTTCAATTGAGGGGTCCGCGGTTGGAAACCGACGAGACGCACTTGAGGTCTTAGACTTTGTTGCGCGCGGGGTCATCAAGCCTCATGTTCGAACAGAGAAGCTGGAGAAACTAACAAGCATTTTTGAGGAGATGCACTGTGGTAAGCTCAACGGACGAGTAGTTATAGACCTATCTTAAGACCTCTGAATAGACAAACGGACAGTTGCCACGACCTCTTTCTTTCCGCATCCTCCGAGAGCTACTTGGTTTTATCTACCCTCACTTAGAGCGAATATCATTTGTATGAACTTTCAGTACAAAACAGTATGTTAGGGTTAGCAGGGTTAAGTTAAACCGCGGCTTATCCGCTAGCTTATCCGAGCGGCGCTCCTGTTGTGTGGTTTTGTTTATTTAAATCTTTTGTTATTTCATTTTCATTTTGATTTTAGAGTTTGATTTTTGATTTTTGATTTTGATGTTTCTTTTGGTTTGGACTATTCAATTCTCACACTGCTTTAAAGAGGGTTATAGTTACGATCACTTTAACCGAAAAAGCATTTTGCCAAGTTTGTATGGTTGACTGCTATACCTAAGCAGCGCGTTACCACCGTCTATAAACTAGTAGGTATATTTATATCTCGGGTGCCTATCCCCCAACTTATCCAACTGCTCTTCATACGGCAAGTCCTCTACCCCCCTCAACAATCGTACCGGATCACTCTTTTTCCTGCGATTCAACATCCGCAACAAACCAACCTGCGCCACCACAAGCGCCATCGCAATCACCGTTAAGGAGAGATTAAACCGGGATCCCAGCTGATAGTATGGCGCCGACTTCTCGGGGTAGATCCACGTGCTCATGATTCCACCGCAATTCGTCGCAATAAACGCCATAGCCACCGCAGTTGCACGCCGTACATGACCGGCCGTGTTATTGGGCACCCAACTGATTAAGCAAGGGGCGCACGCATACACACCAGTCAGGAGGAGCACCAGGGCCGCGTAGCGAACGCCAATACTGCGCCCGTTGATGGCCAATGCTGCACCGATCAAGGCAATACCGCTGGTAACGAAGGCACCGATGCCCCGCTGCTGATAGCGGTCGGAGAAGTATGCTGTGATCATGGTCACGACGAATCCACAGGCGTACGGTGGCACGGTCATGAGCTGCGTCTTGGTGGAGCTGTACCCGAGTGCCTGCACAATAGAGGGTGAGAAGTACGCCAGGCCGAAGAGACACGCGCCGTTGCAGAAGAGAATGAGACATGCGATCCACACATGGAGGTCCTTCAGGACGGAGATTACTTCTTTGAAGGAGACCTTGGTTTCGGTCTCGAACTTGTTACCGTCTTGCTGCAGTCGGGCGATGCATCGCTCCGTGTGCTCGGGGCGGAATGTGATCACCTTTTCTGGGCCGTTGGGGAGCACTAGGAATGAGAAGAGGCCAAAGCAGACTGTGAAAAGACCCTCTAGCAGGAAAATCCACTGCCATCCCCTCATTCCTCGCAGGCCGTTCATCTGCTGGATGGCGGCGGCCAACAGACCCGAGAATGCACCGCTCAGGGAGGCTGCGGAAAAGAAGAGCGCAATCCGAACCTGTAGCTCGTGGCGGCGGTAGAAGTTGGACAGAAATAGCACAATACCAGGAAAGAGGCCGCCTTCGAGAAGGCCGAGAAAGAAGCGGCAGGCGAGGAAGCCAGAATAGTTGTGCACCTGAGATTGGAGTGTTGTGACCAAACCCCAGAGGGTGCACAGCGTGGGCAGAAGGATCCGAGGGCCAATGATCTTCAGCAGGAGATTGGAGGGGAGCTCAGAAATCACGTAGGGAACATATGTCACGGTAATGGCTGAGCAGTTAGTATGGAATGGACGAAGCGATCCGGACATATGTACCTGTTTTATATTGCAGATCGGTCAAACTCAAGTCTTTTTGGAGACCAGCCTTTCATTCTATGGTTAGCTGAGTATTATATGTGTAGATGATGCATTGAACCCACCACTCGTGCATTTCCGACATTTGCACGGTCCAGCCACGCCAGGAGATACAACATGAGCGTCATCGGCATCAGCAGTAGGTCCAGCCTCCGAACTGTTTGTCGGTCGAGTTTCAGGGTTCGCTCATCCATTGGGATCTCTTCCTCGATGACATCCTTTTTAGCCTCTGGGTCCCCAGTTGGGTCGGGGAAGGATTTTGTGTCGGCCATTATGACAATGAAACTGCTAATTGTAGGGATGATCCCTTAGAAAACTCCAATGCATGTTGCAGCCGCCGCTTCTTATACCCGTGGTCTCAACGCAAGGGATGCGGTTCCTGCAGAAGGCCCAGAACTGCCGAACAGCTGGCCGAAGCAGGCGTGAATACGGGATGTGGCTCCTGTCTTGTGGGGGAGGACCAATGACATTTTCATAAGCATTTCCAAGACCCCAGACCAATTGAGCCAAGACGATCTCCCCGACTACCTCCATTCTCTATCCTGCTTTTAAAATGCGGGGGCGGGGCCACTAAGCGAGGCTTGCGGGGAGACATTCGTATCCTTAACCTCGGCCCCTGGACACAGTGTCTGGACCTCGCTCCTTATCTTCAAATTCGCATGGTGGTCGATTGGAATTTGGCTGGAGGATTGTTTGATTCATCCTAGCACTCATCAGGTCTAAGGATCATTTAAACGTTGTCGGTACTCTGTGTCGGTAGATATGACGGTATGAGACAGTACAATCGACTTGGTCAGGTCAGGTTCAAATCCCGATGATGTCCCTATCACAGATCGAGCGGGCCTTCAGTCGAGGTGGACGTATTTAAGGAAATCGAGGATAGAAAATGTCCACAGCCCTTTGAGGCAGGAAATGTTCTTTATATCATTTAGATATAAATAAGCTTGATCTTGAACAAGTATCTCACGTGCTGGTCAGAACCCCTAAAAACAGATAGCGCCATTTTGACTAATGCTACGAAAATCAATCACACTGAATACGTTCTGACTCCTGAGGTGTCTAGAAAACCCCGCACGCGGCTTTCCTAGGTAGGCCTAGCGCCTGAGCACCAGGATCTGCATATAAATCATCCTTCTGGTCCTCCCACATTAGGTTTTCGAGCGATGGATCAAGTTCCCTATTTCCTGGGTCTTAATGTACCATCTATCTTGCAGCGCATCATACAATATTCCCACGCATCGATTCGTTCGGAGACGTATGGAAACGCGACTCAAGCGAAGGGAAACCGTATACTATGATGATCGTAGCCCTGATGACGTGCTCTCCGAAGGGTCATATGGCATCAATTACTACCTCACTTGCATGACAAATCACAAATATGACGTGACTAATCCTTGCTTGCTTTCGTGGTCTGTCAACTTCCATTTTTCATGATTCCTCAGTCTGCAACCTCAACCAGATTGATAATCCAATAGGAGGAGCCGGAATTAATTCCGGGCACGGATCCTGCCGCAGCCCCCGCTCGGGCAGTATGAATAGAGTTTATATAGAGAGGGGCACCAGCTGAAAACCATCTTACTTCGACTGTTCAAGTACATTTCACAGCGTGCAACGGAGAGCTCCTGAATCTTTCGAATCCTCTCTCTTTTTCTTCCTAGATTAATCTTTCACAATGGTCCTCAAACTTCACGGATTCCCTCTTTCCACTTGTACTCGTCGAGTACGCACCGTTCTCGCCGAGAAGGGTCTCGAGGCTGAGTTCCACTCAGTCGACTTGGCCAAGGGCGAACAAAAAGCAGAGTCCTACCTGAACGACCTGCACCCCTTTGGCAAAGTTCCCGTTCTACAAGACACCGAGACGGGTGTTCAGATTTTCGGTTCGCAATTCCCCACCGACCGTCGAATTGCTCACAGAACGCTAATATCCATCAAATAGAAAGCAGAGCCATTAATCAGTACATCTCCAGCAAGTACGCCGGCCAAGGAACCGCCCTTTCCCCTCCCGAGTCCGATCTGAAAGCCTGGGCTCTGTACCAGCAGGCACGTAGACACTCTTGCCAACGTCCCTTCTATATCGCTAACGAGATGCAGGCCCTCTCCATTGAACAATCCTACTTCGACCCGATCGTTTCCCAGATCGCTTTTGAGAAAGTCTTCAAAGTCCGCAAGGGCCTTGGTGAGACCGACGAGGCTCGCGTCAAGGTCCTCTTTTCGCAGCTCACACCCGTCCTCGAGGGCTATGAGCGGGTGCTTTCCAAGCACAAGTACCTTGCGGGTGACCAGGTGACACTTGCAGATCTGGCCCATCTGCCGTATGGTGTGTTTGTGGAGCAATTCGGTTTCGCTGATCTTCTGCCGAAGTATCCGCATGTTCAGAAGTGGTGGGAGGCGTTGAAGGCGAGGGAGAGCTGGAAGAAGGTTTCTGCTTAGGTTTATACCTCTTCGTGGTCAATGGACTACATCGAGATTCCTCGTCCAATCGGCGATGTCAATGTCAAGGACATTTAGAAGAAAATACTAATTGAGATAACATATGAACATATTATATTATGGCAAATGTCGCAACCTATTACTATCTGCAGATGGCAGCGACTGTTATTCACTTTCGCCAGCCACCCCAAATCAATTATTGACTCTTTACTATACCTATAGTGTATAGTTAGCATGGGTACGAAGAATAAAAGCCCCTCGAAATTGACCAATCAGATCGAGAGAATCAGTACATTGGCCCTACTACACTGGTTAGGTCCAAAAAAAAAATGAAACAAAAACAGCAAGCAAAAGAATGGCATGCCTTGATACTCTTACCAAATATCAGCATCCATACCATCTTTCTCGACCTGGGTTTCCGATATACACTCTTAGATAGGACTATCAAGCCCTAACTGCCAAGCCCCGCTGAGCCACCTGAGGCTCTGCGCATTTATGCGCGTACCCTACTGGAAGACGCATGCTTCGCACACTAATCCCCTAAAACGATTATTTGGAAGTGAGTTATAAATTTATTGGTATATTGCGTATAGGGTTGTCATCGGGGCGGGCTTTTATGAGATTCGACTCAACCCCTGAGTCAGTCGAAAGATAGCCAGGCCTATGGGTTCTCTCTACCAGCAACTCCAGTACCTCATCAGGAAATTAAGCAGACAGGGCCAATAACAAATAAGATTAACATATCGGGACTGGAAGGAAAATATTACTCATGTACACCTTTTGGTTATAAGGCGAAAGTCGCGAAGGTATGGGCAGCAGTGTTTGCCCGCGTTGTGGACACGCGCGTCGAGCATCATTAGTGAGCAACAGGTGGTCGGGTTAATGTACAAGGAACGGTTACAATACACACAGTCAAGGGGTTATTCGTACTGTGGGAGCGTCTAGCGAACCACAAGCAAGATACTCTGTTAGAAGAGTCGAAATACACCGGGGGTTTTCGTGCATATGCAGTGGAACGGAGTAGAAGATGGTCGTCGTTTTTTCTTTTTCTTTTTCTTTTTCGTCGGATATAGCGGAAGTTGGTAATTCAAGTCATACACTGAGTTGGCCGTGCAGATACGGAATATAACTAGCTGTGTATATTACCACAGGTCTTGGCGTGGTCCATCTTGATTCCTTTATGACACGGTGGCCGTGGGCCGAAACTTGTTCAGCCATGGAGATTAGTATGGCAGTGATTGTACCTCATACCCCGGCGGCCTTCCTTGGCACGTGGAGGGCCGTGCATAAATCGACGGCCGGTGTAAGGTTACGGTAATGGGAAAATGTTGCGGCTTACGTTGGACAGGCTAATGAACTGGCGAAGGATTCCTATAAAGAACAGGCTCCCTTCCCCCCATAGTTCATCTTTTTCTGTACCTTTTCCTTCCAGTGTTTTACGGATAGTGGTGTAGGAGGATGGATCGCTCCACTGACAGGGGTAATGTGAGAGGCTTTAACGGAGGTAGTGGTTGGACAGCCCCTGGGCGTATGGGAGATCAGAGGAGTGATATGTTTCTGGGATACGGTGAAGATTGTGGTCAGGATAGATTTGGTTATGGAGGGCAGGAGGGAAATAGAGGAGCGTTGGATGGAAGCGAGTATGCCCAGGGAGGAGGTTCTGGAAGTGGTTGCGCGTGTATGACCCTCGGCGAGGCCAGGGCTAAGAGAAGGAGATTGCTTTATATGATGGATGGTCACAGTCACGGGATTAAGCATCACTTGCACGCGATCTATCAGACTTCCCATTATTCTTACCATACCAGAATTGAGCACTATTTCACTTATCATTACACGGCTTCTCACCATGTTCGCCAGATCTGGCATCATCTTGACATGATATATTTTCACATTTGTCGCCTGAAAGCTGCCAAGGCAGAGTTTGATGACGTGATGGATATTTGATGGTGCCAGAATGGAGGCGGAAGGGTCGATAGCGATGGAGACGGTATTAAATTGAAGGGTCACATGATCATAGGTTTGGATTGGGAATTGGAGGAAACTGGAAAGAAGAGGTATAGGTGAAGGGAGGTTCATGGAAATATTGATTGTGACGTAGTTAGTTCACTGGGGTATATAATGAAAAGCTGGGGCAAAATTAGCTGTGTCAGTAATTTATCGTAGACTGTCGAAATCGCCCTTCTCCTTCTTTATCGGATCGACCTTGTCATTCGTGGGTTTTGGCACAGGACAAGATCCAACCTTTCATCCTACGCCTAACGCTAAGACTAACACAATGGGTGGCTGTGTGACCGCAATGGTTACAGTTACAGTATTAGCTCCGGATGATTTAGGCAGCCAGAGTCCAGCATGGGGGCTGCAGCAACAAGAGTGGCCATTGCCTACTAAGGAGGACACTGAACGTGTATATTAATTGATTATGCCCGGCATGCTGCATGTGTAGCGCATGAGCAGCATTCTCAGAATGTGTATTATTGTATCCTGCTGTATACCTTCAAGGAAGCTTCATGATGTTGTATTTCATCTGGGGATCTCGGTACAGACGATTTATGGTATCAACATGAAGATCTGGAAAGTACTCCATAAATCGAGCGTAAGCACTAGGAACATTCGTCGAAACAATAAAATTACCTAAGTATGCACTCCAAAGATAAACATTGTCCGCGTCAAAACCTGATCATCTATCATACTCAGAACCACTATTCAATGCCTCCACCTAAATGTAGCGGCCATCCTGCTGAGGAGCGCTTGTCCAATGCAGATACGACAGTTCCAGCCTGGTTTGGACACTCTCATGTGGATCAACATCCTCATTGGGCAAGATGAGGTTGCCATCACGATATCTTACTTCGCCATACCGTACATGTCGATCGCCAACAACGGGTAGAAACCTATCCAAGTCACCATTTAACCCATCTGCTTTCAGAACAGGGGCATTGAAGGCCATTGCTATGTCAACTGGACTCATGGTAATTGTCCGGCCAATCTTCCACCATTCATAGAACGTGGATGCCACTACAGCTAGACATACACCCATAACAGCCGCCGCCGCAACCAGGTAGCCATAATGGACCTGAAATACCGATACATCCTGCAGTTTCAAGACATCGACTGTCTGATTTTGCTGGATCACTTTTTCACCGTGTTGAAGCAGAGGTAGAGGTCGGCTAGAGTTATTCGGCACGGAGAGCGCAGTGCGGAACACAAGCTTCTGAAGTTCAGCGACCACTTGAGAGGTAGGGTCTTTCCATGTATCTTGACAGCTGACAAGCTCATCTGCCCATGTGAGGTGATCTTGTGCGAGCATACCGGAGGTTTCCAGCGTCCAGGCATGATTTATCTGCATTCCGACGCCCTTAGACTGGAGAAGGTCATTTGCGGCTAAGTATACACCACCAATGGTACTGTTTGTACTTATATCTTCCTGTTCGTTCGTATCGTAGATCTCTGCGATGGTTTCGGGGGATCTGCCCAGATCTTCCAACGAGGAAGAGAACTGAATAACGCCATCTACAATTTTGATCGGATAAAAAAGCGTAGCCAGTTGAAATGTGCACCGATTCACTTGCAGTCGACTATTGCAGTCTTTCTGGTCTTTATATGTTGCAGTGAAGTTGAAACTGGATGGTCGACTCAAGGGATCAAACGTGAAATTCGTCGAGAACATGACCCTCTGAGCATCCCCCATCCCTACCACAGTTCCCTTATAATTTGAAGGAACTAGTTTTCCCGTTCCATTTTCCGCCCCATATATCAGACTTCCGAAGTCCTGGGGCAGGGTCTCGAGAGCGCAGTCAACAGCGAGCCCAGCTGCCCGAATGGTCGTCGAGCAGTTCCCATTCGCGCAACCGGTGTCATTGAGGTACATCGGCTCCGCGGAATTATGAGACAAGACTACCTTTTGGAATGATGGAGTCATCCGCGTCACATCACCACTAATGTGTCTTTGCATAGCACCCGTGTAGCCGAATGGGAGCTGCTGCGCAATCCCAACAGACAAAGGTATGTTGACTTGAGCCGGTCGCACGGTGACAGTCGTTGCTCTTTGAAATAATGGACTGTCAATGGCAACAACGACAGATGCAATACTGGCAAGTCCCAGAATGTTGAAGAATCTGATCTGCTTAATCACATCATAGATGCTGTTGGCAAAGCTCCAATTTCGATGGAGGTCGTATACCGTACATCCGTTAATAGCCTTGTTCCACCAGGTGATAGCTGCACCTTCGGCAAGAGCAAAGCGTAGTAGTCCGGTGCTGATAGCAGATGATATGGCAAGAAGAACAGATGGCTGGATTTTCCAGCTGTTCTGGGGTTTTCCATTGGATGTTAAAAGAATCGTAATATTAAATATGAGACAAGCTAACACGCCCAGGAGAGCTGAAATTCCCAGTAATGGAAGTCGCTTTAGAATACCAGGCTCCCATGATTGTGGTACAGGGTTGGTCGAATCCTGACTCTTGCTGCTGGGCTTTTTTGGGCAGGTGGTTGTTGAGCAGGGTTTCGGTTCTTGCTGGGAAGACATGATATATGATGTAAGAAGGTTTTGTCCTTTTGTGGCATGGTTATCGGGTTCAACAGCTTCTTTTCTTACTCGGGAAATGAAAGACTTTTTCGTAGAGGCATCACAGTACAGCCTTGGCGACATGATTTTAATGTCCCTGTCCGAGGTCCATTCACGTATTAGATATACGCAACCCCTTTCGGGACCTGACTCGTTGGTATGCAGCCAAGCCTAGATCAGCAACTCACAATCATTCTAGCACTACTGAAATCTGTAAGGGGTATAGCAGTTCTTACTTCTAATAGAATCCAGGGGTTCGCTACACACAGCTACAACAAGAAGTACTAGTTAGTGAGAATACTCTTTCTTATGTGATGATATTTCGGTACTAGCCCGATATAACACACCTTTACATTGAGACCGTGGCTCCCGGCATTCTCGAACACGGTTGCTCTTTTTTAGTTGCTTGATGAGCTGGATATGAATTTGCTGTGCAGTTTAAATATCGAACAGGTATGTACCTGTAGCTTCCCTGTATATCTGGTAGAGGCGGGTATGTGGATAGTCATCCATATAAATATATATATGGCTCTCCACCTCACTATAAACCTGGGTTATAACCTTGGCCCCTACTAAAATGCCACACTATGAGACACTGTGAATTAGGGAATGGTATGGTAATTTTGTTACATACTGAAAAATCGGAAAGCTAATCTCACAATCAAGCTCATGAAAGGCGAGATACTCTGGACCTGATGTCTGTTGTGCTAAAATAAGCACTGGCTTATAACGGCAAAAGACAGTACAGTCTGTCAACCAGAGGCGAGATGGCCGAGCGGTCTAAGGCGGTTAGTACCACTATATCTCTAGTATCTCATCGAACGTATCACTAATAATCTCTCAGCTGGAGTAAGGTTCCAGTCTCGAAAGGGGCGTGGGTTCAAATCCCACTCTCGTCAACATCTTTTCTTTTTTCTTTTCTTTTTCATTCCCATACTACTTTTCTTCACTCCTTTTTTGAGATCCTTGTCTGTCTTGCCTTCTTTTCTCTTCTATTTTTACCTGTTGAAATGCCCATCCTGAAACCAAAAACCCCACTTTAGCCACTACCCTAAGCTGAAGTAAAGCATTAAATCATCATATCATGTGTCAAGGATTCTGTGCGCGTTTAAACACTGAAATCTTGGCTGACCCCTTGCTATAAAGGCTTTTCTTGCACCGCACATAAAGGCACTGATGATATGCTACATGTGGACATTTTACACGCCCCAGCCGGCGCTATAACGTACTACTAATAATGTGGGGTCTCACCATGCTGCTTATCGTCTGTTCATGTTGGGCCTTAAAGAAGGAGTGGATAGTGTCATAATGCCCAGAATCGTAGCGATCATGCATGACTTCACACTAAAAGCAGCATGACAGACCAGAAGATCATGTCCAAACTCCACCCACCCACGTATTTGGACCATCTCGCTAGCCACGCCTGCAACTAGAAATGGGGCTAGCGAAAATGCACAGAGAAGCCCACAGAAAACAAATAATGGCTGGGATTAGCAGGCGAATCAACAGTCTGGAAAGAAATGCCCTTTTCGAATTCTTCGAATCATTAATCGGTTACGTCAACTGGGTAGCTTCAGTACTGATACAAACATTGACAATATCAGTAACAAAAACATGGATCAATAATGACCAAGCGTCTACTACGTTGCATAATTAGTGTAGAATGAACTAGTGTGAAGCTTTACAATTATTAATGGATGACGAATATATGATACCTTCTCAATAATCATCATTATTCATAGCTTTTTGGGCACATTTCCTCTGCATTAGGAGTAAAGACTGGCAGAGGAAGTAATATCCACTATCAAATCCACCCGCGACCATCCCATCGACATAGACCTTTTGGTTCTAATCCTAAACATCCCTGTGGAACATGTGGAGCATCAAGTACCACGACGAGTTGTCCTCAAGCTCAGCGGCGCCAGGCGATTCACGCGATACCCTGTAAGCCAAAAGGAAGATGTCCTCCTAGGCATAGTCCTTGACAGGGATAAGTTCATGTATACATTACCCCCCATTTCGAGCTATGGCTCGTTAAGCACACACTAAAGTGGTAGAAGGAGAGAAGACAGCAGAGGAGCAGGAAACACAAAGTCGAAAGCAGAGACAGGTTATTACTCCCTTGCAACCACTCGCACTGTTGGAGGTACCGCTAACAGATAGATAGTGGTGACGTATTGACATTATATTGCATTGATTGTGGTGGGCCGGGTCAAATGGACTGTCTAGATTGGTTTGAAAAAATGACGGACGAGAGTTAAAGTTCCAACCCCAGCTGGGCGTGGAGAATAGCCGAATGCAGCGATATTTATGTAGCCCTAAGCCCCACTTCCACTTCCCCAACAGCTGTCAGAATTCTTAGCATTCGTTCGGCGTCAAGCGGTAGAAGTTTCCATGGTTCTGGAACAACAACATTCCGCTTATAGTTAGCTGCCGGATGTAACTCCGAGCTAACCGAGTAAGACTCTAAGAAGTAGTCGTATATTCAGGAAGCCTCACCGTCAATGTTTTACTTACATCATGACACAACGCTCCTGATCTCGTTGACGAATACGCCACATACCATATAGCTACTAGGGCGACATGGTTTGTAGGGAGTAAAAATGCGTTACTGGTATTGAAGTAATGCTTCAAAATAGGCAACAGTATGATATTAGGTGATGTAACTACCCAATATCTAGAACCATGGCCAGAGGTAGGGAATAGAGGTGCATTGAGATGACGAGTGCATTCAGGCATGACCTTTCGATGACAAAACTACATACACCAAATTGAGAACATATAAAGAGGCTGCACTATCTCAGCTAAAGACATAAAGGCTCCTGTGTACAACTCAGACTCTCGAACAATATCAATTGACTACCTCACACATCGAAGAACTACATTATGAAGCTCGTTTCCGTCCTTCTCTTTACAGCTGTAGCCCTGGGTGCATCCCATAGATGGGGCATTCCCTATGAGGATACACCTATAATTAGCTGTCAGGATACACCTGGACTGCGCTGCAACCCGTCGATCGGACTTGACTGCTGTCCACTACTTGACTGCACTGCTGACTGTCCAGGGTGCTGGGGTTATGTAAGTGACTTACTCCGCGAAACATACGTGTAAAGCTCTGGAAAAATGGTTAATATATTGCGAATAGTGCCGAAAGAATTAAAAAGGTCTAAAGTTACGGAGGTACATACTATTGCTATCCTTTCAATGTTGTTGGGTGAGCGACATGTCAAGTCGAGGACTTCAAATTAGGAATGTTGAAAGTCTTGGGATAGGGTTTGTCCTTTGTATCAATAATTTACTAGGTTTACCGACCTTATCATGCGAATGCAAGTGCTTAACGGCTTTTATTAATATCTGAAGGACAATTAATGTCACTAATGGACTAAATGGTAGTAGCATGCAAATACATATAAGTATTGAGACCCTCCTTTTGCAAGTAAAGTTGTTGTCAAGGCTGGTTGGGGCAAATTTGCTGGATTCGCCTAACTCTACCAGTATCTAGTGAGCATAATCTAACCATCTTTTTTATCACATTCACCGGCAACTTACAATAACAACTGCATATCTTTTGATATATATGTCTGGACATTTCTGGGGCACTCTGATCCACTAGGTAAACTGTACTAGCATACTTAAGCACAAACTCGCTCGCCCTCATCAGGATGAATCATGTCTTGATCAATCCAGGTCATGTAGTTCCAATAGTCAGCCTGGTCTCCCTCACCATCCACAGTAGCGTTGCCCGAGAACTTGGCCGTCCAGTAAGAACTCCCACGAGAATATTTAGCAAATGCAAACAGACCAGTGTTCAATGCCTTCTGTCGTCCAGCAAAAGTATTTTCCAATTCCGCCTGAATTGACCATTCCCCGACGAAGGTAGGGAAAGTGCTGTCGACTGCAGCATTCTCTGCATCTGCGCAGATGTAGGACGTAATGTTAGCACCGGTGGCTCCTCGACCGGCGAAATAATAGTTATGCACGTCGAACACCACATTGTCGCTGCTAGAAAGCTTGGGACTCCAGTATTCTGGGGATCGGAAGCTTCCCTGGAACATGACGGGGATTTTTGGGTTGACGGCAGCAACTTTGGAGAGGACTTCTTGGATGTATCTCAGAACCCAGGCTGCTCCGTCTTCTGAGAGAGCGGCTGGAGTACCGAAGGTTGACAAATCTTCGTTGTCCACTGGTTCATTGATTGGGGCAATTGTGTATGAGTCTGGATGATCAGAATCCTGGACATAGGATAGGACAGCATCAATTGCCTTGAGTGAATAGTCAAAGGCAGTCTGGTTGTTGAACCAGCCAAAGTGTCCTTCAGCTTCTCCAAATGGCATTCCATTGACTCCGCCAGGTAGCGAGTGTACGTCAATGATTACATGCATGCCATATTTGGTGATAGCATAGGTAGCAATATTCTTCAAGAAGTCGACCTGATTTCCGGAGTAGAGCTGTGATCCTGGCACCTTGATCCATGCGGCGTAGGTGGTTGGAATGCGCAGGGTGTTGATTCCAGCAGTATGAAGTTTATCGATATCAGCGGTAGTGATATATGTTGCATATCTTTTCTCAAGGACGGAGCCACAGAGAGATCCCTGGTTGGCACAGAGCCCCCATTCATCTGGTGCTCCTTTGGAATACTGGGCCCACCATGTCGTATCGATGGTGGATTCCTGGCAAAGCCATCCGCCCAGATTCACACCATTTGCTTCATAGGTTTTCCAATCAATGTATTCTGCTGCAGCGAGACTAAAAAATGTTTGAAGGACAAGAGAAAGAGAAGACAGACGCATTTTGACAGATCAAAGTTGGTGGCAATCTTTGCATGAATACCTGCTGATGGAGAATTTACGTTTGCATTTCAGAAGGAAACAATGACGATATTTATGCTCACCTACTCCATAGAAACACCCTCGCTTCGATATTCAACCGAACATTCCATCTTTCATGTGCCTGTCATTAAATCTGGGGTTGCGCTAATCTCCAATCTGGGGAAACGGATAGCATGTCCGTGCCTATCTAGTAAACATCCTAGAGGTCTTTCATAAAGGAGACCCGAATCTACCCGCCGATCATCGTCCTAAGAAAAGTATTTTCCTGTATACTAGAGACCTCCACATGCCGAGCATAAGTACACCAAAGCGGTCCACATCCCGAGCTCAAGTATAAGTGTTCGGGGTATATACACCCCGAGCACCTAGGACCAGGACGGAATATTGCTATATGACTGGACCACTCACGTCCCCGTGCGCTCTTTAGCTCCAATTAGTTAAGCCTTGTTTGCTGCTCTAAAGTTTGGGCTTCTGCACACGCTTCCTATGACCCCAGAAGACCCTTCGGCACGGTCCTCCACTTCGGGTACCCTAATCATACAGGGCTTTCCCTAGACCCTGATAATCACATGAATTGTATGCCCTGTAGACAAACATCGGCGGGCCTCAACTATCCTAAAGTCGCAAAGGTATGGTAAAAAAGCCATCTCGGTACAGGTGCGCCCGAATACGAGGAAGGCAGGATAAAGGTCTACGGTGCCATATATAACCACCGTTTACATAGTCACTTATCTCGTTGATGGATACTATGTCTCACTAATCACCGCTACGATCACCTACAGTGATCAGCACAATGGGTCGTCTCAAGACCGCCGGTGTGGCAACCTTTCTAGCCCTTGGTGGCTTTCTCTTTGGTTATGACAGTGGCATAATCTCCTCCACAATCGCCCAGCCGCACTTTATCGAGTATATGGGAGAACCCTCTTCGTCAGAAAGAGGAGGAATCGTCTCCTCCTTTACCGGGGGCGCCATACTGGGCGCCCTGTCTATCTCGTTTCTCGCAGACAGGTTTGGTCGACGGATAACTGTCTTCATCGGTTCAGTTATCTCTGTCATTGGTAGTGCGCTCCAAGGTGGTGCTGTGAATGTGCCTATGATGATCACTGGAAGGCTTATCGCAGGGTTCTCCGTCGGCCTTCTTTCAGCTATCGTTCCAATGTACTGCTCTGAGATCGCAACAGCTGAGGATCGTGGAAAGCTGTCTGGTCTTTTGCAATTCATGCTTTCATGGGGATTCTTCGTCGCCCAATGGCTCGGCTATGGGTGCTTCCAAGTCGATAGTCACTTCCAGTGGCGATTTCCCCTTTCCTTTCAAGTTGTGCCTGGTATTATCATGGGATCTGGGATCTGGTTTCTGGCCGAGTCTCCACGATGGCTGGTTGAAAAACAGCGATATGAAGAGGCCAAAGCCATGCTTGAACGCTTGCACGGCAACGGATTGAATGGTGATTTTATACAGCTCGAATTCCGAGAGATTGTCGATACCATCACGGCTGAAAAACAGGTGGCTGTCAGCAGTTGGAAGGAAATGATATCCAGGGCATCCTGGCGCCGGAGACTCATATTGGGGATGGGTGTTCAGGCATTTGGCCAACTATCTGGGATCAATGTCATGTATGACTACTGTGGATTCCCAGTCTTGATTTGAATAGTCCTGGCTGACCAGCAAAGCAACTACTACGGACCCCAGATATACCAAATACTTGGTATCGACACTGGAACGTCGCTCAAAATTATCGGGATATCTGGAAGTCTATCCATAGTCTACTGTGTCATCGGACTATGGCTCCTCGACAGAATCGGCCGCATCAAGCCCCTTGTCGTCTCCGCTGGCGGTATGGCAAGTGCACTCTTGGTCAACTCGATTCTGTCCAAGTTTTATGTCTTGGCAGACGACCCTTCTCCAAATAGCAATGCGCTCCGCGCTATGGTGGCGATGAACTTTGTCTTCAGTTTCTTCTATACCATGATCGGCATTATATCTTGGGTCTATCCCGCCGAGGTATGAGGTTCTCGTGATATCATTTGTAATACCTGTTTCAGGCTAACGTCACACACGTAGATCTTCCCTGTCGAGATCCGAGCACGCGGAAACTCCCTCTCAACGGTCACAAACTGGAGTCTGAACCTGGTGTTTGCTCAATGTGCGCCTATCGCTCTGGACTCTCTCGGGTTCGGTTTCTTCTACTTCTTCTTCGCGTGGAACTTGATCGCTGCCGTTTGCTATTGCTTTTTCTTTCCTGAGACTAGAAATCGGACGCTGGAGCAGATGGATGAGCTGTTTGGTGACAATGATGTACTTGAGGCGCGCAAGGATGCTCATGTCACCGTGACTGGGCCTACTGAGGATTTGGATGAAAAGGCTTAGTTGTAGCTGTCGGTGTGAATTCATGGCATCTTATTCGTCTTATGTCGTTGTTATTCTTCCTTTGGGTCTGGTCCACTCAGCATGAGTGCTATCTTTGTTTTGCATCGTGGGATAGCTCCATAAGTAGTAGATTACATATACACATACCTGAATCCAAAAAAGGATCATTAAAATATCAAAATTACGACAGCATTAGTATGACTGTGCTCACCTAAGACCAGTTGTGGGTGTCTCGCCGCTCTTAATTGCGCTTCAGGTCCTCCTTTAGGGACCTGAATATTCTTTAACTAAAGGATCAGAAAGTGTATCTTCACTGCTATACTAACAAAAGCTACTCTAGTAATACATAGCAATGGATCTATTGATTTATATTTAGCTAACTAGCAAACCCTCTTTACCTAGTAATCAATAGCTCAGTCTATAATTCTACTAAGTCTATATATCTAGAATCAATATCAGTGTAAAGTCTTATATCCATATTATAATAATATAATATCTTTTCACTATCTTAGCTAGAAAGGGTGTCTGTAACAACTGGTACAATTTTAACAATTAGGAATGGCTTGCTTCAAGGTAACTTACATATGATATCGCTAGGTACCTATGAACTTCAATAGCTTCGCATTTGAGAAGTAGCGACAGGAAAATCTATTATTGTGATCTGATTCTTTGGCATGGCCGATCTCTCAGAGACATATTTTTGATCTTCCGTCTAACTACTACAGTATTTGTCAGTTTTGCCCTAGTTATCCCTAATTTCACTTGCTGTGAAGTATGTGTTAAATGTCGATATCTTTCGGAGGCCTTACTGGCAACTCTATACTCGTTTTGGTACTAAAAAACTCTCAGGACGGGAACCTCTCGTTTGGGAAGTGGCACAGTGGAGTTGCAGCAAGCCAAGACATGGTGAATGTTGGATGCGCCCCAACACCACCCGAGGAAGGGCTGGAGCTGCCAGTATCATACACATCTAGTCTTTGTCCCCATAGTCTGCAGACCATGTATACTGGTAAAGACTGCGTCATAGCGGCCGGACGCGGAGTAGTAGGGCATTGTACAACGAGATTATAACGACCTTCCTGCAGGAGGCCCTTACTCATAACGTAACATCCTAGTTAATGTTATTCCAAGTTTATAAAATGACGATTTCGATTACGATATTGCGATATTAACGGCCAGGGGGTGGGATCAGTACGATAGTCGCTCTCATGTTTCTCGATGCCTATTGAACTGATCAGGCCCGTTCTATATTAAAAGGGTACTATGAATACCTCGGTGTCTTTACTACTGTATGGGGTATAGTGTGCCTACCAAGGCCCACACTTAGATTGACTGGCATACACAAGCGAAGTCTACAATGGTGAAGCTTCTCGGAAGTAGAGATTGTATCCCCGTAATTCCTCTCCTACTACACGACATTATCATATCGATAAAGACACAGTGTAAAGATCCACTACAGTGCTTTGTATTATACGTTCATATAACTGAATGTATTGCGTAATTCGAAGTAGTCTCTCGTAGAGACACCTCTAAAACGTGCAAGGCAAGGTTCAACAATGAATCTCTAAGGCTAAAATACCAGTAAGCGGTGGTATGCAGATCTGGTCAATATTTCACCTCACAGCGCATTATTGCATTAATGTTGCCGGTTGCGACACTATTTAGAAAGGAATTCGGACAACGATATAGGGTATGTGACTTGCGAATGCTCATGGCCTCTCCTTCACATATAGCATAAATGTGGACAAGGACCCAGAACTTTTCAACATTTCAAAACATCGTCGATTCTCCCATATCCGACTATATAATCCATATCACACCGAGGAATAACCACCTACAAACATGGGATCTATTGAAGATTTTACTAGCTCAGCCTCCGGGACCACCTCATGTATCTCGACTTTATCTGACGTGGCTCTGAAAGAGCCAATATTCTCCGATAAGGTCATACAATACCATCTAAGCCTTCTGAAACCCGGGCATGGAGGCGAGGTGATCTCAGACGAATCCATGTATTCACCGATTATCTCAAGCAGTGTTTTAGCTTATCATGCAAAGCTTGACAAAAAACGAGATAGCCCTAAAATCCCACAGTTTGGGTTATTAGCCGGGTCGAGCCCTCTTTTGCAAAACATTTACCGAAAGAAAACCTCTCTTGGGAGTCTAGATGAGGACCCCCGATTACTGTTCAATGTTTCACACCCTTCCAGCATCTTTATATGTGGCTCCCAGGGTTCTGGAAAGAGTCATACATTATCCTGCCTTTTGGAAACCTGTCTGATATCATCAAAGGTTGGAAGATTGCCCAATCCGCTAACAGGGCTGGTCTTCCACTATGATACATTCATCAGTGACACAGTGGGATCTCCCTGTGAAGCCGCCTTCTTGTCATCACACTCAGATGTCCAGGTCAGAGTACTTTGCTCCCCCACAAATCTTCAAACCATGCGGGTAAGTGCTCTTCGCCATCATCTAATAGATAAATATCATAACATCCAGGATATAGGGTTACTATTCGAGATTTAATATCCCAGTTGACCCATTACAACTGGACCAGAGCCATTTGAATACAAAACGGATGATGGATTTGATGGCTGTTGCGCAGAATGAGGGGCAGATACCACTGTATATACATACGGTGAAACGAGTCCTTCGCGAATTGCGTATCAAACAACAGGAGTCAGGGGCACCATTTAATTATCAAGAGTTCAAGGATACAATCATGCGTTCTGGGTTAACTCGGGATCAATTGGCACCTTTAAAGCAACGACTGGATACTCTAGAGAGCTTTATGCCTCCTGGGCAAGTGGATATAAAGAAGCCAAAGAACCAAGATGTGGCAAAGGGCTCGATATGGGATCCAGTGGTAAGTAGCGAATCCCCTCGGCCTTGGTATGTGCTAAAGAATCTAGCCTGGCCGTTTAACCATTGTTGATATGTCCTGTCCATGCATATCCCCCGAGACCGCATGCTCGCTTTTCAATATATGCCTCGGGATCTTCCTCGAACAAGACCCAACTATTGGTCGTGTAGTTGCCCTCGATGAAGCGCATAAGGTATGTCATTGTCCTGGTCTAGAGATATTTCTAACGAATATGAAGTATATGAATCTTTCTGCAGAGGCCCAGACTTTCACAGAAACCCTGTTATCCGCAGTTCGTCTTCAACGACACCTTGGGACTCGAGTCATCATCTCTACCCAAGAGCCCACCGTCTCGACCGCTTTGTTGAATCTGTGCTCGGTTACAATTGTTCATCGCTTTACCTCCCCTGAGTGGCTTCGAACGTTGCAGAAACATCTTGCAGCGGCTGCATCTGACCCTTTCTCTTCAAAGAGTGGTTCCGGCAATAATAGTAGCGAGATGGAAGAACCAGGGGCCGAGATCTATTCTACCTCAGCGTTTGACGATATTGTCCGTCTTCGCGTTGGCGAAGCCCTGTTATTCGCGCCGAGCGCTATTGTCAAGGTCGGAGCACGGGAGGATGGCCGAGTAGAGTTCCACAGACTTGGTTCTGACTTTTTGCCTATAAAAGTCCGGGAACGGTTGACCTCTGATGGTGGAAAAAGTGTCCTTTCTGTTTAATTTCGACGTGTTCTGTACGAGATGGTGCATGTCTATGTGGATCCTCGTACTTTATCATACAAGGATCCATCATTTCGTTTTATGTGATGTTCGACAGCAGGGTTGTTAAGCATCTGGTCGATTTCTAGCCATGCGATTGGAATCGTGCTGTGAGCTAACTAGCTTCATTGAAGTCAAATTGTGCTCATTTATTGTCTTCTACATGGTTTATTGAGTTCTTCATCGCAGTGAAATTCATTCCAAACCTTTATAGCTATTACCGAGTAGAGGGCGGGAAAATAACACTTACTACAGTGATACTGAACATACAGACCCCTGTGGCAAGAATGTTAATGGGAATCTTTAAGGACGGCATATTATAGAGATAGATAGGGTGGTGCATTAAGCACTGCGCCTGGAACCAAGAGTTCGATATTCCATGGTTGCTTCCAAGGTTTCGGCCCGAGTCAACGGCAAAGATCCCCAGTATCGGACCCGAATTTAGTACAGTCTGTATGCGAGTTGTTTTATTTTAGCCCCAAAAGAACAAAGAAACATCTGTCACTAGTATAGGTAAAGTAAAGCTCCACTAATCCTTTCGCCCCCACGGTCTGTCATGCAACCCATAATAGGCTGATGGTAACATTGGTCGACGTCCTTGAACGACCTACTGAGATAAGTATAGTGTATGCAACTACTACTTATTAGTCCCACACCTGCAGGTACATGTTCGAGTATATGAATTACCACCTACCTGTATGTACTACCTAGGTATGTATATGTATTAATATCCTGGGAGGGTACATTGAAATTAGCAAGATTAGTTAATCAAACTAAATCCGCCACTCCGCCTTCTTTAGCTTACTCCTGGTAGCTATCCGGACTTCTCAGCTTTTTTTTTCTTAGCAATAATATTCTACATACCACAGTTGCAACCGGTGTTCAACTCAAAATCCCCTCCACTATGTCTTCGGCGAACCTCCCGGTGATAGTCATCGTTCCAGGTGCCTTCGGCACCCCTCAAGGCTTCGAGAAATTGCTACCGTATCTGACCAAAGCAGGATACGCAACACACCCAGGGTCATACCCTAGTTGCAATCCCTCCGATCCGGCCAAAGTGTCCTCTGCTCAGGATATTGCTTTCTTGCGCGACAACGTCTTACTACCTCTTTTGAACGAGCACGGTAAAGATGTCGTCATCATCGCACACTCATATGGGGGTGTTGTTGCAGGTGGTGCCGCAAAAGAACTTGCGAAGGGGACCAGAAGAGCCCAAGGTCAATCTACTGGCGTCATGGGCCTGATTTACGTGGCGGGCAATATTACTCTGGATGGAGAATCTCTCTTGAATGCTGTAGGCGGCGCTTACCCTCCTTTTATCAAAGTTGACAAGGTATGGTCTACCCAGAACAAACCGCGATCATAAACCATAGGGGATTAATCATTCTGTTCCCAGCCATCTCAGGGGCTTGCGGTCATCGAACCGGCGATGGAGGTTTTGTACAATGATTGCGACCGTGCCCTTGAGCCCGAATTGGAGACGCTAATGCAGCCACACGCACTCCGAGCCTTTGAAACCCCCGCCACTGCCCCTGCCTGGGCGGAGAGTGCATTTGATGGTAGGAGAGCGTATGTGCGTACCCTGGACGACTGCTGTAACCCTTCATCGCTGCAGGATATGTGGCTGGAGAAGTCCGAGGTCGAATGGGAAGTGGTGGACTTTAAGACCGGACATATGCCATTTGTGAGCCAGCCTCAGGCTTTGGCGGAGCAGATTATCAAGTTCATTGATGGCTTTAGGGCTAAGTGAATGGTGGCGTATCCAGTATCCACAGCATGGTGCAGTACTCGGAATATGCACCAGTCAAGTTGACTTGCTTTAGAAACTATTAGCAACAGCTGATATCTTGTTAAAATAAGACGGGGCTGGTCAAGTTGAAAGGCCTTTCAATAGTGATTATCTCAAGAATAAATTCCAAACCTTTCTACAGGATATTGTGAGCTAAACATATTTTTATAATAAAAAGAGGGATAGGGAGTCACAGCTACATGACGAATGAGCTGGTGCCACAATTAGCGGCTGTGGACGCCCCATATCTGAACGAGGCGGACCCCAACCAACCCGATTGACAGGCAACTAACGTTCTGCGGATCCAACTATGATCGATTAGCGCTGATCAAGGATAAATATGATGGCAATCAATTGCTCTACGCACGTACGGCAGTTGGGCCCGAGCGACGGACAGAATGGGAGGATGGACGTTTGTGTCAGAGTTAGGGTAAGGGTAGGGAGCCATGTATGTATGGTACCTTTTTGCTCGACCAACACCAGCGTTGTGAAAGGATTGAATGGATAATTACTCCGTGGATGTGCGTTTGTAGCGTTAACTCATCGTCCGACCTAGTTTGAAAACTTGCCCAATCGTTTGCGTTCCGCAGGGATGCATTTATTGCGATTTAATATGTATCCACTCCCTTCTTGACGAGCAATTCTTTCACGTGGATGTAACGATGTTCTCTTATTTTAGAAAGAGTTTATTATCAAACCTAAACAACTAGTCTACTATCCCCTACCAATCAGCACCATGAATACACCAAGACTGAATGGAGAGGGAAAGCACAACATGGGCTGATCAAGGCGCTCGGATCAAATCCGCGGCCCGTTCGGCCACCATATACACGGTGCTAATGGGATTCGCCTGCGGTATAATGGGGAAGACGCTTGCATCGACCACTCGGACATTGCTGACGCCGTAGACCGTCAGATCCGGCGCGACCACGCCTCCTTTCTCGCGGGGCAGCATCGCGGTGGTACCGCACGGATGGGCCGTTGGGATAACCATGGCATCGCGCATTAGCTGGGCCAGCGTCTCTCCGTCCTGGGGCGGTGGCACATCGATAAAGGGCTGGAGATGGGCGGAGTGGAGAATTGCCTGCAAGTGCTGAACGTGCCGGACCATCGAATCGAGATCGGACGGGTTGGTCAGGTACTTTGGATCAATCTGGGGGTTGCTAGCTGGGTCTGCTGACTGGATATGGATACTGCCCCTGGAGAAAGGGAAGGAGGGGAAAAGGCCTATAACAGCGAGATTACCGGGGTATATGGCAAAGTGTATACAGGCGGACGCCTCGTTGGGGCTATTCAGGATCCCTGCAACAGCCGTGTGATATGGGCTCTCGTGGGCCTGATCAAGAATCTCTTGCATTTCTGCGGGCGCAAGGCGGATGAGCGCGTTGGCTTTCATTCCCGGGGCGACATCCTGGATGTCCGCATGTGCCTTCACCGGGGCCGTCAGGATACTCATGGCGTGGTTCGTCAGGTTCTCTCCTACGCCAGGCAGGTGGACGAGTGGTGAAATGCCCAGCTCTTGGAGTCGAGCTTGATCCCCAATACCTGACAATTCGAGAATCTTGGGATTATTCAACACGCCCGCGGCCATAATCACCTCTTTGGTAGGTTTGACGAGGACGGTCCCCCGCGCTTCAATCTGGACCTCTACTCCCGTGGCAGTGGGATTGCCATTCGGTGCAGACGACTCGAATAGGATACGAGTTACGGTGGCACCGGTGACGATGTGGACGTTAGCACGAGACGCAAGAATGGCGCCATATCCGCTCGCTGCGCTGCTGCGATGTCCAGACACCGGGTCGATGGTGGCAGTATGCGGCCGTGTACCGATGGTTGCGCCTTCCGACACCAATTCGTCGGCGTAACCATAGCCATGCTCCTTAAATGTCTGCTTCCATGCGTCGAGTAGAGTGGTGTCGGCTCTCTCCGTAGACACTGGGTAGCTCACTTGGATTGGGCCAGCTGTATTAGGCTGCGGGCCCCCGGTCCTGGTATGCAAAGTATAAGCCCGTTGAAAATAGGGCGCCAGCGTTTCCCAGTTCCAGCCCGGATTACCCAACGAATCCCAGGCATTGAGAACCGCTGCAGCCGGGGGTAGGAAGATGCAACCATTGATCAGCGAAGACCCACCCAGGGCCTTCCCCGCCGGTTGGTTGAATTCTCGACCGTTCAGTCCAGCCTGGTCCGTTCATTTTAGCGCAAAGCTAATGTCAGCAGAGGGGGTGGAGATCGTCGTTACCTGCGGAGCCACCTTGAGGTTCCAATCCATCTCGCTGCCCGCCAGAGACTCGTACACCAGTGGGTTCTGAACGCGAGCATCATTTGATACATCTTCACCGCGCTCCAGCACAACGATGCGCGTGTCTGGGTTCTCCGACAGTCGGCAGGCAACAACCAGGGCCGCCGTACCGCCACCGACGATAACATAGTCTGCCTCTTCCATGTCTGCAATAAAACTAAACCCAGTCGCCGATGCAATGAAGTAAGACGGGTAACCGAAATGAGGGCAAATGAAGCATCAATACATCTAAAAAGATGAGTATACACCTAGAGGACCAGTCTATTAAAGTAGGTAGGAATGAGGGGAACTTTAAGGCTCATCTGAAAGTAATTTGGACTCGGCTAAACCAATGACCCCAGTAGTTCTATCTTACTGTACACATAAGCAAAACCAAACTAAAAATGGATGGCGCCAACGCCCAACCCTTCAAATCATTGTCTCACCAATGGTCTAAGCCCTACTAGTCCAAACCTAGTATTCCTGATGTCACGGTGCAGTCTGTTCGTGTCCCTGGCCAGATTCCTCGTCCAATGCAATCATTCGCCGGGCGTGAATCTCATTTATGGGCAGACTCGGCCATTCCGCTCACTCCCCAGAAGCCTTGATTCTGGTTGAGTAGCCATACCTGTCCCCCTCGTCCCCACTTCCTCCTCCCCCTTCTCCAAGCCTTCCTCTCGCGCCGAATGGACCGTCGAATCCTTCCGATGATATTTAACCGGCGTGCTCCCGATCGTGTGCTGCACCTCACGAAGCCGGACGTGGCCGCCAGCACTGCTCGATCGCTGCGGTACCGGGCGATTTGCGTAGCATTTGAAAAGAGGTGTCAGGGTCAGCAGAGAGACCACGATGATACTCAGCCATAGCTCCAGGAGATTGGTCAGCAAAATGCGTCCGAGTCCGTAGACGAAGTCTGCGCTGGAGTCGGACTGCAGCGTTAATACTAGTCAGCAGACCATGATCGCAACGAAGCTATAAATAGATCTCTGGTCAGTCCTGAGGGGCATTTGAAGCTTCTAAATGGTGAAAATTGGCAAAGTGTAATCGCCGTTTCCAGCGAAATATTAAGGCCGATCGAGTTGACTTCTGCGGGAAAACCAGACCGACACTGTCCGCCAGGCATGGGCTTCCATCCCTGCCAGATGGCCTGATACTGCGTGAGAAATGCGGCCTGGAAGGCGATATTATAAGCTGTTGCCGATCCACAGCACACGAAGATCATGTAACGGTCTCGTTGAGAAGTGTGGAAGAGGGAGAGATAGAGGCAGAGCATGAACGGCTTGCTGGTCACGGTGCCAACGAGCCAGGCAACGCCGGCGGCGGTAAACAACTAAATAGGAAGTCAGCAAGCCTAGTTAGGTCGTAAGAATAGGTCAGATGTATTATAATAAGCGCGCCGAAACCCTTGTCGATTGTCGTTATTTTTACTTGCACCAGAGCATTAGACGAGTCCCTTGATGGATGGATCTGCGAACAAGAATATCGGCTGACTGGTTTATAATCTGCAAACCCAACTATTGGCTTGCCTACTGGTTAATTCCCGACAGATGTATTGAAGTTCATATATCTGAACCACTTCTTCGAAACATCTGCCATGGTCATAGAGATAGTACGTTGCGTGGCCAATCTGTCATTTTCAGTATTTAATAACGAGAGTAGGTGAGAATGATTCAAGTGCACAGTTTTAGTTTCAGGGTTTATATAATTGTTAGCCGATGTCAAAGGACATATCACTACAAGAAAACTTTACCTTGGAACTATCGCCATTCATATCAACCACTTGGAAATGGAGACATACATGAAGCAAGAGCGCGATGAGGATTATATTGTATAGCGAGTCCAAGCCTTTACCACGGGCGCCTGCAGATCTACTGGGAGATAGGGCTAAAAGTCTCCTTAATATAATATGACTGTATTTAAATCCTGGCCTAATAATATCTGGCGGGACTACTCAACTCGTCTATGCCTTTGTAGGATACTGTGTGGTCGATGGCCACCTTAGCCGAAGGCACAACATGGCCTGACTTTATTCGGGTAAAAACGTGACTTGCAGATTGCACACCAGCTGTGCTAATCCAGGGACAGCACAGACGCGGAGTCTTGCAGAAGCTTCGAGCTGAACAAAGTCGGGCGGCCACCGAGGGTGGAAAGGCTCGAGACGGACGACCAATTGAATAGCTCAGCCACGAAGCAAACTTTTGGGCGGTCGATATATTCGATAGAGACCCCTGGGATCTGACTACCTTGACCATCCTCCGCTCGAATAACGGTGATGTATACGAAAAAGAGGCAGATGGATACAACCTCCTAGGAGCTCTTCAGGCCCGCCGTGAAATCCAGGACAGCGAAAGGAATACATGGCTGAAGCCTGCAAGATTCGGGAAATGGATCCAGGATCGCTATGGAATACAAAGCTCACACGCCCACAATGTTCTTTCGGTGGTAGCCTCTTCATTTTGGATGGATAGATGGGGGAGGTGCGCTGAAACGGCGTACGGTGAGGCTGTTTTCAATTGTATGTCCGCCGAAGACATAATCAACGTCAAATCGGACAAGGTATGTATATTAATTTCAAAACAAATACCATACGATGTCTGTGTTGAGTTAGTTTTTGGGGCGTGGCCTCGATCATATGTTCAAATTGCGAATGGCAGTTTTTGCAAAGCGTGTCTCGAGGGTTGGATCTCGTGACTGGGAAGTGATCATGGACTTTAACCGCAGATCAAATAATATGAATACACTGCGCCTCCATTTTTACCCAACCCCAGAGGATAACAACAATGGGGATCGGGTCGGAAAATATCTCAGGTTGGATTCGAAATGGTTGAGCATATGGTCACTCCCTCAGCTAGAGAGCCCGCGCGTTCTCGGCTCCAAGCCGTGTCCAACAAGAAGACCAGGATTTCTAGCACGGCTCTCCGATATCGAATACCACGCCTGTTTCGATTCTCTGGCTGGAAGCTCGACCTTGAAATTCCCCACTTGGTATGTTAATATCCCCTCTTTCGTCTACATTGCTAATGCAAATCCCAGGAAGGACTTCTTACAACTATGCAAAGATGTTGCACACCCGACGAAGAAGGTGTTACAGCACACGGTCTGGTGGACTAATATTAGGGTCAGCATATAGTTCGCAATACAATGATCATCACGCATACGGTCTTTCCATCTAGGTCGCTAACATCTTCTCTATAGCGGGAGTAATTATTATACTTACTGACCACGCGTAATATATGGCTTGAGTACGGCTGAGCGGGCGCGAAGCCCTGTTCTCCACACCCTAGGGTTGTATGTACTGGTGTTATACCAGACAAAAGTCTATGTAGGGGTAATTTAATGATTAAAAATTTTCCTCCAATTCCTCTCCACTGGTGCTAGCCAGCCACGTAGGGATACGTGATCTTTAGGGTCTCTCTGTCCGAAGAATCCCACTGAATTATATCTGTCGGATCGCCTGCCCTAAAAAGATTCACAATTCTGGTTAATATAAATGCCGTACCTAGCAGTTCTTTCAAAGGTAGAGGCATCATTTCAGGGTCTGTGGTGGAAAAGGTGAACTTGTCGTCGGACTTGACAGGTCTTACAATCCATCCGGGGTCCTAACCTGGCTCATATTTCCAGGTGATGCCAGAACCGTGTTAACAGCTATTCGATCTTCCGCTGTCCTCGCCGGCTGCCAGTGCCACTCTACCTCAATTGTAGTATTATCCCTGTTGTACCCTAGAGGTCTAAAGGCACAAATTCCAGCCGACCACATGCGATGGATATCTGGTGAAATGCAAATTGACGGTTTAATCCCCTTGTTTAGTGGGATCAGTTAGATCTGTGAATATTTTGTCATGCCAACGTTTCATTTAGTCCGGCGACCAAAAATCCTCCAAAATCCTCCAAAATCCTCCAAAAAGCTGGAAAGGAGCCTGTGAAATTGCCTTTTCTTAACAACGCATCCCTTGCTGTCTCATTTAAGCGCCAGGCCAATGACATTCTGGCGGCGATCTCCTAGAGTACGGGCCCGTGATGGCTTCTCTGCCCAAAAGTAACGGAATCGCGGTGCATGCATGCATACAAAGATCTAGGAGAAAGGTCGATTTTTCACATCCAAGAATAAACGTTTCCAGCGTTTCAACGTCGGTAAAAAAAATCAACACCGGCCTAGAAGGCACAAGGCACGGGTGGCTGGATGATTTGGCGAAGGTGGTCGAGCAACTGTTGACAGTGAGAAGAGACTTTATTAAAATTTTATCTTCAGTTATCGAAACTACAATGGTACTTAACCTTCCAACCCAGGTACACGGTAGGAGAGTTTGTGTCCATTGTGTCATTGGCGAGGTCACTTATGTCGATATATGAGGGTTATTATGACTGACAAACTGACAGGCTCGGATGGCTAATCGTACTCTAACTCTAGTAAGACTTAACAGGCAACAGGATACAGATCGTCTCAACAGAGAATATTCCGCAGGAAACCTGGAGATGGGTGATACTCACAGCTTGCTAGTAAGGATTGCTTGTACTACCACACTCGAACTCAGCGCCGGTGTAGCAGACTCACCAGCACTTGCATATTCTCTCAGCCGCTGATCTCAGATTTTTCCACAACCTTTGCACTGAGTTGCTAAACTGAGGGAGATGAGGGGACCCCAAGGCCCTTGCTGAGCCAGTACCTCTTCTGGAAAGAGCATTAATGGCGTTGGTAGCGTGAGTGTTGATCGGGTAGATACGAATAGAATTGGGGTGAAGAGGGCTGGGTCTTTAACGATGAGGCGTCTGGTATTACCTTCATCCAAACCTCGAGTATTATGTGGTGTAATACCAAGATATTACTCATATGTATCAATCTGCAAGCTTAGAGCCTTCGAAGTTGACTATGCGGAATATCTGCAAGAATGATAGAGAATGAATTAGACACAGATCAAAAGGATTGTCTTAGTTTCGCTTACGACAAGCTACTAGACTCCAGCACAGCGATGAGGTGCGAGCCCCGGCCGGGGACAGCACCCATTCGGGTCCTTGATGCCTGCTCTTAGCCAGACAACAAGTTACCTTCTGATACTAGGCCCGAGGTCAGATACCTATAGCAGTATTTTCAATAATCAGATACTTCAAACAGTATCTCATATCCGCGGAAACTTAATGTCGGATTTAGCCGAGGATCCATTGTGCTTTGGGAGGCAGATTGCTGGCCTTCGAACCGGTACGAGCCCATTCGGCAAGGAACCAAATACATTGACGCATAGTACATATCCTTAGGGATATGATGTGTTGTGGTAAATGACCGGCCTATATTGAGCTTGCCAGCCTGTTGTATGATCCTCATACAGCCTAAGAAAAAGAGTCTGTTCATCATACAACAGAATCCCATATATGACTTCGAGGTCGTGCTTGTATTCGACTATTTGACCTGGACACAGCAGTTAGTACGTCAAGAGAGTAGCAAGAGCAAGTAAAATACGATTTAAGGCATACTTAAAACACGACAAGAGTCTTCGGCTTCGAGAGCCTACCGTTGCTCTTTCTAGATTTCGGCTCTCGAAATCTCAATGTCGTTGAATATTCGCTATCTCTCTTTTTTAGGTGCCGAATCTCCTGATTAACCTTTTGTCTGGAGATAACTATCCTGGAGCTGCATGCGCAAAACAGGAGCTGATGGAGGTGGAGGGTATGGTGGTGATGGTGATAGTGAGGGTAGTAGTGGGAAAGGAGAGGAGCAAAGGGAGGATGAAGAGAAGAATCAGACAACAAAAGGGAATGTTCGATGCATTCACGCTGCCAAGCTTCGATACTCTTCAATACAGTTCAATTCAATTCAAGGCAGTCTATCTTGGCTCTTCAGAGTATCCAAATCATTCCCCCACTACTTGATGTAATCGTAACAAGATGAAAGTGCCTGATTCAGCTTACCAGACGTGGATGAATACCACCTGTACCAATTTGTCTGCCCTCCCTCTTCTAAAATATATTGAAATAACAAACTATTTAGAAATATCTAACCCCTAGGTTTACAACTGTTAGAAGGTATATGTTGAGTGAAGAATGATTAGCGTTACTAAAAGGAAACCAGTTTAGTAATATAATCACCAGAAATAGAAATTAATATAATAAGATTATATCCTCTATAGTCAAACCCTAGATGCTAGACCTAACCTTTTAGAAAAGAGGAGTATCTTAATATATATCAAATTTTTGGGTAACACCCGGAAAATAGAACCTTGGCAAAATCGTAGCATTTGCGGACAAGAGAACGGATAAACTTGACTTAGCCGTTCCATGGCGATAGCTGATCTTTGGCTTGACCCAACGCTGACCAAAGAGGATGATGTGGTCTTTTTACTCATCTTGAACGCTCGTGGCGATACTTCGAATAGGGCTAATCTAGCCAAAGTCCAGACGGGTCTACTGACGTCATTGGGTGCAACCATAACGGTTTGTATGTATTCGGATTTGTCAGACTGTCAAAAGAAGATCACATGAGCAGATATCATATTCAGGTGCCAAATGAGTGCGACAAGAACCTACGGCGCGGTGGAAGTTTCACCCATCTTGACCATCACTTTTCCTGATCATCCACCATCGGACGGGTAGCATTACTGTTGATACTGTCCATCATGGCCGCGGTAGCGTCGACTACTACAGGAGGGTTATCCGAGCGAATGGGGATCACTAGGTTGGATGGTTGGCCAGAAAATGGTACTGAGCGGTTCCAAGATGACAAGGAAAAAGTGGGATTTCTCCAGGATAGATTCAATGTCGGCACTCGTGTTCTCGGTGAGTGGTGTGTTTAGATAAATTGCATACACCTTGCCCTAACCGCGCTTTACCTTTTACCATAGGGGATGGCCGGATAGACATCGATATCGATCCGCATAAAGCGCACCTTGCAGGGCTATTGAAACAAATACAACACCCGGATATACGTTCAGACGGGAGGCTGCACCACACAGATCATGCAGAACGGCGTATCCCCAACAATGAGGTGAAGAACTTTCCGCTGCAATTAAACATTGTCATTCAGGTGATTGGTTCTCGAGGCGACATCCAGCCATTTGTCGCACTAGGGAGAGAACTGAAATCACACGGTCACCGTGTCAGATTGGCTACGCATTTGGCTTTCCGGGAGTTCGTTCTCCAGGGCGGTCTAGAGTTCTTCAGTATTGGAGGAGACCCGACGGAGCTGATGGCTTTCATGGTGAAAAATCCGGGCCTTTTACCAGGACTCAAGACAATACGGAGCGGAGCCATCCTGAGGCGTCGGCGTGAGATGAAGGAAATCTTCAATGGATGCTGGAAATCCTGCTTTAAGATGGGTGATGGGACAGATCTACACCAAATCAAAGAGGACCCATGGAGTGAGACTTTGGATTACCGACAACGCCCCTTTGTGGCGGATGTCATTATAGCCAACCCTCCGAGCCTCGCCCATATTCATTGTGCACAACGACTGGGCATCCCTCTCCATGTCATGTTTACGTGAGCTAACCCTCTCACATATGAAGTCCCGGTTGGCCTTTGCACAATAGACTGAACCCACTTAATGCATAATAGAATGCCCTGGTCACCAACACAGTCCTTTCCCCACCCGTTAGCCATTGTTCACCCCCGGAACTACAAACCGACTGTCGCAAATTTTGTTTCCTACGGGGTCGTGGATATTATGGTGTGGCAAGGCTTGGGAGATATTCTAAACACGCTCCGCAAAAATACCTTAGCACTCCAACCTATCGATGCCATAACCGCCCCAAGCTTGCTACACCGACTGCACGTGCCGCATGCGTATCTATGGTGAGCAATCCATTCCTAGTCAGCAAAGCTATTCCATATGATTAACGAGAACGCTCGACAATAGGTCCCCGGCATTGCTACCCAAGCCCCCCGATTGGGATGATAAGATCGACGTATGTGGCTTTGGCTTCCTCCCAGCAGAAACCAGCTACACGCCGCCAAAGGAACTAGATGCGTTCCTCAACGCAGGGCCAAAACCGATTTACATCGGATTTGGTTCTATCGTAGTAGATGATCCCGTTAAACTAACGAAAATTGTATTCGGAGCAGTTCAGAAAACCGGACAGCGGGCTCTCGTTTCGAAAGGCTGGGGGAATCTTGGGGCGGGCAAAGTGGATGTGCCAGAAAATATTCTCATCATTGGCAACTGCCCCCACGACTGGCTGTTTCGACATGTCAGCTGTGTGATCCATCATGGTGGTGCTGGTACCACAGCGGCAGGCCTCTCTCTAGGTCGGCCGACTATAATTATCCCGTTTTTTGGAGACCAGCAATTTTGGGGAGAGATTGTCGCGCGAGCAGGAGCTGGGCCATCACCAATACCTCATAAACAGTTGACCCTGCAGAATCTCTCCGACGCAATAGGGAAGGCGCTAGAAGTGACCACTTTCCAAAGGGCGCAGGCGATCGCGAGGAACATGCAGGAAGAGTCTGGTGTGCGCCATGGAGTGTATAGTTTTTATCGACATCTTGATGTCCAGTCACTCAGATGCTCTGTAGTTCCGAATCGGCCAGCGGCTTGGCATCTCAAGCATACTAAAATTAACTTAAGTGCATTTGCGGCAGCGGTTCTGGTGGAATCAGGCAAAATTAGCCCAGACCATCTCGTGCTGTAAGTCTTCTCCAACACTGTCACCAAATGGCGATGATTTTTGACTAATTCCACTTCCAGACACCGTCCAATGGAATACGATACATTTCGTGATCCTGCTGGCCCACTTACTGCTAGCGCTCAGGTGCTACTTGGGGCCATTGCAAACTTCGTGACTGGGCTGGCAGATGCGCCAAGGGAGATCGTACTTGATATTGTTTCTGCAGCTCGCACAATGGGCCAACCCCATGAACATTTGGATCACCAAGCAGCATGTCGAGCAGCAATCTCTTCTCTAGATCGCTCACCCCGAGAGAATAGTTTTGAAAGACAGGAGATAGAATTTGAACTTGATGAACACGAGAATGACGAAGGCCTGCGTAGAGAGAGTCCACAGGAAGGTACCACTGATGAGGATAGTGAAAGCCATGTTAACAGCATCGAAAAGGTTTCGAGCATAAGACGAAAAAGAGATCTCCAGCTCGAAAAGGCCAAGACAATGAGCAGCTCAATGGTCCCCTCAAAACCACCTAAATTCAATATTATACACGAGGCTATGTTTCACGGAAGCAAAATGTCAAAGAAGTTGTTGAAGTGCATCATATGGCTACCAACAGATGTGTCACTGAGCATGGCCAGAGGCTTCCACAACGCGCCAAAATTGTATAACGACCCAATGGTAAACGACATCCCCCAGGTGATTGGTCTTCGAAGCGGATTCAGGGCAGCTGGAAAGGTACTAACAATCGTACAAGCACTAGCTTGGCCAAGTATGCTGACATTTGCACAGGAGCTCAGAGATGGATTCTACTTCGGCATCACAGGCCTAGGAACGCAGCCACGTTATGGTCTCAAGCATGACGGTGTGAAAGGGCTGTTCAAGGGGATCGGGAAAGCAGTGGGTGGAGTGGTTCTCAAGCCCACCGCGGGTACGTGAAATAGGCAGGGAATCTCTCTGTGATCTTGTTGTATACAAGCTGATCTTCATTAGGGCTATGGGGTCTGGTAGGGTATCCACTAAGTGGGATGCTCAGAGATATCAATGACTCGCTAGGTAAACATCAAAGATGTCTGATTGCCGTGGGTCGTATTTCGCAGGGGCTCCAAGAGATGCGAGAGTCGTCAGTCCCCGAAAGAGCAGAGGTATCCAGGAGATGGATTGAGATTGAAAAAGACTTGAAAAAGTCGAATAAACGATATAGCCGCTTGTATATGAAGGACTACACCCATGCAGTCTAAGGTGGTGAACAAATAACAGTATTGAAATCGTCTCAGCCGTCACAGGTGCATCTAGCTTCAATGAATGCGATATCGTCGCCGTATTCGTGCCGGTGGATGCCTTTGGTTGGCAGGCTTTGCTTACGGCAACACATTGCTACTATCTGCGATCTTTTACTATCCTAGCAGTGTTTCCAGTCTTTTATCAGAAATCACATCAGTCCAATGTACACTTAAGGCACTGAGACTCGTCGAGTTCTTTGTCGGCTGCCAAGTTCTCTGTTCTTCTCATTCCCATATTTCCACGATGATCATACGCGCGCGGCGCACTGTGTCCAGCCCTACATACTGAGCCAGTTTTGTAACCGGGACATTACAAACGAGCGCCAGAATATCATCACTTCCTTTGTACCCAAGGGCGATTCAAGAAAGCTTTCGTCCCGTATGCCTCCGACATATTCGGTACTACCACAATGAAGCGTACCGTTGGCGATAACAAGAGCCAGCGTTTGTACAGCTCGAGTTCCTGAGGTCTCGGGGATGGATGCGATCAATGACATAATGTCAATGGCCAATCCATGTAGTTGACTGTGACATTTTAGATATAGTTGCGCTTCCTCTGAGGAAAGGATAATGACAGTGATGGTTCCTCGAATATCAACTCAGGACATTCGATAGAGCTCCAAAAGGATTGAAAGCTGGTAAGCCCTGGCTAGAGTCTGAAAATGGCCGACTGGAGTAAGGTCGTCTCCTGTGCTTCTAGGTGCTTCTGCTGCCGGTATTTTATGCCAACATACCAAAGCTTCAATATGCCTAGCTCTCTGCAAAAGTCCACCCAACCTGGGACAGATAATGGAACAGAATAGCTCAGACTCCGTTTCAAGGGTTGACACTTGATTCTTCGTGCCCGAAACAAGGCACGTGCTCCTATGAGATGTCCCAAGCCGAATGAAGCACAGTCGTACCAAGACTGGATTGACGCAAGGTAAGCTACAATCAGAAATAAAATTGGAACAAGAAGCACACACTGAAGTCACTCCCAGCATAATTATACCCAGAAGTAATACGGTGACTGAGCTTGAGTCTCTTGTAGGACGTTCACCGGATATGACATGTTCTCTTATCTGAGCAGTCTCGGTCGCAAAACACAAGAGGGTGTTCGTGTTTTGAGTTAAACCCAGTGTACGTACTACCTCCCTTGCTATACAAGGTGCGCTGCCAAAATTAATAAAACGCAATGGTGGATTACAGTGCTTTGGGACAGAAGTGCTGCGATCCACACTCGTAATGGGTTTGTTGGCGAATCGAACCCTGACATGATACGACAGACCCAATCGAAATAATATTCAACCAGCAATGTGTAATCGTCTGCCGAGTGAGAAGGTAGCGAGAGCTCTCCATTTCTCCCCAAAGGGACAATCGCATCTCCGTAACACTATCTGTAGGACTTTGTCCGATGCGGGCTGAAGTTGTGTTCGCAGATAGTCCGACGATCGCCTGAACATAGCTTACATAGCACACAACAGTCGGCAGCGCATTCGCTTGTCATGCTCGGCGAGTCCCTGTTTGAGTAGTCCGGACCCGGGAAGCTGGTGACAATTTGACTAGCAGCCTCCTTCTGGATTGAAGTATCTTCAGACGACAGATGGAAGTCAGGTTGCAATACGGCATGGAGCTTCTCCACTTGATCGGAAGATCACTGTGGGCTTGACCTTTGGCTTAAGAAAGGCTCTAAATCCTTGGCATCTTGCCTATCAGGGGCCTTGAGCTCGTGCTTCGTCGACCACTTTACAGCCCTCGTACCCGGGGCAAATAAATGATCTGTTTGAGCACTGAAGGCAGGAGGGAATATTCTCGTCACTTGCAATTCGCTTGTATATGTCAGCTTTCTGAGTACGTCTCGTCGTCGACCAAGTAAAGAAAATCGAAAGAAAGTAGTTACGAAGGTGAACACACACGTTTCTTGCATCGCGCGCAACCAGCTTGTCAATAATCGTCAGAGCACTCTTACTCATTCAGACAGCTGATTACTTACTACGCAAGTTGACTGTCCCTCATGCCCGTTGCATCGCACAGTAAGGAATGCCGCAGGACATCTTAACGGCTGTGGTGACCTGGACGCGAGGTGCTGAAGTGACGTCACTCTGAGTCCCCATCAAGAAGCTTCGTATATAATTCACGTGGTATCATGGGTCGAGCTCGTTCTATCGCCTCTGCGCAAATGAATGGTAAGATGAGGGGAATGAACGTCGGCACAATCGTGTGAAGGAAACAAGGGTTCCTCGACGTGAGATACAATATCGCTGGGCACATGGCGGTTATGCCTACTCTATACTGGGGTCCATAATCTAGGATCTGCGTCAAACCCTTTGGGGGCAAAGAGTGCGATTGGGCTAGAATGGGCCGAGCGGCGGCAACCGTATAGTATATAAATCTTGATATAAATTCTTACCATGTAACGAACCTCCCGTCTTGGAATTTTGAATCTTTCATCGCTTCCTCGGGAATTTCTCTGTTTCACACAAGCTTTTCTGGCAGCCCTTTGCTCCCGTAGTATGGCAAAGGATTAACCTATATTCTGTCTTGTGTGGGGACGATTGTACGTTGTGTTCTATGAATATCATAGCCTCAAACGGTGAATGGGTTGGACGGAGTATTATCCGTCGGTTCTTCGTCGCTTCAATTGACGCGTTGCCAGAGGTATCTGTGACGGATGCAGTATACAACCCCCGGTTGGTAGTAGTCGGTGCACTGGTGCTACTTGTTAACAACATTGCAGTACTTCACGCACGAACGCGGCACCCACATGGTCCTCTATGCATTATGTCTAGCAAGTGGCACTTACCTTGCCCCTCTAACTTGTGGATTTATCTCTGCTGCGTCCAAGGCTAGCTGTTCATAGCCATACGACATCACAATTAAAACAATGGCCATTAAGAAGGGGCTTTTCCCCATAGGAGTTACAAATACAGATGGCAGCTCACTCTAGCTCATGCCGTGGTTGCTGCGCGCCCACCAGTTCTTGCGGCTGCACATTGTCTTTTGTGTCCAATTCTCTTGCATACCCAGCTTGCTTCGTCGAAACAGGTAATTCAGCGAATCCTCGAGATTGGGCCCTCCTTTCCTCGACAACAACGGGATTACGGTCGCGACGTCGCCGCATCATCACGACCCATACCACCCCAGCAATGAGGAGAACTCCTGCGATTCCAACTCCAACTCCAATCCCGGCTTTTGCCCCTGTGGAAAGACCACCAGTGGAGCTGGTGGAGCTATTCGAATTATTCGAGTTATTGGAGCCGGATACTGGTAAAGGAGACCAATATTTAGCCCAACTCTCTTCCCAAGAGGTGTTTGATGCGGCAAGAGTGGTGTCCTCGATATTAATAGTTGTTATATCCGCCTCAGGAAGACCTGGACCGGGAGCTTGGCCCAAGAACCATGTACCAGTGTTGTTCCCTTCGAACCAATTCACACCAACAAATGCAGCCTGGAGAAAAGGGCGACCGAGAACCGGTGTATCAGTGGAATGGAAACAGGGAAAATATGTTGCGTTGCGATCGACCAGCGGGTCTTGTAGCGTAAGCGTAAGGAGCCTCAGGGGAACCTTGACTGTAATCGTTTGATCGTTAAGACCATCTTTCCTGAACATGAAGGAAAGATATGTCGCGGAGGACGTAATATTCGCATAGTTACTGTGGGTCGTGTCCCAGATGTACAGGCCCAAGCCATTGTCGAACGAGACAGGAAACGACGAAGTGATCGCATCACAGGTGGCTTCAGGAAGATACATATAGGGCTTTGTAGGGTCAATCGTGACTGGTTTAGGTAGTACGGCGCCGTTGCTTTGCATGAAAAGCTCATTCTTGCTCGTAAAGTCGAACGGCGAGTCTCCTGTGGCAACGCCCAATCCAATATCCTTCAATACAATCTGCCACAGGCCACTAGAATAAGACGACAGGCTTACTGACTGTGAACTCACCCCTGCAAGAACTCGGCTCTTATCATATCCGCCTAACACCAGAGATCCTGGAATAGCTGGCTCGACAGACCCAATGTGCATTCCGTACGAGTAAGATGGAATGCGGCTGTCTCCTTCAGAGGTGTATAGCCCCGCTGCGATCATGTTGAGACTTAACCCTGAGGCCACATCTTTTAAATGCGGCCCACCGATTGCTAGGTTTCCAACTGGGACCGGATAACCCTTGCCATTGGGGTAGGTCTGGTATGTTTGATAGACTGCCGTCAGGCTAACGTTTGGGACAACAGCGCCAACATCGACCTGATCACTAACGAACCCCTGTATACTTCCTCCTTGTACGTTCCAATAAGACGTCTCCCACGCGCTCCGATTCAAGGCCACGGCCGTGGTTGATTCGCTCTGGTTGTACGTGCCGGCGCGTGCTGCATAACATGTTGTCGAGAGGGTTGTGTTCGAGCAGATCGAGTCGACGAAGATGGTCGTGGCTCCATTGGCTCCGGGATAAAGATCGATTGACTGTTTATTGCTGCCCACTGCTATCGTCACAGCTTGCCATGGACCGTCTGGGCCGTATGCCTGTGATGACCATTTCATCACTAGGGGATTTGCCGCATGAGTCGTAGCATCTTGGAGGATGAAAAGGAGAAGACATAGAAGCCGCATCATAATATCATAATATTAGTATAATCGTAGTCACTTCGCTGGCTCGAGGGGCGGGACAGCGGGGGAGATGAGGGATAAATAAAGGTAGAGTGGCATGCCAGGGAGAATGTAAGAAAGATTACTCCACATCCCTTGCCTTCAGAGTGAGACATGTGTTCGGATTTAATTTTCTGCAAGACTGTCATGCATGACAAAACTATTCTAAATGGAGGAGCAATAACGGCGGATTGGTATCCCTGCACAGCTTAAGCCTCTTTCAGGAGAGTTATTCAAGTGCAAGGATCCTCAACCCGGTTAGATCAGTTCCGCCGTAAGCCATCTAGACCGTTGACAGTCCATTCGATGGTTACATCGGTGGTCGGACATTTGATGCTAGGAAGGCAGGCCGCGTGGGATTAACCCTAACTGGCTAAGACCAGGTTCAGACCAGAGGCACGGACACCTATATTCTCTCATATCCCAAGATGAATATTAAAGAGTAATTGAAACGGTATGGGTATGCGTATTCATAACTTACCTCAGGTGCCTGATGTCGCGATGTGCATAATTTAGTCCCAGCATTCTTCGCGTCGGCGTCTCAGGTCTAAGTTTGCCCCAATTAATTCCTACATTAGTATTACCCTTGTTAATGGACCAACTGCTTGTTATCAGAATAGAATGATTAGTTCCAATATTCTAGAAATGCCTTGGAGCAGGCAGATGCGGTTGCTGCGGTATAGTCCTGCCATAGCTTATTTTTTGTAACTATTAGCATAGTTGCAAGCACACTTCATGACTAAAAGGCTAGACCAATTAAGTATATATACTCAATTGTTATATAACGTAGTACTAGCCAATAGGCGCCAGAGAAACTGATACCAGTTTATAAAAGGTTATGTGTATTGTAGTAGTGACACCCCTAATAATATCAGTATATGATATGGGAGTATAGAATTACAGGAGATATAAACAAACTTATTTAGATGTTTAATTTAGTTCTTCATAATTAATATTATTACTTAATTGCTATATTCATCTATTACCAGCTTGAGTTGTTTACATAGAATAATCCTTCAAGTGCTAGCCATCCGGGAATCGGCTATCGTCATTCTATGATATTCTTTGTCCGCCTTGGATTAAGTTGCACTAGACAAGATTCCGTAAAATATAGATAATAGATACAGAGATGGATTAAATCGGTTCAGATGGGTAAAAATATGGTTTATAGATTATAGTTAGGAACCGAAAACCTATGATACATTGGGTGCGGCTGAATTCTAGCTATGACTAGTATCAATCCTGACAAGTTCATGGCCGATATCAATACAAATTCCGGGACGAATAGAAGAAGAAAGCTAGAGCGGCTGATTCCATGAATAGGTAGTAATTATCTGGATTACAATTAAATTTGATTATGTATCTAGATATATCATTAAGCACGTCCCGGGATTATGTTGTTAATGAAAATCGTAGCCCCATTACCACTCTTCCAAGACTTTAACTACAAGGCCAGGAAAGCTTGCCGGCAAATTACTTAGGCCCAGTCAATGAAACCAAAAGTTTTGAGTATTTTTTGCAATCAACTGGTTGGGCTGATACTTAGGCGCCTAGTATGTATTAGCCGGCTGCCTTTTTCCATTTCAGATAGGCCGTGCTGCTTGCATATCTCCAGCTTTTATTTGGGAAACTTACCTAGGGACGGAAGCATGTATCTCATGGACGCCTCTGAGAAAGCAGACTTTGTCACCCAAAATTGCTGTTTGACGTCTTGGGAGCAAGTAGGAGCCATTTTAAAAACGTCAATCGACACAGTCTATAAAATAACACGGTCAGTCGCAAGGTCCTTGGAGAGAGCACATTCAAAGGAATACATGAAACCACATACATCTGTCTTTATCTGGTCATCGGCCAGTGCGGTCACAATGGGTGCAGTGGCGAGGGGAAACTGGACACTGCTCCTCTTCTCAATGATAGTTAGGAGGAGCTCCTGTTCAGCGTTGAAGTACTACATCGGGCAGTAAACTATCAGTATCTTTCTACTACCCATAAAGCTAGTAGTCGGGGAAACCCACGGTAAGGAGGGATTGGCAAACGGCGTTCTGGTCTTCTGGAACGACAGAACTGGTACCAAAGTCTGCAAAAGCATTGCTGACATCGTCCTTGTCAGTGGACATCTTTTCTTCGCCGCTGAGAATCATCTGGATTGAGGTCAGTCCATGTTCAAATAACCCTGCTGTATACTCTACAGACCTGGCCAATTGAGTCAGGGTCCTGATTGCTCTGGAGGCGGCTATTCAGGTCTTTGGCACCTTTCGTGAGGGACTCGAGATGTTTTGTAACTTCAGCACCGCTAATGCCCTCAGCATACGCCGAAGCGGACGCTGCCAAGAAGGCAGCCAGGACGGAGAGCTTGAACTGCATTGTGAATCAGGTTGACAGAGAAGAAATACTGGGGAAAAGAAGGAGTAATAGTAGCTATGTGGAAATGGCTTCAAGTGTGAAATATGGAATCGTGAATTGGAAGTTTGGGGAGGGCAGGAGGAGAGCAACTGATAAAGATACAAGTTTCTCTCCAACCCAACTATACCGATCGATCACCGGGATCTCATCTCTGCTTGTAAATACCGGGAAAATCAGCTAAATCCAATTAATGTCAGATTCATCGGATCGGGGCCCTCGTGGGATTAAGGTCGTCATTGCCGATCTTCAATATTGCTTCTCGGGACAACACTATTGGTTTTGTGGCCCTACAATTGGTTGTCTGATCCTCTCAGAACCCACGAGTCTCAGCTCAATCATCGACCTCAGGGCAGTCCTAATCTGCCATTACCAATTCTATTGGTAGCTCCCCCCTTGTTTTGTAAAACAAAAAAAAAAAAAAAATTTTTGTAGCTCAGAAATGTAGAATAGTATCTTCATCAGTCCGCCAACTGACTTCTACCTGACCTACACTCTGACACCTCAACCGCATCCTATATCACACATTAACCACATATTCCACTTCCACCTCCCAAAGTCTCCAAAAAAAAAAAATATAAGAAGCAGTAAAACTTACCATAAGTCTGGTCAGTTCCAACCTCTCTACTAACATCGTTTCATACAGCAAAGATAGATTCCCCAATGAAATACCCCTATTCAAAAGATATCTCTTAAAAGGCGAATATGTCTCAGTCTTCTTTACCAATGAAGCCTACTCTGTATACATATTCTGAATACAGCAGATCTTTACGATATTTTGATTTTTATATTATCTGTAATGGCTATAGAACTAGGTATTACCAATTCTAACTCCTCACACAAGTTTAGAGTATTTAAATCTAAGATCTTGGAGTAATCAAGAAATAATATATTCTAGAATTACTACTGTTAGTCTATAGTAGAAGAATTTTAAGTAGTCTTGTCTCTCTTTCAAGATACTCTATAATATACTGTGATGACCTGAGATATACTCATATTATTTACACTGTTTATAAATAAGGAGACTATTTCCGGTTGCAGTTCTGATATATAGAGTGGATTAACCTCCCCGTACTAACCGCCCCTATCCTCCCCGTTTGCCAGTCTACTGCTTACATGACCTCGGGGTGGCTGAGGACAGTGTTGGTGTCCGGATTGCTTACCAATTACGTTATTCTACCTTAACTATATTATTGGGATTATTAGTCCTACTAATAGGAATACTAACCTAAAAAGCGGGCCGTTTTACCGGCTTCTAGCACTGCTAGGTGATGCGGTACTAAATGATCAAAATGGCCAAAATACCAGAGATTTTGGTGATACAGAAAAGAGTAGGGCGGGCGAAAATTTTCAAATGTAGCATTTACTTCAAGTTATACACTACAAGACGTCTAGCTGGTATTTTCAATAGCCAACAGGTTATGGAGTCATAAGCTTGCTTTGCCAGGACCATCAAAGCTGTCTAGATGATTATTTATATGGCAGAATCACACAAGGGAACTCAAGCTCACGATGTAAATGCGACAGGATTTCAGTGTAGTCCGGCTCATTTTCAGCGTTCAGAATCCTATGTGAAATGAGGAATTTGGTAATAGCAATAGCACTGTTTGGCTTAAACTGTCCCGCTTTCAGAGCATGAAGCACTTCTTTCACCGTGTAGAGTGTGAAACTCTCCACTTCGGAGCTCGATCTTGGAGTTATGCTTGCATCTAATTCAAGTTCATAGAGATACTCTACCCCTGGCTGTAACAACCCAGTCTCTCCTCTAGCCCTGCTCTGCACATGAAAATACGTGAGATGGCCTACCGATTGAACCTTGCTTCTCACTGTATCCTTTGGTAGAGATGCCTTTTCTTGTGCTTTCCATAGAAGAGCTTCGATTGGTAGCTTTCCAGAAGGGAGGCCCCCAGCTACAGTAGTATTGAGCATCCCTGAATTTGTTGGTTTGTGTTCTGAGTCTGATCGCCTGCCAATCCATACTTGAAGGCCTTGTTCAGTCGTTATATAACAAACCAGTTGGACATTATAAGCCACAATCCCAAATAAGGCACTTGCGCAACGCTCTATCTCCAGCAGAACTTGCCCCTGTGGACCGTATACGGGGAAGGTTTCATCTCGCCAGTTTTCGAGGATCGAAATTGCACCAAGCTCTCTGGTAGCTTGGAGAGTTTCCTTTACCAGTCGAGAGCGCGATTCACTCGTAGCGGTGATTGGTACCATTAGAGTCACTGTACGTCGGTAATGATCGATCTCCCACCAGAAGGACCACTTGATTTTTTCAAAGGTTTCGCGGGGAATATATCCCAATGTCACATCATAGCCATTTACTATAAAAGCGTAGCGTTTGTCCAGAACTCTTGAGTGAGACGGGGGTCCATCACTTGGAGTAAAACTATAATAATATCAGCAATAGAAACATATACCAATACGGATTCTTAGGAAGTAGTTACTTGTCGCATTCTTTGACCACATCTAGAATGGATTGTGACATATTTAAGCACAGATATTCGTAAAAAGTCAACCTACTGGGAAAGGTTGAAGGTGTCAACGCGCCATCTGGCCAAAACGACACGTGGTATTTTATATTATCTCAACTCTTGGCGAATGCAAGCCCCACAAGGTACACAAGTTGGTCACAATCACCAGTCTTCTGCGCAAATCTGCGTTCTCGTTCTTCTCGGAATCGAAGAATGTGGCTTTTTCGGCCACAAAAATACACAGTTGACCAAAGATATACAATACGTGGCTTATTTGCTGAATTTAATCTCGTACAGTAGATGTGGCTTCGAAGACGCTGCTACATATAGCTTGGCGAATACAGGAAACTCCATGAACATCGATAACAACAACTACTACTACCACGTCGCACAATGCCAAAACAGAGTCTAGCCAAATACGTAGTAAATTCCCGCTATGTTTCCAGATCCCTTTTCCAAACCTTCACCGGCAGATCAACGGGCCATAAATTGAACGCCTCTTCATTCTGCAGTGTCCAATCAGGCGAAGGGAGAGAGAAGTCATATCGGTACACGAGGGTGGCGATCAGGATTTGCTGCTCAATCATGGTAATATTCCTCCCAATACAAGCACGACCGCCCGCACTAAATGGGATGAATGCGTCTCGCATCTTACCTATATTTTCATTGTTGAACCATCTCTCTGGCATGAAGGCTTCTGGTTCTGGGAATACATCCGGGTCCCGATGGGCGACATATGCAGGAACCGAGACACCCACATTCCCTGGAATGAACTCACCCATGATATGGGCCCCAGCGGGAGGTGTTACACGCTCGAGGCCGCGCGGAAGCGGAGGTGATAAACGTAAGGACTCCTCGATGCAGGCTTTCAAATAAGGCAAACTTTTCACCTTGGCGTAGGGAGCAACTTTGTCTCCAGTGATGGCTTCGGACACTTCCTTCCTTAGCTTTAGAAAACAATTTGGGTTTTTGATGAGATAGTAAAGTAGGTGGGTCAGGGCAATCGCCGTTGTCTCGGACCCGGCATCAACTACAGAAGTTCATATTAGCCTGGGCTCATGGAGCGTGTTTGCGAAGGAAATGGCTTACGCAGAATGTTTGTTTCTGCCTTGAGTTCACCCATATCGAGATCTCGAGACTTGCCCGCCTTATCCTTGATAAGGCAACTTAGAAAATCATCAATGCTTTCACCATCCTCGTATCGTTGCAATCGCTTGCTAGCCAAGTGGCTTACGATCTGGCCGACGTTGCCTCCACAGTCCCATTGCGAACGGCAGCGCGAGGAGAAAAAGATAGTAACCTGTTTTAAGACGTTGTACCAATCTAGTGTACCAATAATCTTCGACTTCACTCGGGCTGCTTCGTGCATGTCCGCAATGAATCGATGTGTGCGATTTTCTTCACGCGGACCGCTAACCTTGACGACGTCCGACCCAGATTCGAGCATCCCAAGTCGCTCACTCAACGCGATATCGGCAATGGCATCGACGGTAAAGAGGTTGAACCAGTATCTGAGGTCAACCATACTAGTGTTCGGTTGATTTGGGCTGTTGTTCCATGACGGGGCATGTGCTCTCCTATCCAACTGGGCTACTAGCTTTTCGACTTTATCGGTGATCTTGAACTCCCAAGATTCCAGGTTCTTGGTGGAAAAAGCGTGTGATAGCATTCGACGTTTCCGATTGTGATCCTCCCGATCAATGACGTTCAGAATGTTCATGTGTCCCTCGCCGTTCTGTAGTTTATACATTTCATGCTTTTGGCAAGACGACCCGAAGCCATAGATGTCTTTGATAGCCTTAACATCTCGAAATGAGAGTATATTAGGCGCGGCACGGATGACGGGATGTTTTTGATGCTGAAGATATAATTCTCTTGTTCGAAATCTGCGCAGCCTCTCTCGCATAGAGGCCAAATTGGTAACGCCGGAGAGGAGATTTTGATTCGGATATTTTCGTAGTTTCTTACTGTCGTAGAAGTAAATGACTAAAGGCCTCAAGGCCAAGACAACAAAAACCACAATGAAAAGCTTTTCAAGTACCATTGTAAGGGTCGATCCGAAATAGTCGGAGACGATGTGGGATAAATTTCAGCGACGACTTATGGGTCTTGGGACAGCGAAATATGGTACAACAACTCAGTGAGAGTCTGATGGTGTTTATAAGCTATTGATTGTCACGCTTATTTGCTTTCAATTCACCCGATCTCCCGGGATTGGTATTTGCCTGCTCAACGAAGGTTGACTGCAATGGTCCAAGTGGCATAGTTTGCGCCTCGTGAGAGCTACCTGATAGGGAATGTTAAACGCAAGTAACTCCCACCACTCCACAATCCCGGACCACTGGTTAACCTGGGGCATCCCTGGGTGCTCCATGCATTGCTTTGAATCATTCTGCAGGCATATTTATCTTCAGCCAACAAGGGCCTGCAGATACCAAAGTCTGCCCTTGCGGGGTGGCTTACCTTGCCTTGTATGGAAAAGGATCCCCGCAGTTCCAGCCAAGGAATGGCTTGTGAACATGGGGTTGGAGGCATCTTTTTTTCGACTTGGGTGGACATTCCGTGTATTTTACCTGAAACGGTATAAGAGCCGGCAATGGTGATCGTCGGGCCGCAGAGTGAATCATGCATCGACATTGATAAACGTAGGGTCACAATTTATTTTAGATCTCTAGCCACGTGTTTGCATCAAATGCACGGTGAGTGGCTTGCCTTGTCTATTACCTCCAAGCTCACCCGGGTTGGACTTTTAGTCAAGTCGTTAGGTGAGCTTAATCCTAGAGATCCTATATGGTAATAACATTAAGTGAATTTAGTTCAATTAATTAGATTAGTATTTTTATTATATAATAAAGAATACAAGAGATAAATTACATAGAGATATAGAAATCTATATTTAAAATTTATATAATACTATATTACCGTTATATAACTTGCTCTAGAACTGAAGCTGTGACAAGATAGGCTGTGGAGATGCACATCCGGTCCAATATGAATGCAGAACCAGAGAAATCAGCCAATCGTTTAATTTTAATTGGTCTCGTTGTATCTAGCGATATAGTTGTCAAGTCTTGTTTCAAGATCAGGTTATAGAGAAAACATATATACATCCCTCAGACTGTTAGGAGGCCGTGAATGAATTTGTCCCACAATCTGACCCACGAGATCTGGATGGCCGTGTTCCCTCCCTTTCAACCCTAGTCAAAGACGATGGCCGCCTTGATGGCGTTCTTATTCCGAACTTCTTCTAAGCACTGGGCCCATTCTTCGATTCTAAACGTCTTGTTCACAATACCATCGACGGTGACCTGACCGGACTCGAGGTAGTCAATGGCAGTGGGAAATTTATGGACTTGAGAAAAGCTGCTGAGGATCGTTATCTCGTCGTTGACTATAACAATATTAATTAGCTTGTATCATGCCAATGGGGCAGACACAGACGTACGGATTTTGCTAGGGCTCCAGGACACACGGTCGTGATCAGCAAAGACGCCGTACACGAGTAGTTTCCCACCTTTGCGGACGAAGTGGATGGAGTCATCTAAGACCTTTATATTTCCAGTGGCCTCAATGACAATGTCAAAACCATTGGGATGGTGGGATTTGAGCATCTGGAGTTGTGCATCTGGATCCTTACGCGACAGAGCGACATACTCATGGCCTGCACCGAGAGACTTTGCCAAATCCATCTTCAAGCCTTCGGGGGCGGCAACGACGACATGACATCCGCCATTTTGCTTTAGCATTTGAGCCAGGATCTAAACATTTTTCTTGTATTAGTTGCTCTTTGAAGTTCGTGGTTTGGATGGGGGCCCTGGGACTCACCAGCCCTGTCGGTCCAGCACCGAACAGAAGAATAGAGGAACCAGCAGCTGCGGCGAGTCTATCGATCCCATGAGCAGCGCAGGATGCAGGCTCGATGAGTGTAGCGTTGACATTCGAGAGATTCTGGAATTTAAACACCTTGTTGGCTATTGACCCTAGTCAGAACCTGGCAAACGAGAAGATACGTCAAATAACTTACCGGGATAGGCGCAGTATTCAGCGAATCCACCGTCCATAGTAACACCGTGTGCTTCGAAATTCTCACAGAGCAGTTCCTGGCCCCGGAGACAGTAGAAACACTCCCCACACAGTTCCGAATTATCAGCCACAACACGATCGCCGATGGAGAACCTTTTTACACGTGCGCCAACAGCAGCAATGACACCGACGACTTCATGACCTATGAACGTTGGTCGGTAAACATGCTCATCTAATGTGACTGCTCACAACCGCATCTCTTGTGGAGGGGGATATATTCACATACCAGGAATCAGGGGAAACTGAACAGTTCAATCAATCTGGTTATTTGAATTCAGAGACGGCCATCCAATCTACGCTACATACCTTGGCAAGGAACCCTCCCTCGTGGATATGAAGGTCAGTCCCACACACCCCACACGCCTTGACCTTGATCTGAAGATTAATAAGTCAGTTACTAGGTACTCGATCGAATTAAGACTAGGTGAGAGCTGCGGCGCAGTCCTTACCAGAACGTCATTCTCTCGAACGTCTGGGAGGGGTACATCAGCGATGCAATAACTCTCCGGCTTTACATATCTGCTAAAGTATTCAGCAAGTGGCATGCCTTGGGGAAGGGAGGGGATATCATCAATGTTCAAAATGTTATTAGGAATTACCTGAGAGCCTTCATTGTCGTTGGGAGGCTGGTAGCCATTATCAGATATGATGACGGAGGTGCAAAGGCGACAGAATAACGGAGCTTGATTTTAACTTATTACAATCAGAATAGGATAGCGAAGCAAGACTTTAAACATGGGGAAGGTGGTGGTAAAGTCGTTTATCTATACGACGTGGGCCTCACGAGGACAAGATGTTCGGGATATTGGCCGGTGGAGTAGCCCCAGTATCACAGACCCCCATCTCGCAAAAATTCACAGAGACCATCTACTTCAAAGAGAACTATCCCAAGTCTCCGCGTAATCTTCCCTATTGGGGTAGGAAACCAGATATTTGAACCCCGAACTATAATATCAATTGCATGCTTGACATGTGGAGCAAACAGAACATGTTCCGGTATTAATGCCGGGAAGTGAACGGCTATCATTCCTAATCGGGTCATTTAAGAGAGCATTTGCATTGCGGGGGTCGAAGAGCACCCCACAGTACTAACAGAACCCTAATTGCGCTTCTCATGACTTAGTCAATTAGACGATTCTGAATTGGCAATGACACGCAGATGCAGATGGTGGATTGTGTCCCCGGTATTTGTTGGGTTTCCCGGGGTACATATAACTACTTCCCAATGTTTTCTGACTCGTTGACTGTTTAATGTTTCCCTTTATCTGCCTGCCATTACCACAGTCAGTGTTTCAGAATCAATTAAATATTGCCGACTCAGAGCATGAAGGTCATTAGGTCCCTCAGTGGTCGCAAGCAGCGGTTACTTGTGACCATAGTATGTGGCTGCGCCTTCTCTTTGTTTGGCTATGACCAGGCTCTTTTTGGGGGAGTGGCTAGCGGTGATGCTTTTGTGAAGCAGTTTGATCATCCAAGCCCAAGCCTCACAGGGCAAATCGCTGCTCTATATGATATCGGCTGCCTTGTCGGGTCCTTGGTCAGTATCATCTTCTGTCAGAGATTTGGCCATCGGAAATTAATTGTCAGTTCTACCCCTCGAAGGTCTGTAGCTGCTAATTGTTGAGAAGCTGGGAGGAAGTGCGATAACTATTCTGGGTGCCATCATACAAACCGCCTCTATGAATGTTGGAATGTTAATCGGTGGAAGGATCATTGCTGGTATTGGAAATGGTAGGTAGAGCCACTCAACCCTGTGGACCGTGGCTCCCAACCGCGCGATTGACATTGGTACAGGCATGAACACAGCGACAGTCCCAGTCTACCATGCGGAAACTAGTCTATCGGCCAGTCGCGGGAGAGCCGTCATTGGTGAACTGTTTGTCAATAATGTAGGATGGCTAGTGGCACAATTCTTGACCCTTGGCTTCAGCTTTATCAACAGCGGAATTCAATGGGTACGTACGGACACAAGTTGTTCTCATGTTATTCTGTTGCTCACTTGTTCTTCATAGAGGATCCCAACAGCCTTCCAGATCGTGTTCCTGGTGCCCATATTCTTTATACTTCCATTTCTTCCCGACTCTCCGCGCTGGCTCGCTTCCCACGAGAGATTTGAAGAGGCCTCCAAAGTTCTCAGTCACATAATGGAGGAAGATCCTTCTTCTCCATCATTTGCTTCCCAGATGCAAGCCATTCAAGAGATAGTTCTTGTCGAGGGATCGGCTCACAAGAGCAAGATCTCAGAACTCTGGACCGGTCAGGGGCGAAACCTTTTCCGCCTACTGCTGGCCTGTTCAGTGCAGCTAATGGCTCAGATCGGGGGTATAAACATTTTTGCTTATTTCGTCGTTATAATATTTCAAACCCAGCTTGGATTAAGTTCCACACTGTCCCGAGCACTCGCCGCCTGCGCTGGAATAGGACTGCTTGTCTCCAATCTGACTTCAATAACTGTGATTGAGAAATGGGGCCGGCGACGCCTATTGCTGTTGGGCTCTTCTGGCCAATGTATTTGTTTCCTTGTATCAGCCATTGTCCTCTCCACGGGCGGGACCGCAACATGGGCAGGAATTGTGGTTGTCGTCATGGTCTATCTGTTCTTCATTGTTTTTGCTTTTGCCTGGCAATCAATTCCCTTTCTTTATCCGGCCGAAATTCTGTCTCTCAAGTACAGAGCCCGATTCTATGGCTTATCAAATGGTTGCAACTGGGCCATCAATTATGTCATTGTGTTGATCACACCCATCGGAATCAGCGAAATAGGGTGGCGTCTCTATGTCATCTTCGCAGTTTTCAATTTCGTCAATGGCTTGGTCGTCTATTTTTTCTTTGTCGAGACAGCCCGAAGCTCCCTGGAAGAGCTTGACTTGTTTTTTATCGGCTCGGACAGAGTGTCGATAAAGCCTCCACCATTTTTACGTCTCACGGGGACTCTCGCCTGTAGTGACCATGCCATGACGACGGCGACAGAGTTGGACAAACATACATCAGACATCATGCATCTGGAAAATGTCCCACAGAAGTGACGCATGATTCTGAGTAGCTGAAACGGGTGCGATACTAGTCGGACCTAATGCTGGGACAGTCTTTAGATAATATCCCGCTGGAGTTTATTGCCCTAGATTTTGTGTCCCAGATATCTTTCTTGATAGCATGCCAATGTGGATTCTACTTGTGATTGTGTGAGAAATTACCAGTAACTTATTTGGAGTGCGCTCAGGCGTACGACTGCCCAATGGCAGAGGGCAACTAACATCTCCATCGACGTGTTCCGCCTGTCTGCAAATATCATCGGTTGATTAAATTAGACGAAACCCTCTGCAAGCAACTGACATTGTGGCATGTAAATACATTGGGCTGTTTCCTATCTATTTGCCTTCTAGAATGTTACTCACGTGGTTACCAGGTTTGTATCAATCAAGCTAGACTTAGTCGACGCAAGGAAATGAACTGAGGTTAGCGACAACGAGTCGTGGGAATCACTTTTTACAATCTGATGTATGGACTGCAGACATAAGGCTGGTTTTTGCGGGGAGAGGTTTCATTACCGTGGAGGAACGCAAAGCCACCCGAGAATGTCTTCTTCAGCGATGCCATCAACGGCAGAGTTGTCTTTCAAGCTTGCTTTTCGTATGAAAGCCAGTCCGCGCCTCGATGTCGTCGAGCAATAATATGGCACTCTCTTTAAGTGTGTTGTCTCTGACGTATTTCACCGCTGAGCAGGTGAGACAAGTGAGCACATGGACTTTATACAACCACTGACGCGATTTCTTACCGTAGCAAAGGGGCTGAACAACCACAACCATGGCGGAGTCTGGAAGGCTTGACAGCGCGATCAAGATTATCTGCCTTGAATGTGCGTCGACTTGATCCTGCAACCGAAGTCAGCATCGGGGTCAGGGAGGCTTGAGCGAGGGAGGTGTTGTCATAGGCGACTTACATATAACTCACTCACATTTTCCGGTCCCTCCTGGACCTTCTCAAGGTCATGCCACAGAAGCAACATGGATAAATGATAGAAAACTAGTGCAGCGGCTTTCAAGTCCTTTACTGTCAGGTTGTGATTTGGAGATCTGTAGGGGTAGAACCGTACCAAAATTCGGGCGTGGAAACCAGTATCGGACGTTTCCATCTTCTGCGTATTCAATTCCTTTCCACTGCTTTGGGCACCGATGCAGCCAAGTACACAGTTCGCTCTGGAGAGCTGACAGGTCTCGCTTTCTCCGTTTTGTCCTGTTTCTCGATGTTTTTCCGAAAACAATGCAGACAGTTTCAGCGGTCAGGCGTAAAGCGTCATTACAGAATGAATCCTCTGCTGGCTCAGCTGCTGAAAGGTCCAACTTTGGCCACGAGCCCGGGTCATGCAAGGTAGGCGAATTACGATTCAGCGCTTCAGCCACCTCGTGTCGTGCATATATCCAGAACGAAGCGCGAGTTAAGCAGCTTGCTGAGTTGTGAGCGTGTAATGAATCTATGATTGTGTGTGCGCCTTTGAAATGCCGTTGATAGTCGAGGCCTGGGAATGCGAGAAGCTCATAACTGCTCAGTAGGATTGTTCCAACAATCGCGAGTTCCATCTTGCTGGGGAAAGAACTGAGAAGGCGGGCAAGAAAATGGACAGCTTGGCCATAGTAGTGTTCAGCCACCGGTTTCCAGGTCCGTGGAGAGTCAATGAGGCTCAGTTGCCGTGCTGCAAGAGCGCAGATCGCATTTAATAAAAGCGGCGACGATGGAGCCATACACAGCAGCCGCCGTTGATAGGTGAATTCCGAATCAAACACGTCCATCCAAGTCGCGATGCTTTTCTCGTATACCCGGAGAAGGTGGACAATTTCCGGCGTTATCATAGACTCTGCGGGAGGAGACGCTCCTTCGCGATCCGCAGCAGCGCGGGACATGATCCGTGGCTCTTGTACTTGATGTTCCCCATCTCTCTGAGACCTAGGTGCACCGTTAGGGTTGACTTTGATGCATTGACCGTCTCGGTTGGGCTCCGGCGGTGTTTCAGTGCCTGCGGCAGCTTCATCTCAGCAAACGTCAAGAGGGAGTATCAATTTGACTAATCTTACGTCTCTCTACTCCGACGACAGCAGGATCGAAAGTGTTCCATTTCGAGGAAACAAAGTCCGGTTGTTGGCATTGTAGTCGTGACTTTCTACAATTGCCACAAACAGGCCGAGTTTCATCGCAGCGAGTATGTCTTCCTCGACAAGTAAGACTGCATCCATGGTCAGAATCTAAATAAACGACCTATTGTCTTATATCGTACCAACCTATACTTATTAGCTAATAGTTCCATGACACGTGCGCCTCGAGCAATGAAAACACGTACCCTTCCTGCTGCGGGGTCCAGATCGGCGCGGCCTACGCCCTCCTGGCAGGTGCCGGTCCATAGGTATGAATAATCTAGTAGTTAATAGTCCTAGTCGCCAAGATAGCTGATAATGAATTTTGCAGCCAGCGAAACGAAGAGATATGCTCAGCTTGGGGACTGAACTCTCTCCGATCTCCAACTTCAGTGCGGGGAAATCCAGCTTATGTCATCGTCTTCAGGGCTTCGATATACACAATAAAAGGCAGCTATGGGCATTTCATTTGTCCATGGTGGAGGGAAATGGTACTGATGATGTCGTAATGCATATGAGGTTTAGGAAAGGGAAGATCTATTTATAATAAAAAGAGCTTCGCTTGTGGTACAGACACTCCCAGCAGCGTCCCTTATTTCTCCTTTCACGAATACTTTCCGGCGTTCAACCTTGACAACTTCCGCCCGCGCCATGATAAAGCCCTGCGCAAGGAGTAGCTTATGATACGTAGTGTTCAAGCTCGCAGTGCGTATCCCAAGTCCACGATCAAGGTCCAATAATACTATCAGGCCTCCGGTAATTTCGTCCATAAGCGTTGCTAGAAACCCTCCATGGGCAACCCCATCTTTCCCCGATACCCCGGCTCCAATCTGCATCACGATGTAGCCTTCGGATTTTACCCCCGTTGGGTCTTGTGAGGTTCTATATAAGAAAGTGCGATCCTTCCATGCATTGTTCTGTTTGGTGGTATCTCGAAAAGGGTTGGATGCGCTAGTGTCGATCCTGAGATCAGGATGGTTCAACCAGGCAGCACCCCAAGAGGTCGATCGAAAGTAGGAAAGAGGAGTTGACATGGGTATTAATTATGATAGGCGGACTTGATATATATTGATCTCGTGAATATGGAGAGTGTGGTGGTGTTTATGCTCGATAAGTACACTCGAACGGTTTATGTATGTACATACTCGGTTAGGTGGCCGGCAAAGAAGCCGTCGGCATTAGCTCTTCCTCGGTACTGAACATTCAACACCTCTAGATATATGCACTTATATTATACAGGCATACCTAGTCATTATGTACATTTCTAGTACTGTGTAAAGGCGGCTAACTTGGTATAACCCGCATATAGTAAGTTCTTATCAACTTGTCGTAGTGAGGCATACCACTCATATGCCTAGTACAATCTATGATATTCAAAGAGTGCCAGCTTATAGATAATGATAGTACACGGCCTTAGAGTCCGGCTGAGAATCAACCATTACGTCTTTGAAAATCATACGTGGGGCTTAATATAATATAGAGAGAGCTGGATTAAATCGATCTACTCTAAAAAAATACGAATAAAAATAAAAATAAATCAATAAATCAATAAATATTAATAATATTTTTATTTTCTATCAAAAAACAGGCATCCCTGCATTCTAACCCAATAGAATGTACTAATAACCGGGAATCTAACTAGATCCCCTTTTAATAGCTAGCTACTAGTGAGAGCTAAGAGGCCAATGATCCCCATGTCATATTGTTGACTGCACACTTTTTGTGACTGGCCCCTACGGCGCCGTAATAATATCACCTGGACTCGGGTAGCGCAGCCGAGGAGACATGTCGACTATAGGTTCGAAACAGCCGTCCACCACAATAACAAAGAAAACAAAAGAAAAACATACAGCTGGTATTATATGTTAGTGATTACCTAGCGTCAACGAGTTTATGCTAGGTGGCTTGCGATTAGTGAAGTTGTTTGCCGAAATAGTTTCAATTTCACTATTTCTACCTGAATAGAAAAAGATAGAACACTCGAATTCCTGCTCTACAAGAGGTTTAGTTAAGCTACTTGGGTTGTGGGATAAGATGTGAAAATATCCATTCATCTTAAATAAAATTGTTTTAAAATAATGCTACACACATAAAGGAGACGGAAGCGGGGTTACTTTTTGTTAAGCTTCTCCTAGTAAGGGCTTCCAGCAACGTTACTACACGGTAGATTAGAACGTCAACTTCAACAGACCTCAAAACATCAGGAAAGTCTTAAAGACATCCTGAGACTCCGATGGCATGGAACCAAAGCCTATGAATGGTATATGGTACGGAAACTTGCAGCAGGACCAGATCAAAGGTTTCAGAAAAAAGCTGTGGGTAGCCTCTGTAGGTGGTTTATAGAATCGATGTCAAACCTTCGTTTGAAATGAACTAACTACCCAATCACATAGCTTCCTGTCTGCCGACTCACAAACGTTAAGGCAATCAACATCATTTACTTCCCTGCTTACCGAATATTATACCTTCTAAAGATGGAATGTTCTTAGTGAAATAAATTGAACTTGTCCATGCTACAAAGCCAGACCAATGATACGCCGACTTCCTCCATCGCAAAGGGTAGTCAACGAAGACAGCGTGACAAAAAGGGAAAGAATGAAACGTAGATCGGTAAAATATGATAGGAAGTATTTTCAGGACCAAATATCGGCCCTGAATGCCACTAGAATACAAGAAAGTAATGCAGATAGAAACGGCTACTCCCATTCTGTCGCAATTATCGTCTATGAATCCAGATCCCCTTATGAAAAGTCTTTTCGATTCACCCTCTATTTCTAGCTTCAACAAGTGACCTCGCAGACTTCTTGTCCAGTTATTTCAAGAGGACCCTCCAGGTTTTTGGCGCCAAAACCCTCTTAAGATATTGCCTCACTGCCCCGGTAATAAGTGTATTGTATATCCAAATGTAGAGCCTTCTAACGGTATATTTCAATGATTCTCGGGCTTGGATAAATGAGGATGAAGTGTACTGCACTATGCTTAGAGCCTGAGGTATCAATTACAGAAGCAGTCCGTCAGTATGAGACAATTCAATCGAGGTTCAGTTCGAAGTCACGACCAAAACGTCATGGGATCGATTGTTTATCTTCCATCCTGTTTATATCTGCTATACTACAGACCCAATTTGATTCTGGCAAGAATCACTCCTTGTATGTACATTCGGCATTTTGGTCTCTGTCCGTCTTCCTTGCCAAATATACCTGGCCTGCTTTCCAGGTTTCAATCCTGAAAACTCTAGTGTATCGTTACACTAAGGGCCCGGCTGAAGTTTTGCCTTGGCCCTTTTTGCTATACGGATACATCCTTCTAAAGAATTGTCACAGCCAACCAGACTATAACACTTTGAGGCATCACTCTCGTTCCTGGTTTGTTCTCTCAACTGCACTCCAACAATTTCATCGCCGCCACCCTGAAAATCGATGGTACTGTCGCGATGGAGGTGAAGAAAGAGCAAAGGCAGAACGCTATTCATCCAGGTCTGTATATGAGCCTGGTGGGTCATCCATGCGGTACATAGGCAGGATAGTGCTCCCAGAACCCAGACAATGATTGGAAGAGTGAGCCACACCCAGCGAACGTCCACAAATGAGGCATAAATCTGAGCTTTTCCAGTAGTAGTTTTTGCCTTCGTAAACTCAGTTGGTTGGTAACTGGTACTATAAGTAAATGCAGAGTCCCTTATAGTTTTAGACATAGCAGCAGCAACATTCTTCATAGTGCAAGACAGTTGGTCGGCATCTTGGCAGTTGGTGCCAGTAAAATTGCCATAGAAGATGGCCTCCAAGGCATCAGCCGTAGCATATGAGCTCCCCAAGTTCAATGGATCAAAATTGAAAATATCAGAGGCTGCAGATACATAGCCGGCGAAAAGGTAATTAAGGAAAAAAGTGAGTGACTTCCATGCCTCGAAGGCTAGACCAAAAGTTTGACTTTCTTCTGCCCCCAAACTCTCATTCCAGGGAGGTGTGAAGGAATATGCGAAGCTGAGATTCTCAACTGTGTCATTCAACACCGGCCACTCTGCAAGCTGTGTTTCATGGTAAACCCCCATGATAACGGACGATTGAAAGCTTCTAACGGTTGGTTGAAGGGCACACTCTGTGGCAACAAACTGAGTGCTTTTCCCAATCTGGGTAGAAATTCCGCCACCCACGGCTGGGTTGTCATTTGACCCTATTGCCAAAATGTACTGTATAACAGGGAACGTGCTATTCTTATAGAAGGTCTTAGAGCTTCCAGATACTGTATTGATGACCATAGGCCGGGCAAAGCCACCGCCGGTCAAATACCATAATGCGACACCGCTGTTCAATGATACAGTGCAGTTGGTGAACCCTGGCCCATCGGTGCATGACGTGCTTAGAGTCGAAGTAAGATTAGAGCAAAGGGCACGGATTTCCACAGTTGCCATTGGTGCCCAAGTGCAGTTTCCTGTCGAACATGTATATTGTGGAACCGCCCATGGCTGCGCTGGGTTTGTATTGAACAAGGCGCTATACACGTTTGCCTTCAAAATGGGATCCACGTAAAATACTGTCAAACTGTCAGTAAATTTGGAAAGCCCTCCGAATCGACACTTGCATACGACCGCCTCCTGACAATGGCCCAACTGTGTTATATAATGATGTACTTCCGAGCAATGAGATCTCAGAAGGGCTGTCAATGCTACCTGGGACATAATGCACTAGATTTTGGATGAAAGGGTCAAACCCTATGGCTAGAACCATAGCTAGACTTCCAAGCAAGGCTGTATCTCTGCAAATGGATAATCAGAAAGAAGAAAATGAAGTTATGATCTCCTGCCTTGGTGATGAAAAGGATTGCGATTTCACATACCGTCCCTTCACAAGCCATAGAAGGAACGCACTTCCGGTTGCCCCTCTGCTTGCCGAGTCGAACACATCTAGATCATACAATAGTCGACTGCGTTTTGAAAACCAGACCCATTTCAATTGACCAATTCCTTGGCTGACAGAGAATATCACGCAAGCTTTGGCAAGGGTGCTCAACCAGGAAACCAGAGAGTTGAGGGAGATATGCTTCCAATCCTGTTGTTGGCGCCCATTGTACTTTCGAAGGATGACAATAATGGCAATGATAATGACAGCTGATACAATTATTCCAGCAGTTTCCAAGCCCCAATCTTTCAGAGTGGCAGACGCAGGCCGGCGGTCTCTTTGTTTGCTTGTAGAGTTAACCAGATCGTAGCGCACTAGATGATCTTGGCGAAATTGAGATGAATCTGCTTCAGAATGAGCCTTTTGTGACTCGGTTGTGGGTAGAACGGTGCATGACTCTCTTGGCTGCATCAAATGGAGCTGGGGACTTTCGTCGGTCCCCTGGCCACGGGAGGGGATTTTGGACGAAATCATATCTACCAACTGTTTGATTCTTGGTCCTGCTTGGATCCGGAGAAAAGAAGATATGGCTTTGCTAAAGTAAAACTGTAAAAATTAAAATTGCGGGGGCTCACGGTGGAAAAGTGAGCAAACCAGACCAGTACTTTTTTTTTTGGGCCCCCATATCACTAAAGAAATCGGCGGAGTAAAATTTCGCATTATCACAAGCTAATGCATCTACCCCCAGGAGGCACCCCTTAATTTATCCTCGTGTTGCCGGAAGCGCCCGAGCACACAGGGAGAAGTCAAAATGCAATCCTATGGAGAGATCCATTATACTTGCTTTTGCGTCAATTATAAGTGCTCCTGTGGCACACGCCCAACTTCATAATGCCGACCGCTGTATCACTGTATCCTGTCACTCATCATGCCATGAGAAAGTCGGCAGCGGGAGGGACACTGAGAGCGTGCCGGTACGCGTCAGGACCCCCGTGGAGTTCAGGTGAAGAGCTAAAGTAGTAGGGTAGCAAGGGTATTTCCCCAACGAATAGAAAGAATGGGTGAACAAACACATACGAGAGGAGGCATTCGCTGGTGGTCACCCGCCCAACTACTAACCTCCATACGTGTGGTTTATATACAGTCAGTAGTTAAGTCCACCAAAGGGGTGTATACTTTTGGCACTCGCGCGACTGGCATGGCCACATGTTCCGCTTTCGATGGGATTCCACTAATGGTATCGCAACGAGTCGGTTGACGCTATGGAGATACTACTAATAGTATGCAGTCCTTTTGTAGTCCAGAATACCGCAGACATCCTGACACAGCTTGGGCCCAAGCTGATGCAGGACTTGTGACAGGACAAACCAAAATTAATTATTCGTTAAGGTGTTTGTAATTGTAGAGTTAGGATAATGGTGCAATACCGCTGCTGTAGCTTACGTATTCCGCGGGATTATCCAGAAATTAATCAGCGGCCAGGGTCAGCCCTAAGTACATACCTTACAGTCTAGTTAATACACATCTTTCTTGGGCTAGTATGTCCGTGCCTGCAGGAAGAGCGCAGTACGCGCAGGGCACATTCCACTGGGCCCACCAGACTTGATCTCTGCTCTCTGAACAAGCACGAATAGCGACTAGGCCGAGGACGTCAATGCAAAGCTTCGTTGTGTCGGCCCAAGCAGAAAGCGGTGATTTCCACGGATATATGGCAATGCTGGATAAAGCACTGTCCACCGAAAATCGGAATTTCGGATATGCCAGTAACACAAATGGTCAGATACCTAAGGGATGTGTCATTAGGTTGCTCTTTGATGTTTTAGTGGCTATATGCCCTCTTTCTTATGCCTTTCTGCTTTGGGATTGTTTGATTACTACTTCTTTTTGGCGTTTTGGATACTAGGTTCCTGTTTCATTCAGTTGAAACGCCTTCATAGCTAGTCGCCTCTACAGACGGGATCCAGCAAGTTAATAGAATCTTGGTTGACTGATGGATGGATTATTCTCATAGACTATTGGAGGGCTACAACCACTCTAAATTGACATCTGAGTTAAAACACATGAATCAAACACCATCCCATTAGGCCAAGCTCATCACAAATGTGAAATCAAATGGCTCCGTCCTACACTTGTACTTCTCGAATGGTTTAGGGCCGACAGTCGCGGATCCCAAGCCATGGTTGTCATAGTCGAGATTGAGCACAGTGACGTTAAGAGGATTGAGATCATGAGGGTGCTTTGCATCATTCAGGTCGAATGGCATATATCGTCCAGCCGTGAAGCTGAATGAAGCCCCCTCATCTGCACGACGCACATCCAATGTCACCTCTCCGTTAGAAACCTGCAACCACCGCAGGTCCTCACGGTTTCCGTTCTCCTGGGGGTAGTCGTAGTGCGTATATAATTCCTCCACGGTCGACTCATATTGACCCATGCGGCATGCCTGCTTCGAGTCCTTATAGTTTTCTCCTGGGCCTCGTCCGAACCAGCTCACATCGCTGAACTCTTTGGACATGACAGCCATAAGCCCGATACGAGGAACGACAGACGGCGTGTTCTTACCCACAAACTCACCCCTAGCTTGGACATGAATTGCCGGCTCCGCAGTAGACACGGTGTAAATAAGATCGGCTTCTACGCCCCATTCAAGCACCTTCGGGGCCACACGGATCCGGAAGTGAACCACCACTTCGTTCTCCGTCTGTGACCATGTCACATCCCGAACCTGCGTATGCATCATACCAACCCTGGCCTCATCCCATTCCGCGCCGTCACCTTCACTTGCCTCATCATTTTGAGTCATTGCTCGGTAGAAATAGAGCTCCGGCCCCTGCTGGAACATGCTGACGCCATCCACTTCCCAAGTGACATTGCCCTGCAGGAGGTCAAATCCAAAGGCCATCCCACTGGTGGTGATGTTGAGTTTCGCTCGGTCCTGGGTTACTTGCAGCCCGGCCTGACGCGCAACGGGTGACACAGCACGCTCAACAGCTGCCGTTGAGCGCTGATCAGGGGTTCCTGGCAGATAGAGCTGGTCCCAGGCCACAATGTGGCCCTGGTCTGCCCAGATTCGATCCTCCTTCAGCTCAAACTCGATCGTTAGCCACGCTTCCTGGGAGACGCCATCAGTATTTAGTGGCAGATTCACAGTGCGATTCTCTCCGGCCGGTACACGGGGCAGCGTTAGTTCTGTCCGGTTGGTCGTCTGCCCGTCATAGACCATATGCCAGAACACATTCAGTCCGCTGAGGTCAACAAAGTCGTAATGGTTGGTCACAATCATCTGGCTAGAGTCCTCGGTCAAGCGTACAGTGACCGGCTGGATGATCTTGGCGTACTCCAGCAGACTGGGCATCGGTGTGTGGTCAGAGAGGGTAAGACCGTCCATGATAAAGTCGGCATCATTAGGCTCGTCCCCAAAGTCACCACCATAGGCGAAATACTCCAGTTCCCCTTCTTTCTTTAACAGACCGTGATTGTTCCACTCCCAGACGAGTCCTCCCTGAGAGAGAGGCTCCGATCGAAACAGGGCAACGTACTCCTCTAATCCACCAGGGCCGTTGCCCATGGCACTTGACCATTGTCAGCAGCCAATCCATCCTATCCTGGAAGTAATACTTACTGCGCATATTCGCAAAGAATCAGAGGCTTATCCGTGTGATTCGCCATGTGCTCAAGCATAGTATCCGGACTGGAATACATATGGCTATAGATATCTGCTGATTCGGCTTTTCGGTCCTGTTCATAGTGGATGATTCGTGAGGGGTCCCTCTCTTTAATCCACTTGTACATGGCCGCCTGGTTCTGACCATAAAAGCACTCATTCCCAAGGGACCAGATAATCACGGATACATGATTCTTGAACCGCTCTACCACCTGCTGGGCCCGATCCAAGTATGCATGGGTCCATTCGGGGTTATCAGACACCCATGTCGCCGCCTGTTCCTCGGTATCTTCAATCCTGATAAACCCGTGACATTCAAGATCTGCCTCGGCGATCACGTAGAAGCCCAGTTCATCAGCCACGTCGAAAAAATCCGGATGTGGTGGCTGATGAGCAGTGCGAATAGTGTTAATATTAGAGCGTTTCATCCGAATCAAGTCTGCGCGCATTGCCTCGTAAGGAACAGTTCTCCCTGACAAATGGTGATGTTCGTGGCGATTAACCCCATAGATAATAATGGGCTTGCCATTAACTAGAAAGTTTGAGCCACTCATTTCAACCCGACGGAACCCGATTTTCTGGCTAATAGTCCGGCCATTGAATTCGATTAGGATCGTATACAAGTTGGGAGTTTCAGCAGACCAGAGGTGTAAATCATCGCCCTCTACTCTCTTGGAGTAGCGGTCTGATGATGATCCTGACCAGCTGTCGAATACCTCACCATTCGGTTGTAGGACCTTGATACGCATGTCACCATCTTCTCCCTGGATAGTCACATTAACGTTTAAGGTGCCACTCTCAAGACTATCATCCAACTCTGGCATGACACTGAAATCCGTAATAGCAGAGTGAGGGAATGGTATGAGGTAGACATCTCTGAAGATCCCTGAAAGCCACCATTGGTCCTGATCCTCGAGATAGGAGCCATCCGACCATTGGTAGACACGAGTCGCAAGTGTGTTGGTATCATTAGGTGAGAGATATTCAGTAATGTCAAACTCGCTAGGGTTTCGGCTACCTTGACTATAGCCGACTTCCTCGCCATTGACATAGACATGGAATGCACTGTCCACCCCTTCATAACGAAGACGAATCTGCTGCCCGTCCCAATCAGAGGGGACTGCAAATTCACGCCAGTATGACCCTGTTGGGTTTATATATGAGACATTCGGTGGGGTGACAGGGAAAGGGTAGTCAATATTGGTATAATGTGGGCGGCCGTATCCTTGCGTCTGCCACATACTAGGCACCACAATATCATCCCAGTTATTGACATTACTATCCCAGGAGGGGGACACGAATGGGGAGACATCGTAGTGAAACTTCCAAGTCCCATTCAGGCTGTGGAACAGACTCTCCTCACGATCGAATGTCAGGGCCGCTTCCTCGTTGGGGTAGAGGTAAAAGTGCGCCCTGGGGGCCAATGTATTGCGATGCAGCACATTCAAATTAGACCAGTCAGGCAAGGCTCCTGGCCAGCCGGTGGTCGCAAGAGACGCCATAGGGGAAATGGTGGACTCGTGACGGTGCGTCTGCCCTGCACCATTTTGGGTGACCCAGTTCCAATAAATAACCCACTCCCCCCAAATGGAGGAGACCTATGCCAAGCCCTGGGCCAAGAAATGATGATGGCCCCGTTGTGCCAAGAATCCTAGGGACAGGAACCACATTTCGCAGGAGATACTACTTGATCCGGTAGATGCGGTAGTGGTGAAGGCCCCGACTCCCCTTACACATGGACCGGGTGCCTTGGCACAGCTTTTAAACATGCCCAGACGCAAGGAGTTACTCCGAAGGAATTGCTTTCCCCGCAATGGGGTGATATCGTTTTCAAGCACCTGGTCGATCGCGGGGCCTCTACCGGCGAAGATTTAGCCGTTTGTATTTGAGTCTCTAATTGAACTGGACGGAGCTTCGCTGTTCGGAAGAATGGAAGCCGAGCTCACCGTGGACCGACCTGTCTCTGGATTATGCTCCGAACGTGAATGTCCGTCTGGCGGAATCTGTGACCTCGAGCGTGAATAACGGCTTCGGAAGTCACCACACTGGGCTGTATACCTCGACATCCACCGGGATCCCCGAAGTACTGCTTCTGTGCTACCGAGTGGGGAGATGTTTATCTGGCTCCTCCGTACTTTCAACCACTATACTAGGACCGGACATATCGCCGAGAACTCCGCAATACAGAGTAAGTAAAGGGAAATATCACGCTTGTGGGGGGCTGAGTCCAATAGAGACTCCGTCCCTACATGTCCATGACTCGAGGCATGGGGACCCAAGATAGGTGCCATCAACTCTGACATCAGAGTGCATAGTACCCAGATTAAATTTCGCGCGGGGTTTACATGGTGTTGTTTGTCTTGGGTCATATATCTGTTCGGATACTTCACGACGATATATGGTCCTATTTTTGATAAGCACATCTCTACCGAAAGAGAACCCATGTGGGATTCCATTATTACAACTCCGTAGTTGTCTTATGGACAGTACATTATCGGACCAAACATTCAGAGGATATGTGCTAATATACCCGAAGTCTCAAGCTACCGATTACTTCCCCGCACTAGGGCGATGCTCATCATTTTTAGGATATGATCGTCGACCAGCCCCGACATTTAGCCGAAGTTGACTTCAATCTTTTGTCCGTACAGTAAATAGGCTCCAGGTGGGAAGTGGGAGTCTTTATCCAGGGTTAGACACATCTAGTCCTGACGGTAAAACACTCTTAAGTTCTTCCAATGACATGCTCTACAGCATAGGGATAAGGGCTGCATTGTGGACCATATTTATTGAATATCTTCACAACTTTTTCCGCTGTACGGAGTAGATAACCAAGGATTGCCTTTTTTTTGCGATGAGGAGGCAGTATACAAAATGAAGGTGGAAGAGGCCAAAAAGAACAAAAAGATGTTGACGAGAGTGGGATTTGAACCCACGCCCCTTTCGAGACTGGAACCTTACTCCAGCGCCTTGGACCGCTCGGCCATCTCGCCTTGGTTGAATTTTCGTTCCTTTATCTAATAATATGACCAAACAATAGAATAACTACATTGCTTCTAGCGGATCCTTTTTTTCAAGCCAAAACCAGGTATGAGCCAAATTTTAGATATAACGTAAACAAAAATATCTATAAATAATGCCAGATTTATGCGCGAAGGTCTGTGGGTCGAAAGGCTTTGATATATTACTGGCTGAACTATGGTATACTCGCGTACTCAAGTGCCAAAATGAACATACTGTGCCCAATGCAAAGGCCACTTACAGTACTGGGGACTCCTTGAAATCTTCAGGACGGCCTTGTGAAGTGCCAATGAAACAGCACCGTCGTTACACTCCATCTTTCCACCACGACACAGTTCAGAATAAAACGGCTTTGCAATCTCTGCACAAACAGTATCATCAGCAGGCCACAGACACCCAATCACATTTCGGAATCCGGCAACCTGAAACCCGCTCACAACATGCAATACCTCGTCGACAAGCCATCTGGATCGGTTCTCGGCGGTTGAGCATGCGGATAGATAGGCTATCTGGCCTTGCGAACAGTCAATATCACACAGACTGCCGACTGTAAGCCTGTCCTATTCTGGTGAGTCACCGACGGTCTGGAATAATAGTCCGCTCTGAGATGGATCTCTTGGCTCTGATACCCCGTGACAAGCGAAGTGGGCAATATGACAACCTGAGAGTCGGCTTTTGACTGTGTCAGCATCAGGTTGACTGAGGCATTCCGCATGAACATAGTTCCCAACTGTGTCCGTCACGGCGACTGTCTCTGCAAGACACCGTCAAGATCATCAGCACCGGGCGTAGTAGCCATAGACACTGTAAGGAGCTTTGGGCGGTGAATTTCCTGGTCGGACAGAGGCTCTCGATTCCTCGTATATAGGAGGGCTCTCAACTATGGAGTGTAAGAAGAAAGGACTCGAGAATTCGTGCTTTCGTTTGGTTCTGTAAGGTGATTGCCTGCCGCATGAAACGGAAATGAGCTGGCCAGCCCTGTTCCAATCCACCAGGCCCTTGGCATTTCTTCAGGAGAATCATGCACTTTATATTCGAGCTCATTGAGAATAGGCTTGATGCACACCCTCCACAGCCAGGAAAGAAAGCGCAAGTAGGCTTTATTATTCGCACCGCGGTTGCCTGACGTGGCTGTCATGTCTTTTTTGATCCAGTCTCTGACTTCATCGGAGTCGAGGCCTCGAAGATGAATTACTTTGAGACCGGTCGAGGATAGAATTAAAGCGTCACTCCCCACGCTAGTGATGTTGACAATAATAATCCTACCCCTCGCTGCGCCTGCCTTAACCTCTTCTTCCGTAATTCTCTTCTCGGAAGAGTCTACGGCTGGGCTAAATTGGACATTCTCCGCGGGTGCTTCAGGTCCTCCTTGAGCGACGCTTAAACTACCAAAGCGGTATTTGGCTGCATTTTTCAGAGTAAAGGCTCACAGTAGGGCTGTAGAGTACTTTTTCAACTTCTGCAGGCCAACCTGGATGTGTTTTCCTGCGCTTAACCGTGTCACTTCGGTCATTCATCAGAAGACTCAGAATAACACCGCGTCCGCGTTCTAATAAGTCAAGTGCTTCAAGGAGAGGCCGTTTAGTTCTCAATGCCAAGGAAAATGCATCTGTGGCCAGACCGGAAAAGACCTGCACAACTTCTTGCTGATCTTGAAGGGTGAGCGACCGATTGTGAACAAGTGGGATAACATTAATTGCCGCTATGACAAGTGTATAGGCTTTCTCAAGGTTAGATTGATCAATATAAATTTTGATTGCACTACTTGCTGCCTTAACACGTCCGAAGGGAGAGGCTCTGAGAGAGTTCCACACTTGTAAGCTCAAACCCAGTGCCTCACCTTGGTCATCAGGATTCTGACATTGAAGGAGTGCGAGCTCGTCCTGAGAATTAGCAATAATGTCAGATTCAGTCGAAAGCACTGCGATGGACTTGCGGCATATTTTAATAGCAGCTTCAAGGTGCTCGTCGTTCTGTGTAATCATATACACAATGCGTCTACAGCCCGCCATAACGCCTAGGCACAATTGAGCATGCAAAGGACTTCGTACTTGGTCGAGGGCACGCGCGAAGGTATGCATTGATTCTTTAAGATAGTTAGGCTTCCTCGTCGCTTGGAAGCGATCCATGAGGTAGCTACCCAAATTGGCCAAGTATGCTGGCAGCCCGGCATGGTTGGCGGGTGCGACTTCGACTGCCTGCCGTGACGCGTACTCTGCCCCTTCTAGATCTCTTTGATCTCCACTTCGGTGGTATCGGGTACCTAGACAACTTGCGAGAATATCCATATTAGTTGCGGAGACCACCCTGGGCATTTGGGCCTCGTTTTTCAATGATTCACACAGTGCATGAATGGCGTCATCCAAGTCCCGTAACCTCAACGTGGCACTATATCGGCGCAAAAGAATGCCCCCTAGAGTGGACAAGAATTTTGACATGGCATGGCCATAAATAGATGCAAGGCGTAGCGATCGATGGGCTGTCTTGATTGCTTTCTGCAGACACATCATCTCTCCGGACAGTTGGTACTGCTCCTGGAAGGAAAATGCCAGCCTCTGTAGGATCCCCGGAAGTGCATGGTGGTCCTCAGACATGATCTTGGCTGCCAGTTTGCAATCCGCAACAGCCCTTTCGAGCTCAGCTACATCCCCAGTGTGCTCAAATGATTCCCGAAGGCATTTTCCGCGGAGTGCGAAAACTTTCGCACGGATGACATTATCTTCGTGCGGAAGATCCAGTGCCTTGCTACATGCTTGAATTGCTTCGTGAAGACATTCCACATTACCTGTATTGACGTATTTGAAGTCCAATTGATTGCCTAGATGGTATAAAGCCCAAGCGTTATGGCCACTCTCGTCAGTCCCGGTAGCCGCAGTCTTACGACTCGCCGAGAGAACTGCATCGATGTCTTGAAGATCTCCCTGGGCCTAAAAGCGCACAAAAAGGGCATTACATAGCAGAGCACGAGAGCTTGACTGGGTGGGATGGTTATTAGGCACTAATTGTGCTGCCCTGCGGAATGCATCTATCCCATTGTCAAGATCTTCCATTCGGTTTGTGTGTTTGAACATAGCAAACGCGCAGGCCCCCAGGCTACAGAGTCTATTCGCGAGACCATCGTCACCCTCTGGCGTGCACTCCACTGATTGTCTCGTTACGATAAGGGCTTTTTCCAGTGCGTCCTTGTCCTCCGTCTGCGCCCAATGTAAAAGAAAGGCCCTTCCGGAGTTGTATAATAGCAGTGCCATGTTGGTATCGACCTTTGGCGTGAATCACATTGCTTGGAAGCCTAACTGCTGTATCTCTTGTAGAGTTTCGATGTCCTCCGTGTGGTCATATCGCTCATGGAGGCGGCACCCCAGGCGTTCAATTCGGGAGATTAATTCTGAATCATCCTCATCCGTCGCTTGGACAGCCTGGTGAGAAATCTCAACTGCAAGATCTAAGTATCTTGTTTGGCTGCCATGAGAATACCTTTCCTTTAGCGCTCTAGCAAGGTAGTCCAAGAAGTACGCAAATATGGATATGTTCTTAGGAATCTCATGCAAGATCCGCCAATATATCGTGATTGCCCGCTCGAGATCTTCTATTTCTTTCCTTTGTCTGTATTTTGCATGAAACGCTTCGGCTAAAATAGCCAGAGTGATCCACTGTTCGTTTCCGGTACAGGAGTAGTATGCTTTATTGTCTCCCCCTTCACTGACTTGCAATTCACTGGCCTCCGCTTGTGATACAAGGGGTTGGACTTCCCCAGTGAACTCTAATACCGTGCGGCAAATAGAATACATCTCCCCAAGATTCCCTTGAGCAGGGACTAAATCGTGTAAATACTTGGCATTGCGCAACCATGACTCTAGGTACTGCGGCAACCGAGAGTCGTCCTGGGGTGTAATAGTAAGTATCTTTTGAAATATGGTTATCCGTAGTAAAGCGTGCAATAGGCTAATTGAGAAAATATTGAGCATTGACATCTAATTGGGGGAAATGGTATTTTATAGTCATCTTATTCTTTATTCTCTAGTTAATCATACCCTCGCTCTCTGAACACTGCAGGTTTCCGGAATGTCGAGAACTTTAGTCAACCCACTGCACGGTGTATCTATGTATTCATACATGCTTCACTGGGGAGATATTGCTAAAGTAGCATTCTGGTGATAGATCCCGTGAAGTAATGCAGCTGATAGATTGGTGGCATTCTCGGAAGTGCACGTTTGGTGGTCAAGGGATTTGGGACAGTCTCAAGGGACGTTACTAGATGACGACGGAGCACTCCGTACGCTAATGATTCTCAAGTGGCCTGTTTCATTTACGCAGGGGAAATCTGTGCCGTACAACATATTCAATTGTACAGTCCTTGCAGACGGTACATGCTGCGATTGTGTGTGGGCTTTCGTGTTCGACATAGCACATCGGCCGCATGGGCATATCAAGTAAAACTCTTTTTGTAATGGCAAGATTGTCGAAAAGAGTATTCTTTCTCTCGGTGCATATAGCTCAGTTATCCTGGGTCTCACACAAGAGAGAAAAGCAGCAAAAAAGATGTTGACGAGAGTGGGATTTGAACCCACGCCCCTTTCGAGACTGGAACCTTACTCCAGCGCCTTAGACCGCTCGGCCATCTCGCCTTTGGATATTTATCTTTGGCTCAAGATATGTATTACTATCCCAAAATATAAGCTATGTCATCACAACTTCTCGAGAATTTCACATGATGGAATATTTTGTACCCGGTAATTTTAAAGCATAAATTCCTTAATGTCTTCAATTTTCAAGCTGAGTCTTTACTACTCTTGTAGTTGACACTTGCGTATATTAATGGCAATCATCCATACTTTTTTGGTGGTTATTTTAGTGACATTTGTGTCTTCAACATATATATATTCACAGTGGGTCATTTGACAAACGTTGTACTCGACAACCTAGCAATACTAGACAATATGCCCAGCAAAGTCTAGATCCAATAGTCTCAACCTGTCGAGGAGTCATAGAATAAAACAGAAAACGATAGCGTGTATATAAGGAAGCTCTGAAAGGCTCAGGACTTCCTACAACACACCGGAAGTACAGAGTAATTTAAAGTCATTGGAATAATTGCCCGAAGTGTTTTTTGTCTATACAAATTCGTCCTCCAAATCCTGTCTTTACACCAACCAGACAAGCTATATATCCAAGCCCTCCTTACCTAGCACATCCCGAAGAGCCAATGCGTTACTATTAGTGTATTGTTTCCCCAGAGGAGTGCTCATTGCCAAGAAAAAAAAAACAAAAAGGGACGATAGGACATTTAAGATATCATGATATACGATATGGCAATGTACACACCCAAGTTACCTTGTACATAAGGCTATAATTACTCGCTACCACACGTGGCTAAGTTACAAAAGTAGCAAGGTTGCTTCTTTTTTTAGTGACTTCTCAGCCACAAGGAAGGTGAATGTTCAGCAGCAGAGGGCCACTTATGCAGAAACTTCTAGGACTCAAGTGACCACTATGCTTACCAGAGCCCTACAGGCAGTTAATGTTTTCTCTTCTTCCACAGGCACTGGACAAGGATTCAATCAGACCCCACATACCTATGAAGGGCTTTGTATCAGAGCAACCATCTATCCGTTGAAATCATGGCCGACAACTCCAACTCTACAACAAAAAGAGCAGTCCCATCTGACGCCACCGCGGGGGTTGCTCTCTCCACGAATTTACAGCGAGCGGATACCCTGCCGGCGATTAGCAAAACCAGGCGTACAAGGACAAGGCATACAGCAGCAGAGAAGCTCCGAATTATCTCCTACTACCGAGAGACAAAAGAGCTTGACATCGACACCAACGAGCTGAAGCCAATATCTATCAAAACTGCAGCAGCCAGGTTCAATATCCAACCACGGTCACTCAGACGGTGGCTAGACAGGGAGAGTTCCTTAAAAGCCCTACCAGACAGTCGGATGAATGTTCTAGCCCCGCCGGCTATTCACGAGCAGCCTGGAAATCTTCGTCTCACACGTCGGAAAATGGTCGAGCTCGGCATAATAACCAAAAGCGACTGGATTAGAGTAGGTTTTCTGTGCAATAAAAGTGCTGCCCCCAATGCTTACCGGCGTAGGTCCACCCTTTTCACCACCCCGTGCCATTCGTTGGAATAGAATCAGGAAAGAAAGGCCGTCTACATACACTCGATGACGCTTACAAGTTCCTTGGCATGGAGCAAGCACTTTCCCATCCGGGTCACCCAACCGAGCCAGAATCACCCAGGATGCTCAGCGATGTATCCTTCAAGATACAGGAAAGAGAGTCATATACGAAGCACGGGATAAACTATACATACAAGACACGCTCTGTGGTTGAAATCAGCAAGACTCTCTATGATCTGTCCCCGAGGATGTGCGATGAAAGTGTCAATCTTTGGGCACCCTTGGCTCAGGAAGATGTATCCCCTACTTTGCATCATCGACATACACGTGTCTACCGCCAAGATTTGAAGAACTGTGCTGCGATAGTATATCGGGAATTGTTGAAAGCGAGTGACAAGCTTAAATGTGCTATACCAGTGAGAGTTGGATTGGACTACGATGAGCCGCATGCGCTATGTCGGAAGCTTTTGCCAGTAGGGTGGCCATCCATGACCCTCGAGACAACTCATACAAGGCTGCTGGAAAGTCAGTCGAGATATGTGGACACTGACCTATACCACACGGCGGAGTATGATACACAAGCAGTCGCAGACATTGTCAGGGCCATGATTGAGATTGTGTAGCTGCCGGCATTGTACTGACTGGTCAAGGCAGACCTATACACGGAATGGAATCATTCGGGTTATTTCTCTACTGGGCTAGAAAGAAACTTCTTAAGGAGATTGGCTTAATTATAAATGGAAATTTATGTGGTCGGGACGGCCTGTGGGCACCAGAAAGACAAAGACATGACATCTAGCATATGTACAAATAGCTTAAATATTTCCCATACCTGGCGGTGCAAAACTTTACAATCAAATATCCTTTTGATATAAGCAAATAATAGAAAAGCTTTCAACCAATAGGCGAGATGGCCGAGCGGTCCAAGGCGCTGGAGTAAGGTTCCAGTCTCGAAAGGGGCGTGGGTTCAAATCCCACTCTCGTCAACATCTTTTTTACTTTTTCTTTCCTCATCTCGCCACCATGACCATGCCTTTTGCTCTCTCCTTTTGCCCTAACATGAACGAATACGACAATGTGTCGTACATAGTACTCCGTACAGTACCTTGCACTCTTCCCTTTTCACCAAAGGTAGACAATGTAAGTACATCACACTTTCGGTAATAAATCCTCTGGTTGGGATAATCGTCTTTCTTTGCTCTAGTTCTCTAAAACCCAATCCGTATGACACGTTCAACCCCTTAGTTAAGACACCGCTTCCACCTCGGACATAAGCCTGCAGTCGATAATATCCTTCCGGATTCGGTATAGACTCGTATTCCAAAATGTCGTAAGGCTAGCCCTGAGTCAATTGATCTACAGGGTAAATTAAGAACCTGCTTAGCACGAATCGTGCAGCAGTGTATCCCGTGTGGGCCGCTACGAAGCTCCTATCATTGCTGGGGGTTTCGCAGGAATGTAGTCTGCTCTGTATGGAGATTCCTCGTGCCGAGATGGCATCGAAGTGATGTGGAGCTTAACTAATGTTCAATATAACTCACATGACACAATGTTATTCTATCATAAATTCAAAACAATTCAAATTACCTAAGTAGAAATCATTGTAACTACCCCAAGTATGGAATAGACTAATCATTGGTAGGGCGTAAGGTATGGTTAGCTAGAAAAACATGCTGAGTCAGCCATCGTTCGATGGAGGGGTTTCCAGCAAATAAATTCCATGAGTCATCTGCCTTTGCGGGGCAAAAAGACTTTGGATGTTTGAAAGTGCTTATCTTCTTTGCCGCACACTACTTTGGCTTTCTCCTCCCACTAACCCCAATTTCTGCCAACCCCAGTCTTCCCCTGACTACCTTGAGGACACCATAACCCACTCACCATTGACAGAGATTCACGTCCTCTGATCGGCTGGAAACATGACGGAACAAAATAAACCCATTCTCCCCGAATCCGGGAAGCGCAATTTCCTCGTCACTAGCGCTCTGCCATATGTGAACAATGTTCCTCATCTGGGCAATTTGATAGGTTCGACTCTGTCGGCTGATGTCTTTGCCAGATATGGTCGTGGCCGTGGTGCCAACACCCTCTATGTCTGCGGTAAGTCCTCTATGCTATCCCGCGAACACTATCAAACCTTGCCCTATGCCACAGTCATGCTGACTGTCCCACTCCCTCAGGTACCGATGAGTACGGCACGACGTCCGAAGCGAGAGCCATCCAAGAGAACATGACCACCAAGGAACTTTGCGACAAATACTATACCCTCCATGCCGAAGTTTACAAATGGTTCAACATCAGCTTTGATATCTTCGGCCGCACAACCACCGAGCTTCAGACTAAGATTACGCAGGATATCTTCCTTAAACTTCACGACAACGGTTTCTTGTCGGAGCACGTAACAACACAATTATACTGTGAGGAACACAAATCATTCTTGGCAGACCGCTTTATCCAGGGTGAATGCCCGCACTGCAAGTATATCGATGCTTACGGTGATCAATGTGATCTGTGCGGTCAGCTCTTGGACCCATTGGACCTTATCAAACCTCGCTGCAAGCTCGACGGTGCCACCCCCGTGAAGAAGGACACGAAACATATCTTCCTGAAGTTGGATAAGTTGCAACCTGAGATCCAGGCATTCTTCGACGAGTCTTCGACAAAAGGCGGATGGTCACAGAACGGAAAGGACATCACCTCATCCTGGTTGACAAAGGGATTGCAAGAGCGCAGTATTACTAGAGATATTAAGTGGGGTACTCAGGTGCCTCTGCCTGGCTATGAAGAGAAGGTTATCTACTCGTGGTTCGATGCTTGCATTGGTTATGTGTCCATTACCGCAAACTACACCGACCAGTGGGAGAAATGGTGGCGCAACCCTGAGGATGTCGAGCTTTATCAGTTCATTGGAAAGGATAACGTTGCCTATCACTCTGTCATGTTCCCCGGTACTGAAATCGGTACTCGGGAGAAGTGGCTTAAGGTCCACCACCTCTCCACCACCGAATACCTGACGTACGAGGGTGGCAAGTTCTCCAAGTCTCGCGGCATCGGTGTGTTCGGAGACTCGGCCAAGAAGACCGGCATCCCCGCCGACGTATGGCGTTACTACCTGCTCTCTCACCGTCCCGAGACTGGCGACAGCGAGTTCAACTGGGACCTCTTCATCAGCTCGAACAACAACATTCTCCTCAAGAACTTGGGTAACTTTGTCAGCCGTGTGGTGAAGTTCGTCAACTCCAAGAACTACGACAACATTGTGCCCGACTATACCGCCTATACGGATCCTGCCTTCGACGCCTGGAAGGAGGAAGTCAACGAACTTCTCACCCAGTACATCCAGCAACTCGATGCCGTCAAGATCCGCGCCGCCATTGACACCGTCCTCACCATCTCCCAGAAGGGTAACCTGTTCCTCCAGTCCAACAGCCTCGATAACAAGCTTGCCGAGAATGAACCGGCCAAGTGCGCTGCTGTGATCGGCCTTGCTCTTAACCTCATCCACCTCCTGTCCGCCCTCCTCAACCCCTACATGCCCGAAACTGCCGCCAGCATCAACGAGATCCTCCGTACCGAGGCTATCCTGATCCCTGATCGCTGGAACGCCGACACCGTCAAGCCCAACCACGAGATTGGCAAGGCCAAGTATCTGTTCAGCAACATTAAGCCCGAGAAGGCCAACGAGTGGCGTGATATGTTCGGCGATGAGGAGGCCAAGAAGGTCAAGGAGGAGGAAGCCAAGAAGAAGGCCGCCAAGAAGGCTGAGAAGTTGGCCAAGAAGGAGAAGAAGAAGGAGCAAAAAGAGAAGGAGGCTGCTTCTGCCAACGGAGTGGCAGAGGTCTCTCAGTCCACGGAGAAGCTGAATCTTCAACAGTAGACCAATTATCATACGGTCACGCGTGACATCTTATACCAGACGATGTTGCGCTGTACGTCTAGAATGATGCCACCAACGATGTGGTAGACATGAGTGATATGATCAACTAGAGCCTATTTATTTGAGGGATTTGATGTGATTTCTTATTACTTTATACAATTTTTGCTGAATGTTAGAGACTTCAACGTCCTGGAAAGTGTAGTTAGAGATGATACCATAGGGCATACTATCAATTAACTGACACTATCTTGGAGGAATGTTTAATCTCCAAGAAGCTTATCACTATGATAATAAAGTATAGACTGTAGATATATATGGGGCAAAATTATGGTATCGATCAAGTGCACGACTTGCAAGAAACAAAAGGAAAAAAAGATAAAGTGAGAAAAAAGTCAAAGAGCCCTCAAAGCAGTGAGGAAAAGGAAAAAATAATTGCGGTGAGCCGGGATCGAACCAGCGACCTTTAGATAACCTAACAGGTTATTCTGATCGAAGTAAACTTCAGTCTAACGCTCTCCCAACTGAGCTATCCCCGCAATTGTTGACTTTCCTTAAGTCTAAGACCATTATAGAGAAAACTTTCACAAAATAGTACCAAATTCCACAATCATCTCTTGAGAAACCCCACGGCTGCTCTAAGTTTCATAAGGTATCCCTGGAACGAATAGGAAGCTTAGCAGAGCCTAGATATTACGCCTTTTGGCCTTCATGGAAGGTCTCTAAGGTCCCGCAGCGCATAGAACAGATCTAGCACGCATTCTCGACCCAGTGGCCTATTTCTCTAACCTCCATATATCCCTTAGCTGCTCCTAGTTGATTCAACGTGTTAACTACTACCCAGATATACGATACAGTAAATTAAAAGTAAAATATATTCCAGAACTCTAGAATCTCCAAGGCCAATCACAAGACACGCCTTCCACCATAGGCGCTGCCAAGTCTCCGAAACTCTCCGCTGGCATGCGCAACCCTATTTATATAAATCTTACAACCATAAGAATCAGAATCATTCATAACTCCAAACAACAACCAACATACAACCATAAGTAAATACCACAAAGCCCCTCAAGAAAAAAAGAAAATGACCACAAAAACCCAAACCCCCAAAAGTACCCAACACACATACACCTACACCCACCACCCCCCATCCCAAGAAAACGGGAATAAACACAAACCAACAATCCTCCTCCTCCACGGCTTCCCCTCAACATCCTACGACTGGCGCCACCAAATCCCCTACCTCTCATCACTCGGTTATGGAGTAATCGCCCCAGACCTTCTCGGGTATGGCGGCACAAGCAAGCCCACTGACCTCGCCGCATACAAAACCAAATCCATGGCCGCGGAGATAATTTCCATCCTGGACGCTGAGGGGGTCGACAAAGTCCACGCTGTGGGACACGATACGGGGTGCACGCTTCTGTCTCGATTAGCAGATTACTTTCCGGAGAGGTTGCTGTCGTGTGTGTTCCTGGACGTGCCGTATATGAGGCCCGGGGAGAGGTTTGATCTGGATATTGTTAATACGGTTACGAGGGATATCTTAGGGCTTGAGAGGTTTGGGTATGTGGGCTTTTTTGCTGGAGAGGAAAGTGGGGGTTTGTTGGATCAGTTTGTAGGTTTTTCTTTCTTTGATTCATTTTCTTTTGGTTTTGTCTCTGGTTCTACCTGGGATTAGGGGTTGGATTAAACTCGGGATAATCTATGAAAATGGGATGGATGTGAGCTAACAAACAATATCACAGGCTGATTCGTTCTTCACCCTCTTCTACCCCCACTCACCCTCACTATGGACATCACACCTCTGCCCAACAGGAGCAATAGAGAAATGGCTTCGATCCGATCACCGAGCCCCATTAGCTCCCTACATTACCGAAGAAGTCCGTAACCCCTCCCCTGTTCTCACAGGTATGCCAAAACCATTGGTAAAGTAAAACTAACAAACCCTAGGAATTCAAAACCCACCAAAACCTCCTAGTCGGTAACCACGACTCGGCACTGAATTGGTACCGGGCTCTAGTCTCGAATATCAACTTAGAAGATGAGGAAGAGGCCAATATTACGCCCTCACTTTCTATACCCGTTCTCTTGATTTGTCCAAGGAAGTCGGAGTTGGAGGTGCCCGGTCTTGAGGAGGGGATGAGGGCTGTTTGTGCTGGCGATTTGGTGGTAAAGAGGGTTTCGACGGAGGGACATTGGGTGCAATTGGAGGCGAGGGAGGAGGTGAATCAGATTATTGGGGAGTTTTTGGAAGGGGTTAGGGTTTAACAGGTTATTGGTTGGTCTTGTTGTATGATAAGTAGGATTGATCTCTCCACTTTTCTGGAAATATATGAGCTACGGAACTTGTATTTACATATTTTGGCCTTCACGCTAAGTCCCTAAGATTTTTCTGACAAGGCACTAAATTGGACTCTTCTGATCTAGCGTGTATTCCAGACCTAGTGGACCATGGTCTATTTATAAAGCCTTCATATATACTCCGTACTTTGTCTGTCTCTTAGAACTCTAAATCTTTAATTCTATGACACTACTCCAAACATCCTATACATAATCTCTCTCAATAGAGGTTATGTACTGCTTACAGTACAAGCAGAAGTATTAGTATAAGAACCCTAAAGCTAATATCCATGTCCCTATCCTATATTAAGTATAGGAACACTACAGCATCGATTACACCCATTACCTACCCTATTGTATTATGGTATGAAACCCCCACTTTCTCAAAGATGGAGACCAATAGAGACACAAAGAACCACTTGGGGTGGGAATTTAGCAGAACGCAATCGCTTGTATCTGTCCCGATCCATACCAGGATGAGATGAAGTAAAGTTGCTCATTTTATAGAGAAATAGTATAACAGAGACACTACTTATAAGGATATCTGTACCTTCGTTGTAGAAACTGACAGGCAACACTAATGATTGAATCTTCCCTGTTCACCTGTGAAGATTACTAGTATTCATCATCGGATTTAATTCGAAGGGAACGCAACGGGCATAATCGGTCGTGATTCAGAAGACAAAACGTCAAATCCTGGACCAATAACTGATCATATTAATTCAAGCCGGGGTAATGAAATCACAGAAATGGATTGGTTAGGGAATACGCTCGACATTTGCGGGCTAGACTATAGCTGAGTTCACCTGCAGATGGACTAATTTGATCGTTCTCCACATTGAACAAAATCCGACAATCGTGTTGGGGATGATGGTTTCAAAATGTGAGAATCTCCTGAAATTTATGACATCTTGCTGGTATTTTATGATGGAATTCAGAATTGGTCTTGAAAGGGTGCTTCGGTACTCAGAATTAGGGCGGGCTTAGTTCTAATCTATCTACTGTCTTATAGAGGATTCTAAAGGTAGGCCAAAATCGTAGAGATCGAAGTAAAGGGAGCTCTTTCTATTAGCTAATTTTAACTCTACTTTGACATTCTATTCTGATATTTCAGGAAATTATTTAAAAAGTCGGTGTGTACTGAAAACCCCTGTGAAAGGAAAGGTTGCAACTTACGGGGGTTTCTAATAGACAAAATGTCTGGTAAATTTCCTCTCCTTCATGAGCATGTTTGGTGCAGATTATTTCCGTATGCTCTAATCATTTAACCTTACTAGCTTCGCGCTAGGGGACTTGTATCCAAGAAAGCCTTAGCTGCCTTACACTTCCGAACCAAACATGAAGCTGAAGTGGATCCCAAACCCCCAATCAGTGAAGAGTCAAGAGATCGACGGTGGATCTACTGCGGAAGGATCCCTGTGGAGTGGTTCGGTTAAAGATCGTGTGCGTCGAGCTGAAAAAGTATCAGGTCAGGTATGCAGGTTATGGGCGTGGCGCGGCTGAGCTTGACGATCGGACTTGGCCGAGCTTCAGTGGCACGCGAGAACATTCCATTTTAGTGCTATCATAAATTGTAATCTTTACCATGTCTTTTCTGAGCTCTGAATACGGCCCCTGCCCCGGACGATCATCCAGTGGGCGTTCATCGATGCGTTACGCAATTGTGCAAGGAGAAACTCCTACCTACGCACGCTATACCCTTCAGGATGTCTCTGTTAGGACTGGTCAGGCATCGCGCCACTGTATGCACGGATGAAAATAGTTTGATCCAGGCAATTTTTAGCGGAGAAAGAGTTCCACGCTCTCGTGCCCATTGGCTGAGGATTAGCAATCTTCATGAAGATCCTCGTAGAAAAGCAGACACACAGGCTCCGGTGTAATTAATGAACCGGCTCATTCCACTGTTGAAAAGTGTCTCTCGACATCTTCAACAGTGACACCGTATACAAACACTATGATTGAACGAAAAGCGCCTCGTCCTCTCCACCACCCCTGGGAGTCCAGTACAACGGCCATCAAGTCCCATCCGCTTATTTCTCGCACATATGACTCTATCATCTTCTACCGATGGACCTCGCCGGATGGAGTGTACGAGCGTGGCCGCATCATGGCACGCCTCGTTGCAGAGATGATGGAGAAAAACAGGCGTCAAGTCTGGTTGGATCAGTGGGAAATGAACAAGAACACGACCCCCGATCAAGTAGTACGACAGATTTCCGACATCTTCCTACGTGTCCCAAAAGTCATCATTCTGGCAGCCCCGGGGGATTGGGATCGCTTCACCAATGCCGATGATATCCATCGTTGGGAGTGGGAATTAAGCTTACAGAGTGGTAAGACCAGGGCCCGCGATTCATGACAAAATTTGACACTTACTGAAAATTGCCAGACAAGAAGATCTGGATTCTGCGATATGGGATCCCTGAGACGACGCAGACACCTTCCAAAGAGCAGTTGGCGGCGGACCTACGAGACCACAGCCCTCGTCTGGCAGACCTTGTGATGAAAGGGAATATTCAGGTGCGGGTCTTGACGATGGACAATCTAAACAGTGTCCTAAGTGAATTAGCATAAATTAAGTAATAGTTTTATTCAAGTTGTGATGCAAGCCTGTCTGTCTTCCGCCATCTGGTTTGTTTTTTCATTTTTTTTTAAATAAGATTCATGTATACTAGTCTATAATTTACGATTCTACTTCACAGGTAAATCTAAACTCGGCCCAAGAAGTCTCAGTAAACAAGCGATCAGACTCCACAGAGACATATTTTATTTATTTACCAGTCAGATTAGTGTAATCTCGAGAAATGTGGCGCACGTAATGTCGCAGCAGAAGATTGGCAGCTGAGGACTAGGGCATCGGGGGGCGGGCTATAAAAAGGCTCCTTTGCTCCTCTTTTCTACCGTAGATCTTTTCTTAGCTTTCTTCCACCATCACCCACAACATGGCCTTGTTCAACGCAACCCCTCTAGGAGCCTTTCAGCTCAAACATCGTGTGGTCTTTGATCCAGTCCTTTCAGGATGGTCTCACATCGATCTTGAACAATACTGTAGGTTTCAAAAATCATCATCTCCGACCCTGCAGTCCTCTGCGGGAGGAAACAAGAACTGGGCATGTTGCTTGATGATACGCTAACGCCGTTAAATAGTCGAAAAGCTGAACCCCGACGGTGGTTTAGTCCTGCTGCCTCCTGCGTGCTCTGCACTGCCCAATGAAATACAGAAGCGTGTCATCCATAGACTGCACGTTGACGACAGTATCGTTTTTGCTCAAGGTATATCTAATCATTGGATGTTGGCAACTTGACATCAATATTGACCACAGCTTGTATAGTTTGCGATGACGGATCATCCATCGATAGCTTGCCTCAGGCACTTGCCTATTCCGCAAGTCAAAAGATCGATCTCGGCTACGACGGAGTGGAAATAAATATTGGTAAGTTTTCTTTACTCTGTCCTTTCAACTCACCATTAGCATAGCTAAAATAAACCTATATCAGTGGGGTCTATGTTACAAAAGGTTATCGATGAAAGTGGCGATTCAACCACTGCTGTTGCTACGATCCTTAAACTCGTTTACGCGGTAGCAACGCTTGTCCCCACAGACCGAGTGGGCATTCGGCTTGCTCCATTTTCCATTGTGGAAAGCCACCAACAACCCTTGGAGTTCTTCTGCAGATTGATCGAGTCGATCGCATCTCAGTTACCCACTTTGGGCTTTGTTCACGTGGTTGCGCATACTCGGTTTGACGATTTTGAATATCCCAGAAACGCATCGTTGGAGGAATTGCGAGGAGCATTGACCTCTGCCTCCAACTCCATTTCTTTTATTTCGGCCGATGCGTATGAACCTGAAACAGCCAACACCATTGCAACTCGCACCCAGGATTTGGTGGCAATTAGTTTGCCCGCAGAGGTTGACCTAAATTTGATCACTACATTACGCCAGGGTGCCCCTTATGAGGTTGCCGAAGCAACAGCGGATCGTCTCGACGCCATCCGATCGACCTTCCAGACAGGTAAAGAATATGTGCTTGAGTGGCCGAGCGAGCAGGAAAAGAAGGTTTTTCACGCCATGAATGATCTGGACCGATACTTAGGAGAGTTCGATCCCTCTCTTTCCTACGAGGGCACAGATCAGAAAGTAGTTTGGCGCAAGTCGTGCTGGTTTGCGAGCGAGGGGATTTCTCGTCCCTTTCTAGACACGGAGAAAGCTATTGCTGCATTCGACGGCGACCTTCATGATGGTCTGGCGGGTCTCCGGGCGTTGCATGATCCTTCCGTTCGTCAGTCCATGGTATATCTCAAGAATGTGCTCGACAGTGCCTTGGTGACAACAAGCGCTGCAGTCGGCATTGACAAAGACATGATTCAGCGTTGCACTGTGCGATACCGGATCATCAAATACACAGCCCATGCCGGGAACCCCGGTGGCATTGGACTTCATCCGGATGGAAACCTCCTGTCAGCTCTAATTACCAATGGTGATGGGTTGCGTGTATACGATCTTGATGGTACCGTTCGATATCCTGGATACAATGGCACCATCATGATGGGAGGCTCTACCCTCTATCGCTGGTCGCAGGGCCACTACCCGCCTACCTTCCATGATGTGGTGACCAATAAAGACCAGGTCAAAGTATCGATTGTTGCCTTTTTCAATTTCCCGGATCTTGTTACCATCCCGAGAGCCTTGAAATCTGGCTCAGCTGGCGATGAAAGCTTCTTCCATGATATCAAACTCATTAAAGAGGATGACAAGTTGCCCCATGGGCAATTGTCTCCGTTATGGGATACCATTATCGACAAACATCAACTTGTCTTGCCGCCAGCTGTTACTGCCAACTGAAATTACATGTTACCTACCTGTTTAGGATTAATTCAAGAGATATTTTATTGCAAGAAATGTGAGAGAACGCATTTGTCCAATCTCGGATTTGCTCCTTTGTCACATCTCGTAGGATTCTAATACGGCCTGCACTTTGACACAAACTTGTACAGATAGCATTTTACCTCTATGCACACTTCCCACTGCGGAGGTCAGACAGAGTCTAGATCTCAAATTTCTGAAAATATTTGCGAGGTTGAATATAAACTTCCTCGGACTCTTGACACCCTCATCCATACCATAGTGTAATATATGAATCAGGTGTGTGAGACTCCCACGGGACTGAAAAGCATGAGCATATGTAGCTGTTGCGTCATTTGTTTTTATAAGGGTAAAAGATACTCTGCATACCAGCGGATAAACTCTTTCAGTTCCTTCTAGTCTGTCTCCAATATTATAGTCTTTAGGTACATTGTAAATATAAAATAAGAAATAGTAATAAAAGTCCAGGAATAGTTGCTTGGTTTTGATTTATGTGGTTGGTATGATATGGTTGTATAGGCGGACTTTCCTTGAGTCTTTCCTGAGAACATATGGGATACGAATTTTCGTATTTAACCCAGTAAACAAACGAAGCAGTAAATAAATGGAAGTAATTAGTCCCGAACCTAAAACCCCTTAATCCAAATAAACTACTCCGTATTCCCCAGACAGATCCACCTAACACGGGAATTTTGACGGAACAACACGAAGCCCTAATTTATCCAAATCAAACCTATCTATCTGTGACGTCACATTCACATCAAGCATCACATCAGTATAACCAATTCAACCCTCATTAAATTCCCCCAATTGTCATTCTACACAGACTAGTAAATCCTCAATTTAAATATACACCATTTACATACATACATCTATCAACCTTAAACCACCAGACATCCCTTTCACCAAAATGTCCACCCAACCCCAACCCCCAAAAACCAACACCTACACCCAACCTAAAAACCCCATTTCACAAACTCCCCTAGAACAACAAGACCAAGAACAACGCATTTCCTCCACCCGCTACCACGGCGACAACGTGCCCGCCATAACCCGGGATCCCCAATCCAAGCCCTCAAACAGTGATGCCCTATCCGAGAATACCCAAACCCGCAAACAGCAACAACGCAACCTCCACTCTGCGGCCAACGTGGACACGGAATACGGGGTCGAGCAGCAGCCAGCCGAGGGGGATATCGCGGCAAGGGTTGAAGGGAAGAGTGCCCGTGCTCGTGAGCAAGCGGGGGCTCATGCGGGGCCCGTGGGGAGTATGTTGGGGCCGGGGTGCCCTGCTATTGCTACTGCTTCCTCTGATTTTGACTCTGTTTCAGCTGGGGATGGTGGGGAATTGAGGGGGTTGGGGAGGAAGAGGGAGAAGCATGATCGGATGCTTGGGGAGAGGGTTGGACAGTCGCCTGCGGAGCCGGATGGGGATTTTGATGGTGGTTCTGAGAGGGAGGAGGCTTGGAGGAGGAAGTTGGAGAGGGAGGAAGACGTTGATGTTGGGAGTGCGGTTAGGGAGGGGCCAGGGAGTGCGGTTGTTAGGTAATTGATTGATTGTTTGAATGGGTGGGTGAGTCTGTTGTTGTAGTATTGGTCTTAGAGGGACTATTGGTCTTAGAGGGACTATTGGTCTTAGAGGGATTATTGGTATTAGAGGGACTTGTTGAAAGGTAATTGTAATAAAACTTGATAAACTCAGTCTGTGTATACCAAAGCTGCTGGTGTTTCTGGACTGCAGCTTGACAGTCTCTGTTGGCATTTCAGAAAGTAGTCGACCTTCAAGCCCTCTGGAAGAATTCAATCGCTGACCATACAGTCAGAAGCCCTCGCTCTTAACAGGACTCTGATTCCCCTTCCAAACCAACTTCCTTGGCTGCATATACTCCTCCAGAACCTCATCACTAACCAGCCCCCTCCTCTCCTGAAACAGACGCACATACTCCTGCAAAGCCTCAATGGCCATCTTCTTCAACTCACCAGTCAACGTATCACCATTTTTATAGCTCTTATAAACCTCGTCGAGCTTTGCATCATCCTCCTCAAAATACGTCAGATAGATATACGAAACATCCACATCCGGATTTCCCCCAAGCCGACGATGATCCTCGATGCTAACCTGCCCGCCGCTGAACGCATACTTGCTAATCTTCGTCTTGATCTGCTTCGGGGTATCAGACATGAAGATAGCGGAGTTAGGGTTCGACGAAGACATCTTCCCCCCGGGACCCTGCAGCGCAGTGAGGAATTTGGAATGGATAAGCGCCAGCTTAGGCGACGGGAAACGCATCTTATGCGCGTTATCTCGTAGTAAGCGGAAGTAGGGGTCTTGGTCAATGCCCATGGGGATCAGGCAGGGGATGTTGGCGATGGACTGGGTGCGAGTTGGTTGTGGGTCGTCCGTCCAGATTTCTGGATAGGATGTCGCAAAGGCGGCTACGCATTGAACCGAGGGGAAGAAGATTCGGCCGATGTTGGTGCTGTTTTGTTTCACGGTTAGTTGGGTTCAGTTCAACCATAGATAGGTAAAGTCTACAGTGCTGTAATACCTTTCATTGAAACCGAATGCACCCCGGACTTGGTTGAAAGTCACGAGCTTCGAGAACTCCCACGCGTTCATTAGAAAGTGGTTGCTGAGGTACTTGAGATCGCTATAGATAAAGGTCTTCTTCTTGTCGAACCCAATGGCAATGATATCCCGGGCATTTTCTTTGGCGTATGCCATTGTTTCTTCGAAAGTGAGACTGTCTTTGAAT